GACCAGTACAGACCAAAACAATATGTCACTTTATTCTGACAGACGCCACCGCATGGCGTCCAAGACATCCATGTCGTCCATGTCGTCGAACTGTTGTTCAAATACGACAACAAATTTAAATATAATTTCCAAGATTTTCTACGAAAATATGTATTTGTGGTGACGGAAGCGCGCGTGTCGTTTGTGCAACAACCCCATAAAATCTGCGTACTTGAAAAATGAAAAATGGCAATAAAAGACAACAAATAACAAATAACAAATGACGAACACAGCTTTTCGCAAAGGGGGGTCGAAATTGTCATTTTTTACACATTTTAAAACAAAACACGCTCTGTTACACGCCCTGCTTCGCACCCCCTCTGCGTAAGCCCTTCTATTTCGGCTTAATATAAAAACCTCAATTGATATTTTAGATGCGCTTTGCAAATATTTCGATTTTCGATTTTGATGCCAAAAGCAGAGCTGCATGCAAAGAAGAATCGCTTTTAATAGCTGCCCGTTATGCGTAAATACTACAAATTATATCTGTAGATGGTAGAGTGTCAAAGTGAAACGAATTTAGACTGATAAAATGATAAAAATGTGGCCAGACGTTCCCCTGTTGCCCTCAGCTTCATAAGCAATTTGACGTCAATTGGGTTTCGTTTAGAATGGATTATATTAGCCATGAAGGCTAGGCATATGAAAATGTGACTCTAAAATAAATCAAAAGCAGAAGAGAAGGAATAGTCGTCTCACAAATACCCTAAATATATATAAGCAAATACGGAGAATCTTCTTTTGATGGACATTTGAGATGCTAAATTATAGAGAGACTGATCATGAAAAATCCAAAGAGATAAATTAAACTAGAACTACAATATTCTGATACCTTAAATATATATTAGAAATAGATAAATTTAGATCAAAAAGAGAATAATCCATTAAATTGTTATAATTATTGATAGATAAGTAAATAAGGAAGCTAAACTATAACTACAACTTGCTGATACCCTAAACATAAATTAAATGCATTTTCTTTATACATATCTAAGTTGCTAAATCACAAAAAGAATAATCCTTAAAATAATAGCTATAATTTGTTGAAGAAATAAGATGTATCTGAACTATAACTATAACTTTCTGCTACCCTAATACCCATAAATTTCCATGGCTGCTCGAATAAAAAGCCGGATTTTAGCAGCAGTGAGTGAATTTATTACGTCTATACGAAGTCAGCAATTTGGTTTTGTTTTCTCAAGATAAATGCGAAATGCACTCAAAGCTCATTGCTACCCCAAAAACACAACGTGACAAGTTGGCCACGAGAAATAACTCAGGCTACAGCGAAAGGGCGGCTTTTAGCCAACTAGAAAAAAAATTAAAATGTTGGCAAACAAAACAAAATGCATAAAACACGCTGAAATGCTGAAAATGAAAGAAATATTTAGCTGCTGACCCTTAAAAAGCAATATTTGACATTTGTGCTCAAAAGATACATTTGACGAGACCCAAACAATGTCCGCTGCCTGATCAACAACAAAAATGCGAATATTTATGGCTTGAGCTGTACAGAAAAAGTCTAATAATAATCAATAAATACAGAAAAATATTATTTGAAAACAGATCGTGTCTCATGGAGATTCAGCCTAAAAATATGTATGTAATATAAAAAAAATGACTTAGTCTATCTTTTAATGGAAATTAGGCACATAAGTTGGCTGCAGGGGCATTTTCTTTAATATAAATGTCTGTGGTGCTTAATTGCCGACGAACGAATCCAAAATTAGACTGCATGGTAAAAAGGAAAACACTGCTTGAAAAACTATGAAAAAAACAAATATGCGGCTGTGCTGTCTGCCAAATAAATTTCGACATATATATATACCAATATGTATCTGTATCTACAGCAGTATCTGTAGTAAAAGAAACTGTTCCAACTGATTCATGGACGGACGCATCGAACCAGATACAAATCTTTAGCGGATATGCTAAAAGCTGAAAAGTGTTTGTAAACAAAAACAACAAAACAGAAATAGGCCGTCAAGTGGTCGAAAAAGATACAATTGGCCAGCCATATACATATACAGGTACTACTTATTTTCTGGAAATATTTTTTGTTATTAAGAAATCAATTTCTGAAAAGTAGAAACAATCCTTCCCAAAATTCTGAATCAAGTAATGATATTGACTGGTTTATATCAGAAAAAGCATAATATGATTTTAATTTGCATTTTTAGAAACATTTTACAAACAACAGTAGAAATGGAAACCCTGATTCTTAGAAAAAACCATTTCTGAAATTCAAAAACAAGTAATGAAATTTTCTGGCTCTTAAACTTTCTGAATAGTAAGCTTTTTCTCGGAGTGTACATATATATATATATAGATACTCACACTTAAGACGCGTACTGTAAGGCATTCATTTGCTGGCTACTGCTTCCAAAAAAAATATCCGAAAGTAATCGAAAACTATGCTTGAAGTAAATGCCGTCAATAGTCAGAGTTGGGTTCGCTTTGCTTCGGCCTGCTTTGGTTTGTTGCCTTTTTTTGTTTGATTGGGTTTGTTGTGGTTGCTGCTGTCAGCGTTTTAACCGTACACGTTGTCACAGAGACCCGGGCAATCCAGATGCACCACATTGTGTGGCAGTAGTTGTGACTACATTACACTTGTATACTTGTAAAGTAAAAGCCGCGAAAGCAAAACAAAACAAAACAATAGAGACTATTGATTACTATGCCAAGCTAGCGAAGTTATGAGGAGTCGAGGCGAGGAAGGGTTTATATTATGTATATATATATATATATATTGTTGACAATCCAATTAGCGCTTGTCGGTTTGTCCAAAGAAGCCGCCGGTTAACTGGGTGTATACGTGTTTTCAATACGTAAGCAAATATATATTTCAATTAAATGCAAACACTTTTTCAAATGCACTTTTAACACTCGAAACTGTTTGTCTAAAAGCTATTGAACGAAAATCGTAATTGGGCAAGAAGTTCGTTTGGCATAGGCAAGGCACGAGACTACGGCGTAAAAGTTAACGGAAAAAGCGCAACGGCGTGACGCGCACGAGAACACAACTAACGTAAAACTGAACGCGTAGACCGAAATAATTACGGGCAAAGCTTTCTTTCTCGCTCTCGCTGCTCTTGGCTCTCTTTTCTTCGCACTCTTTCGCGAAACTTGCGGTAAATTGCAAAGGAACGACAAATGGCTCAGTGAGTTGAAAAGAAATGCGGCTAATTCAAAATAGCAAGTGAGAGCGAAAGAGTGAGATGGAGCGCAGCTGCGAGTGGATCTCAAATGAAAGTGAAATGTTGATGAAATGTTAATTATTTCCATTAACCCTTAGATAACAGCAGCAGGCAACCCAGCAGCAAACTATTGAATGACCGCTTCATTACCGAATGTCTTCTGGATGCACATAAAGTAATTCATTACCTATTAATGCTTTTGAATGCTGGAGCTTGTAAGTCAAGTAAAAATATCTCTTTGCGAAAGCTTCAGCAAGAAAAGCTGTTCGTCAATGTCCTATTATATATTCATTATATGTATTGATTTTTTTATCTATTTTACTATCTTCTGTATTATTATTAATTTAATTATTTTAGTTTTAACAGACGCTTCGTAAAGTGTGTTTCTATCAGTTATGCAATTTGTGTATTAAAAAAATAGTATTTTTTATGTTCATATATAAAATTATTATTTATCCTAGAACAATTCATAAGGCTTTACTAATTTGGAATATATATACTGGAATCAATTTCGAATCGAATTCGTAATAGTGTTTTTCCTGCTGGTAAATGCGTCTAATGAAGAATAGCAAGAGCAAGCGAGAGAGAGAGAGAGAATGATAACATCTGCTAGTTGAGATCTAAATGGAAGTGAAATGTTAATGAAATGTTTCCATTAATCGGGAGGGAGAGAGAACGTGAGTAAAATGTTAATGAAATGCTTCAGTTAATCCTTACATTACAGCAGCTGGCAAGCTGTCTAAAAGGGAGACAGAGAGAGAGAGAGAGAGAGATGCTTATGGATATATGCGTGTGTGTGTTTTTATGCACGTGGTTTAAATAACACTCACCTTGACAATGCAGCAGCAGACGATGCCAACAGCGTTGTAAACAACAACATAACATTCGACAAATATCCTTGAACTGCTCCTCTCCATATTTTTATTAATGCGCATTATGCTCCATTTAACAATTGCACTCTTTTTTATTTTTTTTTATTAAACACTTCGCACACTTCGCGCACTTCGAAAAACTTGACAACTTTTTTGGCGCCTTTCGTTGTTGCTAATAAGCCGCAAGCCAAAAAACAAAAGTGTAAACAAAAAAAGCAAACTTACCTGGTTTAATTGATTTACTTAGCTAGCTAGACTACAAATCACAAAAATGGTTTAATTGAGCACTTTTATAACAAACACATTTGTTATTAACATTAATTATATATTTTGTGCGTGAAAAAAACAGCTGAGATACGCTTTGAAACGGAAAAGGAGAAGTGGGGGACGGGGTGGCAGTTTACGTTGCGGGAACCGCCGCGCACCCTGTGGGATTTCAGCGACGCCAGGGGCACAATGTGTGTGATGCCAAACGTTAATTTTAAGCCGAAAAGTTTCGCGACGTTGTAAGATTCGCGATTTTTAAAAATGCTCTTAAAAGCAATAAACAAAACTGAGCACAACTTTTTTTTGCACTCGATTTTCAGCAAGTTGGCAGCAGCACCCCAATCAGTGGCTCGAAGACGACAGGGTTGCTTTGCGCTCAGTAGCGCTTTCGTCAAGGTGACTTCTAGCGATTTCCGGCAGGTGCCGCCACTTACAACAGCTGTATTAAGATTAGAATGCACATGGCATTTCTTTAAGTTTTTCGTTTTCGAGCGCAGTCGTTCGAGCTACGTACTATGCTTTAACGAAATGGCATCGTTTGGCTCACCTAACGAAGGTGTAACTTCACTCACTTAACGAAAGCTGGTCATATAACAGCTGATAAACATTTTATTTGTTTATTTATTTTATTCTTCCGCTTATGGTTCTAATTTAATTAACTGAGACAATGAGGCTGTGGCACAAGGGGCATGTGCGATGCCTCGTTATCTCCATGGGTGAGGCACAGTGGTGACAAGTGGAACAAATCCAAATATTGCTCGTCGGCTGAGTTATGGGCTTCCCCGAGGAAACACAGCCTGGAAAACGGGCGCCGCACTCCATGCAGGAGGGTAAACTAATGGAAGATAAAAAATTAATAATTAATTAATATATATATATATTGCATTATATATATCTAGTATTACTCACTTGTCGGGCACTTTGAGGGAGCAGCCATAACAGGCGACCGTATCGACTTTGTGATCCTGTGGCTCATTCTTGGAGAAGATGCTAACGGCCAGTTCCTCGTACTCCTGCTGCGACTTCTCTGGCAACGTGTCCAGCGACTCCAGCTTCATAAACGCCCTCGAGCAAGTGTCAAAGGATCTATCCGCACAGCTGGCCAAGGCCAACAGACCATAAATATCCTCCACGGGCAACACATCATCATAATCCCGCAGACGCAGCGAGGTAATCACAGCACTGTGCATGATGCCAAAGCGCAGCTGGCGCTGGGCGAGTAGCATATAATGATAGGCCTCGGCACAGTGCCAGAGGCGCTCAATGCATGCCGCATCCTCGAGACTAATCGAATCCAGCAGTGTATTCCGATCGCGGGCATAATCTAATTGCTGCGGCGACTCCAACTGGAGCGCCTTCAGATGATCCTCGGCGAGCAGAGCGGCAAGGATGTAAATTTTCTTGATGCGCAGGAGCGGAGCACGTCGCTCTACCTCCTGCTCGGCAAGCTGGGCGAGCAGCCGGGCTGCATCGAGATGCTTACCCGCCTTGCGCTGCAACTCAATCGACTCCGGGAGTCGACCCTCGTTCAACAGCTGAGCTGCGTGCTTGCCAAGCAACACATTCACCTCAGGCATCTGGTACTGCTGGGCCAGCTCCACGGCCTGGCCCCATTGGCGCAGATTCACGCAAGCATTGACAGCGGCCTTGGCGTCACCCAACTTCAGATAAGCCTGCACAGCCTCGGAGCACATGCCTGCAAGAATTACAGATAGGATCAGTTTAAGTAGGGCAGCAAGGAGCGGCATCGCTTTACCCACGGAGACCAACATCTCGGCCAGTTTGTTGAGCAGTGCACTCTTCTCCGGCAGCTTATCGACGCACTTTTCCAGCTCATCGAACTGCTCCAAATGATACAGGGCCTCAATGTAGCCCTCCAGATAGTGCGATTTCTCGTAGTATTCCTTAGCGCTCTCCCACGCCTTGAGCTGCGCAAAATGATGACCGATCTCACGCCAAGCGGTCTCCATCTGCTGATCCGAAACACCAGCGCCGCCCATGCGATAAAGTTGCACCACACGAAACCAGTCGCAGAGGGTCATCCGCAGATCGATGGCCAGATCTCTGACGGAAAGAAAACAAAGTGAGAACGTTCTGTGAAATACTCTGACACCAATAAGTAATACCAGCTGATAACAGTTGCCACACAAAAAGGTATATGGATTTGGGGTGGCGGATTAGGCCTGGGCCTTGTCAACATATTTTTTAACTATCTTTAAGGAAAGTCATTGAAATCTAGAGTCACCAGCAATCTACTCTCCAATTTTGCTGAATCTATCTTTTAAATTGTGGAAAATATGCGTTTCTATCGATTGTGGTAGATATGTGGTTTTATCAATTTGCGATTAGTCATTTGATCGATTTCCTTGCCGTATCAGTCTTATTTTTAACAATTTATCTGACGCAACACCACTATATATTCCAAGTATCAAATCTCAACTCTTAAGTGTGTCGAAGAAAGAACAGACAGCTTGACGGACATTGCACAAAACCAATATAATATTTTTAGCTTCGGCAACAGAGTATAACAAAAATAAGTAAGAGATGAGTAGAAAAGATGACTTGGACCAACCTCCGATCCGCGTCCATGTAGAGTTTCTCGGCCTCGTCGAACTCCCCGTAGAAGGCGGCAATTTCCGCCCGTTGCAGAATCTGTGTGTTAATATTCCGTAATCTTTTAATCAGCTTAATGCCCGGATAGTTAGCACAGCGCACAAAGGCATTCTCCGCCGTCTCTAGTTCGAGTTGTTTCAGCGCCGACTCAGCGAGCAGACGCCAGAGACGAGGATGCGGATTATCCTCAATGAATTGCTTTGCATCATCCAGACCCACATGCTCCAGCAAATCATCCGTGTCCCGCAACGATTTCACCCTCAACTGGATCAAATGCGACGCATTCTGCAGCTCCCCGATGCTGATAATGTCGTCGAGCAGAACGCTGGTGATCTCCAGATCCTCAAAGGTGCAAATGTAGCCGGAGCACGAAATGGGCTCCTCGGGGTCATTGCCACGAAAGATGTACATGCGTGTCTTCTCCATCAGGGCCAGCAGAAGTGGATTATCCTTGGCCCAGCTAACGGCCCAGACATCCTTGCGTTCCACGCGACTAAAATTCAACTGCGTCTCCCGATTGTCATCCAGCTCCAGGAGCGTCATCACACCCACATGATCAATGAGGGCAGCACGACTGTAAATATGAATCCATTAAAGGGAATGGAGGATGTTAAAGCTGGTGAAGCTTACGTGGAATTGCAGTTGATGGCCATTTTGTGAATCTTGGCGTGCTGCGTGTGGCGATTCCTTAAGGAAACATTGCCCACACTGTACTCATTGATCACGCCCGACTCCCGAGCGATCAGCAATAGCTTCTCGGATAACGTCAGTGCACAAATTGGATCGTTGACCGATCGTTGCTCCTGTCCCGCCAGCAAATCCTTTGCCAAGTCGACGCCGGTGGGTGCGTCATCAATATGGAAACGCTTCTCCTTGCGCGCTTTGACACCATGCAGATTCGAAGAGCTCTAAAAAAAGAAGGTAATATCTTATTAAAGGCATGTTACACTCTGCTGCTGAAGCTAAAAAAATTGATAATGGTTTTGCGCAATATCAGTCATAGAAGGGTACTTTTTTCGTCATCCTTAAGGCTAAAGACTTGAAACATATATACTTGTCTGTGGCTGCGTGAAAGTGTTAAAAATGGGTTATACACTAGGGTACTAGGAAATCGATAAGAATCGATAGTCGCCATTCGATAAAACCACATATCTACCACAATTGTGAGGCTATAGTTATCTAGCTTGGAATATAAATTACTAGAAAATACAATAGCCTGCCGCAATTTTAAAGCCAAACTTAGAGGGCTCTAAGATTACTGGGAACCTCCCTCGAAGAAGGGTACTTTTTGGTTACACCCATAGCATCTATTTTCAACTGCTATCAGCTGGTATTACTTATTTGCATGCACAGTATTTCACAGTAGGATACGCCCGTTCTCATTTGTTTTTACCTTGGGTGTGTGATAATGCCAGATGAGTATCTCCTCGTGGGAAGCAATCGCCACATAGCCCGAGTTGATGCCAACAAAACGTGGCTTAATATCCGTATATTTCGCTAGAAAGTAATGGAGATTTGTAGTTAGAAATTGATAGTAATGGGATGCGATGTAACCCACAGTCCACAGTGGTGCCAATCGAATTGCAGAGCAGCAACTGATACACTCGAACATCTTTGTCGGAGCTACTTCGTCCTTCCAAAGTGCTAAGTGCAATCTCCTTGATATTACTGCTGATGCACTCCACGCCCAGCACACAATGCTCAGCGCTGGCCGAAAGGCAAATTGTGGGTTCGACCTCCTTGAGGAAACTCTGATTGGACACAGTGTTCCAGAAAGTAATGACATTCATGGGTGAGCCACTGTTTCCACTGTTGCCACTGCTGCTGCTGTTGAGAAAGACGACCGTCTTCTCAAAATAGCACCAAATATATTCCGGTCGAATGTTCGCAAAATAGATAAAGGAATCCACGGCCATGGCAATGCGCAAGGATTTGCCTTCCCAGCTGACGGAGGTGATTTCGCTGCCAGGCACTTTCAGAGTGCGATAAAGCCTGCCCAGTGGCGAGTAGAAGCACACCTGGTTCGTCTCCCGCTGTGGCGTCGCCACCGCCGCCTCCAGCGATGTGCCACAAATGGCCAGAACGCTGCCATTGTGATTCCACTTGGAGTCCACATTACGCATGCCCGTGTCAAAAATGGCAGGCGCTGGAATCGAAGTGAATCTAAGTTAATTAATGCAATTAGTGAAATACACTAAAAAAAATCTAGCCTAGTTTGAAAATCGCCTTGGAGCTAGAAAGTTTTTCTTGTTTTTCAAAACAATTTCTAAATCCTGATTTTTTTAAATACCCTTTTTAAAATTCGGGATGATATTATTTTTGTGAGTGTGTTCAAATGCGGCACTCACCATCATCGTTCTCGTTGCGCATAATTTGCACCATGCCGTTTTCAAAGCAAATAGCCAAAACAGGCCGATTGCGATTCCCAGGAGCGAGATGGCTGCTAAACCAACTAATGCTCGCAATTCGCTGCACACGACCCATGGAGGAGGCGCCGGAGCCGAGAGTGATGCACTTAATGTTGAGTTTCATCTGCAATAAATCAGTGGATAATTATTTGAATTTGGGGCCATCCGCGACATCATTTTAGTTGTTTAATGTAATGACATTTGCATAGTATGTTAAGTGCACTTAAATGTTAGTTGTTTAAATTGTGATTATATTTGCCCACTAGTTAAAAGCACTTAAGCTACAGCCGCCAGCTGTTATCTAACTCGAATTGCATTGCGTGCGACCATGGTGTAACTATACAAGGTGGTCACGTGGATGATCTTGTTAAGCATCTGCTATGAAGTTTGATCGAGAGAAACGATTTTTTCACAATTGCGTGTGTTTACATATTTTATGTGCATAGTAGCAAATAAATATTGTAGAACGTGTTACATTTATTTAATAAAGATTCAACTCCCTCACTCAACTTAGCTCATGTTACATTTTATAGAGTTCACCATGCTTAACATGATTTTATTGCGCGCGCATATTAAGCATGTTAATAACGTATTTATCTATCTTTAATGCAGCCCACTATTTTAAATGGCATTGTGTCCATTAATGCTTAATGCTGAAAAAATTTAATGCACAACTCACCGCAAAGTTGCCTTGATTATCGTACAAATGGCACTCGCCATTGGCCAGGGCAAACAGGATAAGACGGTTATCAGGACTCCATTGAACCCCTGTGAGATGTGTGTTCTTCAGCTCCTTGCCAAAAAGTCGATTGCCATCCACAGAGCCCACAATGATGGCACCATCCTCATAAACAATGCAGATTTTCGCTCCATCCGAAGTCCAACTCATGCCGGCTACAGTTGATTTCTTGCGATCATTTGTCATCTCCTCGTACCAGGCGCCCTTATACAGCATCCACACCATAATGACGCCATCCACATCCGACGAAGTCAACTTATGCTGGGCATCATTCCACGTGACCACCTTGACGGACTCCTTGTGACCATCAAGCGTCTGGTTCATCGACAAATTGGAGACGGCGGCGAGTCCACCTTTACTTTGTCCATTATTGGCAGCTAAAATGAATATATATATATATATATATATAATATATAAAATACTATTATTAATCTCACCCTGATCCAGCTTGAGCACCTTAAGCAATCCTTCGGTGCCGGCAACTGCGATATATCCTTCCTCCTTATTCCAAGCGATGCAATTCAGTTTTACATTGTTGGGAATCGCAATCTGCAGAAAGAGTTGAAAAATTAACAACTTTAATAACACAACTTTAATAATTATTACAGTGATGCTAATAAACATGAACTACTTTATAATAAAACTGATATTACTAATATTAACTATAATGCTAAGCGCATTTTATACTTACCTTTTTACTCAGATAGACAAACATTTTGTTGTTTTATTTGCAATTTTACTAAATTTTTTCTTGTGGCAGCCTCTAAATAAATTGTTTGTTTTCATCGGTTGTCAAAGCAACCAATTTAAATAAAATGCACACACAAAATGCATTTGTATTTGTTTTTCATGCTGCGCATGCGCTGTGGCATCGAATCTCATATTATTCATCTCAAGAAAACCGTTTCGCTTATCGCACAATCAAATAAATAAATATTTAAACTGATTTAAATAATACATTTACACGCAAACAATTTTACGCTGCAAGGAAAGCGGAACGGAGAGAAAAACAAAGTTCAAAAAGAACCAGTTACTTGCAGTGAACCACCTGTTTGAGTTTGCCTTATTAGTAATGAACTAGTTTTTTCTTGTATTTGTTTGGCCGTTAAAGTTTACTAAATGAATAGTTTTTGTTCATTAGTTTAACATAATAGTAAACGTGTATTTTACAAATAAAATATGAGCAAGGATACCTTTGTCAAAACTAAAGCGATTTTTAACGAATTTTGATTTTTTTATCTTAAGCATTTTATTGAAAAGGTGATTTTATGTCGAAACTCAGTCAAAAAACAAGCAAATGTACAGTACCAAAACTATATCGGCATTTCTAGATAAAAGTAAATTGCTACTAACAAACCGTAATCTATTTTTTCTTATCATAGCTTTCTCCCTAGAGTGAGCAGGTACTAAGGGGACAACTTATTGATAACGTAAAAAACGTCATATTTACTATATTTATACATACACTCAGAAAAATAATTGCCCAGAATTTTAGAAAATCGATATGAAATGAAAGCGCGCTAAAAACTAGAAAGCTTTTTTTACTATTAGGAAAAAACACCATGAAACCATATTTTTACAAATGAAGTGGAAATGTACCCTTAAATTAAAATTACCTTGTTTTTAAGAAATAAAGTTTCTGAAGAATATTGTGAGTCACAACAGGCACCATATTTTCTGTGAGTGCACATGGAATTCAGCCCTCAGTCATTATAACCTGCTAGATAATATACGCAAGCAATTACTTGATGACTATGTATAAAACCAATCGATAAACATTGGTAAAGTGAAAAGAAATAACACTTGTTGTACATATCTGTTAAATAAATGTTTACTTCCATAGCTTTATCACAGAAGCTAGAATAAATTGGCAAATTTGTGGTTCAGGTACAGGTTTCACGCAATGCGAATGCGCCTTTCATAGAGCAGAAATGCGGCAAAAGTGACCAGGAACATGTAGGCGGTGAGGATAACGACAGAAGCCGGATCGGAGCGATCCTCCGGCTTGAGAAAGATATTGACACAACCCGTCGAAACATTGGCCAGCAGAAAGAAGGTGAGTCCGTTCAGATTCAAGGACTCACAGATGACATGTAGACCCCTGCTGCCCTCCGGACTCGGCTCCGCCATAATAGCAACCGTAGAACCCTGCTCCAATCTATCGCCTTCATCCGCAGCCGAATTGTTGTTGATAATCAGGTCAAAGATGAATATGCTTAGGCCAACCATTGTGCTCATGATGGCAAACATCCAGAAGATGTAACCCAAATTGCAAGTAACTCGTGAGATGCCCACGGTCAAGGCACTGGCCATGGTAAATCCCCAACAATTTAGCGCCATGATAAGCAGTCCACGCAGCTTTGCAATAATCTCTCCATAAGTCAGCAGGGTTTTGGAGACCAGCCATCTATTTAAGCATATGGAGAGCAGATAGATGGCGACAAATCCAGGCAGCGAGAGAAGTCCCTCCCGATTGGCGCTGAACAACGTGGAACGCGGCAAATCATCATCCATCACATAGTCAGAGATGCCGCCAACACTTAAGCTCAGTTGATGGGTAACAATGACAACTACCGGAATGAGAATTCTATATTAGAGCTGATATTTTTTTTTACTTTACGCGAAACTTACCGATAGCCAATGGGAGGAGCTGCGTATCACTACGGGCCACTAAACTGAGCACGCTGCCCATAAGCTTGGTAAAGCCCAACGTGAAGAAGGCATTCAAATGCTGTCCATACTCATGCTCATCCTGCCCGTAACCAATTGTCACAATGGCGACAACTCGTGCAATCCCGAGCAGTATAAGAGGCAATGCCGATCGTAGAAGACTACGCCGTAAATCGTTGCTGTTGCGACTCCGGCGTGAAACCAATCCCATTGTGACGACAAACAATCCAATGCCCGTGTCCATGAGCTGAGCACCAAACAGACGACTCTTGCGATAGGGTCGATGGAAACTCTTGAAATCAATGGCCAATATGCAGACGGCCGTAATCAGATGAGTCAGCGCTCGGACAATGGTCAGAGCGTGAACCCGACTTCCCAAATCAAAATGAGCTCGGCATTTGGCACGGGATAAGGCTCTTGTACGTAGGATAAACCAAAAGGAGAGCACGATCATCAATCCCACAAATTGACCACTATAGCCATTGGCCACTGTGACAAACAGCACGGTCGGCAACACAATTAACGGGAATTCCAGCAAATAGTTTACGGTCAGACTTTGTTTCAGTCTTTGGATTACAACACGTGCCAATATTATTCCAGAAAATGTGGTCAATATGACAAACAATGAGGCGAAACTCTGTTCGATTGATTCCAACGAACGTTTCTCTGTCGCGTGTTTCGGCAGTTCGTAAATGGAAGCTTGCATGCTGGCCATACTATTTGACTGGATACTATTGTGGCATAGCGCATTTTCACACCCAATTCAAGTTTTCTATTAATATTGATAAAAGCCTACTCGAAAATACGTATATGTGTGTGTAAATGATAACCTAGGCGTATAAACAAATATTAAATAAAAATGGATGAAACCCTAGTCGCCAAAAGTTAGTGAATGAAGATAGTGGCATACACTATGATAAGCAGTTTAGGAGCTTTGAGTTAAATATATTCAAATAAACCGCCAACAATTAGTAGTTGTAGCTGCGGATCAACAGTTGCACAAACTGAACGGCAGCGCATGTATATACGTACCTTAATCGACGTATTGGATTTGGCGCCTACTCAACAGTTGCACAAACCGAGTGGCAGCGCTTGTATACTAACTATACTTGATAAGTAAAATGATAATCTCTGTAAATAAGTGAATAAGAATAGTGTCATTTACTATAATAAGCACTTTACGTGCATTAAGACTTTAATATTTTAAAATAAACTATCAATGCCGCCTACAAAGTGCACTTGTTGCTCAACAGTTGCACAAACTGAACGCTAGCGCTCGTGTGTCCAATATTTACGCAGCCCTGGCTTTGACAGCATAAAAAGGGGCTCGTCAGTCAAGTTGAATTCCATAGATATAAACGGCACATTTTATTGAAGCTGCAGTTACTCATGGCTACTGGTAACCATAAAAACCGCTGGTGGTCACCAGATGATTCACAAATGTTCGGGCATGTTCACAAAATATAGTATCAGCTGCAACCAGCGTGAATTATTCAGTAATTGAGTAAGTAGCCGAGGAACGCGTGCACGTGCTGTAGTTATCGCTTGTATAAAAAAGTGCTAATTGTCCAACACTAATAAAGTTGTGTGCAAAACATTTGGGTAAATCCGCATTGAATCACTGCCACTCATCAACATGCAATTAAGATAACCATTTGTTCAGTGGATGCTACGCTGTTTGCTGTGACGTCATCCGAGCAAACCGTCAACCAATCGGCATTAAGCTTTGAGGGGCTTGTCCACCGGCACACATACGTGCGTACGTGTATATTTGTATATGTAGTAAACATGCATACGTAAACATGTCTGCACACATACATACATGTAAATGTATGTTTTGCAATTCTCATTGATTTTTGCGCATCACGTGCAACCACCCCATACCCATCTCCACCCACTTCGCTTTCTCTACTCCTCTTCATTCGATCATTTATCGCACATGAAAACGTTTTCAGCTCAGTTTGTCGGCAACTGTTGAAGCGGTCGGTCACAAAACGAGTAAATATGTATTTTTAAATGCACACAAATTATTGTTTTTAGAAGCCCCGGCTATTATTGTTGTTTGTAAATTACATTTACGTAACAAGTGGTGTGTATTCGTCTCTATCTATATATTTAATTACATTTATCGTTGTGCGCACTGCTGATTAAAAGTGCGACCTTTGACCTTAGTCATCAACACTTGTTCACAACTAATATCGTATATCACAAACAATTTATCATATCAGCATATGTTTATGTCAACATGAACCACAAAAAAACAGTTTTTTTTTATACAATACCATTAGCAAACAACTCTGGTGATAAACGTTTTTTCAACTTATATTTTGGGTTTGTTGACCCAAGCAATATGTAAATACACTTTGAAACACAAACGCCCCAAATCTTTTAGTAGATCGCCATACTTTTAGAGCCAATAGTTCCCCTCGTCCTATTATTCAGAAATTAAATTTCTAAAATTTACGATTGTTGCTTTCTAAAAACCAGTATTTCCAAAACATTTTGGTGTTTTTTTCTGAGTGTATGCATAAGTATGTACCCTTATTTATAGAGTACATATATATATATAAACCTGAAGCCGTCGAAACTCCATTTTTTTGTTTACCTGCATTTTGCATTACCCCATAATGCAAATGCACTTTGTATTTTTTTGCAGTTGAGATACTCAACTCAGCGATATAATTGTGTTGTCTGAGTTGATCGACTATCACATGACCCATAACAAATTAAAGCATATATTTAGCATTTTTAAACATTTTAATGTATTAATGAAATCCAAAACAAGGCCACAAATTATCCAAAAGACGGAAATTTATTATTGTTTTTTTTCCGTTTCTCTTTTGTTGGAACATATACATATATTTATTTTGATATTATTTATATCTGTAGAAGCTGAATGAACGCAAATAGATGTTAATAAACTCTCTCTCACTCTCTTGAAATAAAAATGTAAATGTTTATTTATAATTACATGGCAAAAAATTAAGGAAAAAAATAGACATTGGAAATAAAGCATTTTGAGGTAGATAAACTCATATCGAAAGATAACATTGCTACCTATGATATATTGTATTTTATATTTATTTACTTGTAAATATGGCATCCTCAAATCGATTTGCTTATCGGCGGCGTAGTTACGGCAATCTCTGTGGCCAAAAAAAAACTCATTAATAAGATGCAAATTTGCTCATTTTAAATGTCAAGGCTATTGTGAATGGATAGACAAACAACGCAGGCGGATGTTGTTGCTCTGTTCATTCACAATATCCACCCCACGACGAGACAGCGTCTCTTTCTTTCCCGTACACTTACTACCAAATGCATTCAATGTAATGCATTGCTTAGTAGTGCTCTTGTATGCACAGTTGTATCATTAAGCAACAATTTGCATGGCAAGACAATGGTACCCCTTTTAAGATTTGCAGTATACAATATCGCGAGAACACAGAATTGAGTAATGCAGTTTGAACAGGGGTTACCTTACTCTTATGAAAAATTAATAACGAATCGAATTCGTAATGGGGTACTTTCGCTGCTGGGTAAGCTATTGTTTCAGCACAGCCGGCTTGTCTTATCAGCTGTTTCCTCACTTCGTTATTATTCCTTCTTCTTCTACTTCTACTGTATCGCAATAGCCGTTGATTGTGTTTGTTTTCAATGTACTTTGAAAGCTCGTGCTATGCATATGTGTGTATGTGTAGTTATATGTATATATATATATATATATATATATATATATATATATATATATATATATATATATATATATATATGTGTGTGTATATATATGTGTATTGCTAGCTGACGCGCCTTCGTTTTTCGGTTCATGCAGCTGTTGCTTGCTGCCTAACTTTCAGATACTTTTTGGCGCTCGCCTTGAACGGATGTGTTTTTCGTGTGTCGTCTTTTCTATTAGTGAAAACAAATAACAACGTATTGTAAACAATAAATACGCTCTCTCTCACTCGCACTCTCTGGTATTGTGACAAGTGTTAAGATTTTGGCGACAGTCTGTTATCAACGTGTTATCAATAAATACAACAATAAAATGTACGCATAACATTTTATAATAGCTCATGTTTCTAACGGACATTTATGAATATCGCTGATATCGGTTATATATATATATATAAATATATATATGGAATATTGAAATATTGAGCTGTGCACTGCCATTGGAAACAGGTTTCTTTATGACAAACACCAGACAGAGAACTATTAACAAATGTGTATATTACACATTCCATAAAGCCAGCATTCCATTAATCCAGACTAAACGGAGATTATTGCATTTGTGTTTGTGACTTTGACCCGAACTTGGACTCTATATATTTACATTATATATATAGCATATATATATTAATGTGTAGTAGACGGGAAATGTGATCGTTTCAATAATTGACAACACTCGATCATTTTGCTCTTATCACAGAACTGGGTGCCGCAAACTCAACTGAAAAGCTTTTCAAAAAATCGCGATAACGAGATTTTTAACAACAATATGTGTATATATATGTGTGCCTGTGTGTTTTTCTTTTTGGGGTGTGTTGTGAGCGAGAGGGCTCGCCCGTTATGCCAATAAATCTTTTTGAGGTTTGCAAAGTGCAAAGTCGAAATCGAGAAAAATACAAGTGTTTTTGACTTGCAGGCAGATTAAATAAAAATAAAAATATTGTAATCTGGTCTAAAATACCAATTTACTCATTAAATAATGCAGCAAAAAAATTTTAAAGGTTTCCAGGAACGGAATTCGTAAAAATTCTTATAGTCTGTGAGATACAGGCGGACGGACGGACATTGCTGATCAAGAATATATATACTTTATGGCGTGGAAGTTGCTAGCTTCGTGCTGTTACTTGCCTCTACCATTTTATCCATTTTAAATGAGTTTAGAGTATAACAATTGTTATTGTCTAGCATAAGATTAAATACTCTTCAATGATATCTTGCCCTGATCAAGATAATCTATACTTATACTTTTTAACTGGGTTGCAACAAAGTAATAAGCATTGAATTTTAAGATCGTATCGCAAACTGAATGCGGAGAGAAGAAAGACTCGAGTAACTGTCTAGTTGTGCCGAGTGCTTAATTTGATAAGAACCTATTGACGCTGAGGAGCGATAAGGATCCAATTCATTTCCTTTGCCGTCATAGCAAATAATTTTGCATGTAATCATAATAATAATAGATTCACTTCCAACTTGCAGCTAGCAGCAGCATGACGGAGGGCAAAAACGTACCCAATTCGAGTGCCGATGTTCCCTTCCGGAGCAAGGAGCAACGCAAGCAATCCCTAATCCAACACACAGGCCTCGTGGGGGTTATCGATGAGGGCACCAAGACGATTGGTTTCTCGATATATACGACGCCCGATTTCAAGGAGATCGCCGCCCATCGTGTCGAGCTGAGCGTAATAACGCCCCAGGATGGGTGGTACGAACAAGACCCCATGGAGATGATGGCATCGATTAATAAGTGTGCCGTCGAGGCCATTAAACAGCTGCCCGAGCAGGGCTACAGTGCCAGTGATATTGCCACAGTGGGCATTACCAATCAGCGGGAGACGACCATCGTCTGGGATGCGGTGACGGGGAAGCCTCTGTACAATGCCATCGTTTGGAAGGACATACGGACCAGCAGCACCGTCGAACAGATCGTGGCCAAGGTTCACGATGCGAACCACTTCAAACAGAGCACGGGGTTGCCCATCTCCACATATTTCTCGGCGCTGAAGATTCGCTGGCTCAAAGACAATGTGCCCGAGGTGCGGCAAGCGTGTCGCGAGAAACGCTGCAAAGCAGGCACTGTGGACAGCTGGATCGTCTGGAATCTGACCAATGGTTGGTAATATTAATATTATATTTTATAATAGTAATTGAAGAAGCACAATTTATTATTAAGGAGATTTTGGCAGGAATATAGTAATCACCCATTGGAACCCCTTTCCCTCTCTAAGCGATCTATCGCAGTTAGCAAAAATAGGAACACGTAAGATTGCTCTCATTTAGTTTTTGCCGTCTAATGTCAAGAAATTGAGAAGATCCAAATCTGGCCTATGTGTGTCGATCTTGCGGTCGTCGGCTGTCTTACCTTACCTAACCTATTATTAAGGACAAACGGGAAACCGTATACAAGATCCATATTCAAGAATATGATGCACGACTGAAATATATAGAGTGTTTTAGTAATCGTTTCTTTTGACAAAAGACTCGAATAGCAGAAGCAGAAGAAATATGCTTGACAAACTTAAGCTTGGCGGGATTTAAAATAATACCCAAATCATCAATCAACACATTCAATGCGTTCAGCTTAAGAAAATAGTTATATTCTTTCTCCGCAAAAGAGTTAGTTGACGACAGAAGTACACTCCGTAAAAATCGTTTCTAAATGAAAATAGAACAGTTTTATAGTTTTTAGAAATAATATCTAAATATTAGAAAATTTCTAAAAATTAAAATGGCTTGTCCTAAATTGAATATCCCAAAAATATGATAACTTTTTCAATTGTATATCTATATCTTTATCTATATCTATATAACTATATATATCTATAACTATATTTATACTTCTCAGGTGCTCTCCACATCACGGATGTAACAAATGCGTCGCGTACGCTACTCATGAACCTGGAGACGCTCAACTGGGATCCGGTCCTGCTCAAGACCTTTGCCATCAAGGAGGATATGTTGCCAACGATACGCAGCTGCTCGGAGGTCTTCGGCAAGATCACCTCGGATCGCAGTGCGTTGCGTGGCATGACTCTAAGTGGGATACTGGGCAATCAGCAGGCATCGCTGTTGGGACAGATGTGCGTTAAACCCGGTCAGACAAAGAACACATATCGTTCCGGTTGTTTTCTACTCTGCAATACGGGTGATAAGCCCGTATTCTCGCGACACGGTCTGCTCACCACAATCGCCTACAAATTGGGTCCTCATGCACCCACCACTTATGCCCTGGAAGGATCTGTCTCAGTGGCTGGCCATGCTCTCTCCTGGCTGCAGCAGAAGGTGCGTCTCCTGCCCGACTCCCGAGAAGCGGAGAAGTATGCGGAGGCGGTACCCACATCGGGTGATGTGTATTTTGTGCCCGCTTTTACGGGTCTCTATGCGCCGTATTGGCGTCAAAATGCCCGTGGCATCATCATCGGCCTCACGCAATTCACTCGGAAGAATCATATTGTGCGTGCGGCGCTGGAGAGCATCTGTTTCCAGACGCGTGACATTCTGGAGTGTATGCATCAGGAATGTGGCTATGAGATCAATAAGCTCCACGCCGATGGCAAGTTGACCACAAATAATCTGTTGATGCAGTTGCAAGCGGACACCGCCGGTTTGCCACTGTTCCGGTCGCAGTTGATGGACTCGACGGCCTTTGGGGCGGCCATGTGTGCCGCTCAAGCGGATGGCGTCAATCTCTGCAAATTTGACCCGGGGAAACGCTATTACGAGAACGTCCATTACGACACATTTCTGCCCACGACGACGGAACAGGAGCGTGAGGAGCGCTACGGCAAATGGAAACGGGCCGTGGAGAGGAGTTTAGGCTGGGTCATCAAGCAGAAGAAGACACCGAAGCACACCGAGGAGAATTATCGCATGGTCTCCTCGCTCCCGGCGAGCATCTTCCTCATCAGCAGCTTTGCTATGTTGGTGCACTCGCTCAAGGCGTAAATGGTTCTATGGCTATCTATATTTATATATCATTATAAATGTATATGTACTTATTTATATTTTTAAGCCAACAACTCTTCCGATTTGGCATCGGCTAATCGGTTGTGATAATGTTTATTTTATAGCGGAATTTACTGTAGCCAGGCACTGTTAATGTGGCTAACAGAGGTAATAGCAGCTGCAACATATATGTTATATGTAATAACATCTGTAAAATAACAAGTGGCCTGTAACAACAGCTGTACAGGTTTACATATATTAGTTTTTATGGAATAACACCTGTAACGTATTATGCAACACGTTATCGAATATCGTATGTTGTGTTATCTTATTTTAAAATTGTAGAGTCTTGGTTCTAAGTAATTAGTAATAACATCTTAAACATCACATATACAGTGTTGCAGATGTTATTTTACAGTTGTTATTGCAGGCCGTTAGCTACATTACTAGTAATATCAACTGTAACAAAACATGCAACACCATATCGTATATCACGTTACGATATGTTATCTAACAGTTATTACAGTGCTCGAACTACGTCCCTAATTAACTTGTAGCTACATTAACAGTGACCTGCTTAGATTACGACTCTGACATGTATATATGTATATACATATGTATATAGTTTAACTGGTTGAATTGGTTTTAAAGCAATCATGTAAATAGTTTATGACACAAACAGGACATACTCTCTTTTTCCCTCTCTCTTTCTCTCTTTATGGGTCCTTGTTATATTGTTTACTTAACACATTTAAATTCATGTACTTATCTTATCGTGTTCTGTGCGGCATACTTCGAGTGCTAATTTCGATTGCTGATAAACTTCAAGCTTAATCGATTCTAGCACAAACACAAACACATACAGACGTATATATATATTTATTTATATCAATTAATGTATATAGCACAAATTACTTTGTATATTCCCCATATATGTCTAGTTTACGTAGGCTACAAATAATAAACGATTATAATAAAAAATGCAATTTCTTTGCCAAAGCTATTAACTTAACTATCTCGATATATATGTATATAGAGTTATGTCACATATTGGAATTTCTGCTGATTGCCAGAGCATATTCATTAAATGTATAGCCAAGCGTTCAACGACAATATCAGTAGCGGAAATGTCATTAACGGTTAAAAATAACTAAAATAATCTACCGATTAATGTCGCCTCTATTGGGGCACAGACTATCAATGCTGGACATTTAGAGGTGTGTGTATAGGTAAAAATAATAAACTTTGAATCCAACTCATAAATCAAATGCTTAGGAGGCAGACTCAACTCTAATAAATTCAAAGAATCCTTTTTAACGGTTAAAAATCACCTTAAATAACTAAGAATAATAAAGAAACTTTAAATTGAAGTGCTAAGAATTTGCCCTGAAATTTGGAAAAAAAAATAGAGTTAAAATATTTTGAAAAAAATAAAATCGAGAATCTCTATCGGAGTTGAAACCTAAATTCGATTCGGTTTGAGAACCTGTAAAAAATCGATCTTAAGGGTAACAAATAATTTAAAATATTCTACCGATTAATATAAATTCAATTGGGTCAATATGATTTATCTGGTTATAGACAATAAACTTTGAATCGAAGTTCTAAATGAAATGCAGACTCAACTTTAACCCATTCAAAAATAACATAATATTAAATAGCAATAATCTACAGAATAATGTGCACCCAATTGGGACACAATCTATAAGTTCTGGGTACAAACAAATCAAATGCTTGAAAGGAAGACTCAATTTTAACCCATTCAAAAAATCCTTCTTAAAAAGTTTTACCTGTTATCTCACCGGTCATTTAAATTGGTTCTACAGGTTGCCACACACACACACTCGGACAACAACAACAAAGGCAAGTTGTTGTCGGATTCAGGTAACAAGAGTTATCCGAGCAACAAAAACAAAAGAAATGCCAAACAAAGAAATTGATTTTCACTTCTCTGCTCTGCTCTGCTCCTGCTCTGCTCTCGACTACACCTTCAGAATTTTTACTGAATCAGTGCATCAACAGCAACCACAACAACAAGTAAGAATGTTGTAGTCGACTACAATATGCCCTGTAATCCATCTGTTATATAATCCCTGAGCTCCAAACGCACATGGTTATGTCGACTAGACTGTTGCTGCTGATCAGGTATATATACACATTATGGTTGCTCCGTCTGTGAGATACTTATGCCCAAAACCATTCTACCCCTTCTTACACATTTTTAATAAATTCAGGTTATAACAATTGTTATTAGTTTGCAACAGATTAACAGATTAAATACTCTTGAATATAGTAAACTGATCTAAAGTAATTGTTGTTATATATAGAATATAGTCTATCTTAGTTATATAGAAATTCATTATACCCTTTTGTACACATTTTTAATGGGTATATGAACAACAAGAAAAAGAACAACAGCTAACAGCGGTCAAGAATCCGGTTCGTTTGAAGTTGAGGCGCGCACCTTTTTCCCCATTTTCTCTTCAATATCCAAACCGGTGTGTGTGTGTGTGTGTGTAGGTGTTTTCTCAGAGATTGCTCTCCCACTTGTGTGTGTGTGAGAGAGAGACTGGAAGAGCTCTCTGCGATCCTCGAGACAAAGAGCCAAAAGAGCGAAAGAGCCTCAGTCGCCGCTCAACTTCAGTCGCGTTTGCTTCGTGTCTGCCGCGTTTTTGATTGTTTTTAGTTTGTTTTTCATTTTTTGTTTTTATTTGTTTATGTTAATGCGATTGGATTGTATTGGGCCATTTATTTGGTTTTTCGATTTAAAAAAATATTTGCCGCATTGGCAATAAATGCGAGCTTGAAATTGGAAGCGTGAGAAGCAAAAGTGCCACACGAGTCATGAGTTGCTTTGCGAGAGAAAAACATTAATAAGCATTTGAAGTTAAAGGGTCACAAACCGGTTTAGTCAGCGCCAGTTGTCAGTTGCCCGTTGCCAGGTGCCACTCGGCTACTCAATTATGGAGGCCTCAGCCACCGCCTCATCCACAGCCGCATCCTTGCAACGTGTTGCCTCCCAGTCGAGTCTCGTCCAGCCACATCACTATCATTATATACAATATCCGGCGCACTTTCTGCAACAGCAGCAGCAACAGCAGCAGCAACAGCAGCAGCAGCAGCAATCCACAACAGCCGCACAGCAATGCCAGTGTCCCTGCTCCTGTGGACGTGCCACTACCACACAGCAGCAGCAAAATGCCTCCATGGCTGTGGCTGTGCTCGTGCATCAGCAGACTACAACAAATCCTGTTCAGCAACAGCAGCCGACTCCAGTCAAGACACAGTCAGCGCAATCCCTGCTCAATCATTCCTATCAAGCGCTAGCCGATGAGGAGCGGGAGCAGAGAGAGCGGGATCGGGACACATCATCAGGCAATCCGCCCGGCTGTGATTGTGACCTGGAGTGCAATTGTGCTATGGGAAATGGTGCCCCCGCCTCCCTCTCCCTCTCCCAGCAGCAGCAGCACAAGCGTCATCTGCTCAACGATGCCATGGTGGGCGCCGATGAGATTACGGTCAGTGAATCCGACAACAATAGCACCATGATCAAGAAGAAGAAACCACGCTCCACTGCATCAGCAGCAGCAGCAAATCAATTGCCACCCAAATCGCAGCCCAGCGATAGCTGCAATGACATCTACCATGACACGGAACTGGAGGCGGCGGCAACGGGGGCAGCTCCAGGAGCTGTGGTCAAGTCTCAGGGCCTGGATGATAATCGTCCGCCCTTGCCGCCACGCCCACCACCCAGGCCAAGGAACGCCGCCAATGGGTCCATGGGTAAGTGTTGGAAACGCGCATCTTTAAATACTGTTAAAAAATAAACAAAAATGAGAATGCCTAAAATTTATAATAAAATACAAATATGATTAGAAATCATATAAACCACATAAAATACTATTAAGATTAGAAAATATGGGATTGTCGATTTAGGGCAAGCCTTTCTAATTTTTAAAAATTGTCTTTCTTATATTTAGAAATTATTTCTAAAAACAAGAAGTTTTCTAGGTTTCAGGGGGATTTTCTGAAATTCAACGCGATCTTTTTTATCTGTGTATAGAAACCATATAAAAAATAATGAATTATATCATATTAATCGTGCAATACGTTTTCTACACAAAAAATTCAAAAAGTAAGATTAAAATTTCATATTCAATTGAAATTTAAAAAAATCAGAAATATTTATAAGATTCCTAGAGCATCAATATTTGTAGCATGCATTCGCGGGGAAAACCCCGAAAAATACCAATAAACGATATGCCATTCAAATCACAATTGCCAATTATTGCAATTGACATCTGTCTTGCAATCAGCACAGTATTTGGTAACTGATTCCTTGAACAGCATCCGCTCCGAATAATACTTCCTCGTCTAACCTCCTCTTCCTGCTTTATCATCCTTGAGGTTGACGCCTGCGCTTTAGTCTCCTGCTCTCTTTTTGTGGTCTGCTCTCTGCTCTCTGCTTTCTCTCTCTCTCTCTCTCTGGGGAGTCTTCCGTGATTGCAGCACTATTTACAGTTGTTGTTTTTTTGTGGTGGTTGGGAACTGTGTGTGCGTGTGAATGTCAGTAGGGAATTTGAAGTTGACATCGTTCCTTCCATTCCTTTCCATTCCCTTCCGCTGCTGTACTCTCTTACTGCTATCTGGTCTAGAGCTGCCCCAGCTTCCGCGTCTCCCAATTTACCCCAATTACCTAGTCAAATCCCATTCCGCGCAGCTGCCAGTTAAGGCATCTCATCTCGATTCAACTTGTGTGTAGATATTTTTCCGTGTAGCGAAAAAAAAGAGCAGAAGAAAAATAAGTCGAGCAAAACAACAAACCTAATTTTGTTGCCGTGTGTTTTTAAAATGTTTATACAAATTGTGGTTTAGTAAATTGTTTGGGTTAAGCCAGAAATATACACAATCATGCATGGTTATCCGGTGATGCAGTTTGTGCAATACAGCATGCCTCCGCCCTGCTCCTGGGTGCCTGCCCCACCGCCTACATCCTCGGCGGAGGCACATCATCGCGGTTCACTAAGTTAGATATGACGACTAGCTGCTCCCTGTCCATAAGTCGATATTAATCCGATTCTCATTGCATTTGCAGCTCATCGACATGGCGCGGGCATTAAGAAGTATGTGGTCTGGTGCCTTATCTGTGGCGGCTTCAGTTGCCTGCTGGGCGTGCTCTTCCTTGGTGTCTACTTTCTCCTCCATTCCTATACGATTACCGTGGGCAACTTTGAGACGGTGCCCACTTTTGTGCCGGCCACGCTGGTGAGTTCCTGAAAATATCAACTAATTATTAATTATTTTTTAAATAATATATTATTAATCCTTGCAGCTCATCCTGACGGGCGTTTGCATCATGAGTTTGGCGCGTCGTCGCAATCGTTATAGTTATCTGGTGAGTGCAGCTGGGAAATCCTCTCCAATCTGTCTGTCTAAAGTAGAATCTTACAGATCAAGTTATCGGGTGCCTGTGGACTCGTCTCTGCTCTGACCTGTGCCCTGGTCACGGTGACAACCACCGTGCTCCACATGAGCCGGCTGCAGGCGTTGCGGGAATGCGAATATGCCCAGAAGACGCGCACCTGTACCTGCTACTCCGATCTCATCGAATCCCAGGTGGATCGCGTGGACAAAGGTAGGCATAGTCCCTTAAACTCCCAACTCCATAACAATCAATGAGTCAAATTAATTTTTATCAACCCTCTAGAGAGACTTACCAGTGCATTTTTTAATCGATTCGAGTACCCCATAAAGATTAAAATAGGCATGATGATGCCAACACCGGTTCAGAGTCCCCCATATCTATCATTTGTAACTCAACTTTATGTCTTGTCTCGTTAATATTTTAACCTTAATCTTAACTAATTCATACTCTTTTTTTTTTGGTTTGATTGGGTTTTTGGGATTTTCCCCCTCAATCATGCATTATGCATTTAAATGCCACCAGAAATCTTATAAAATATATAATAAACATTTGCTATTTTTTGCAATTTAAATTTAATAAAATTTAATTTTTCGAGCAGACAAACAAATAAATTGTGTTATTGTTTTTCAGAAGGTGTTCGCCTCGTGTTTGACTCGCTGTCCGATTGTGGCGTTGTCCACGGCTCCCTCTACTCCTGCCTACGGGCCATTTTCGGGCTGTCCGTTGCCGGAGTGTTAATCGCCGTCTTTAGCTGCATGCTGGTCTATCAGCTGCTCAGCCACGAGCGCAAGAAAATGTACTGGGAGCAGTTGGAGCTGCGTTGCCGTTCCCTCTACGCCAGCCAGGTGCCTCCTCCGCCGCCTGCGCTGACTGCACCCGGACGTATGCTTAATTGTCGTTGCTGCGAGCAGTGCCACGCCCATCGCCAGCTGACGTTGCCCGCCGCCGGCCTGCCATGGGATGAGGCGAGTGCAGCTGCCGTGGCTGCTGTGGCCGCCGCCTCCGGTGGCGGAGCCGGAGCCGAGCAGCGTTTCTGGGCCGCACAGCCGCCGGGCAATTTCTACTCCCCCAATCCCGGCGAAGAGTCCGCAGCGAGTGGTTGCCGCAACGGTCGAGATCGCGGCGTGCGCAGCGGTAACAGCAGCGGCTGGAGCTGGCCGAGAATGCCCTGGCAGCGGAATACGCCGGATGCAACGCGCCGTTTCCGTCAATCCGCGGCCAGTCCGGATTCACAGTACGGTTTTAGCACGGCGGCGGCGGTTGCCGTCGCGGATGGAGATCGTATGTTGATGGAGGAACCTACGGCCATAGTGAGTACGGCTGTTTATAATGGGTTGCCTACGGCGCTGCCCTACGGCGTCTGGGGTCCTCCACCCCCGTACAGTGATCCCAATAGTCCGGCACGGCGCGGCTACTATCAGTATCTGCAGGCAGGCAGCTGTCTGCCGGCCGGAACGGGTTTACTGGCGCTCCAACAGCATCCACAGCAACTGTCCCAGTTGGAGCAACTGCCTCAGCAACTGCCGCAGCAACTGGCGCAGCAGCCGACGCGTCTGTGTGTTCAGCATGCCGGTCAAGCAGCGACGCTCGAGCGCATGGACGGCCTCTCGCTCAGCGGAGGCACTGCATCCATGGCCGCCATACCACGCAGCGCTGCATACAAGGCCAAGCCAGTGGCTGAATATGAGAACACCCATTCGGATAGTGACGGTGGAGATGGTAACGATGGCAGCTGGACGCGGGAACGCGGCTCCAACACGCTGCCCAGCCGCAAGCTAAAGAAACGCATCGAGGCGGGTGGCGCCAAGAGCATTGGACCACAGAACCAGCAGCGGCCCAATGTGCAGCAACTTTTCGCTGGGGAAGCGGCCGCCGCCAAGGAGCAGCAGCAGCCGGCAACGGAGGAGGAGCTAGTGCAGCAGCAAACTCAGCCAGTTAGTGGCGTGGAGAACGTTGGCTATCAGGATTCGAATGGTGCCATTGCCAAGACGACGACGTCCGCAGCGCTGCCCGGCGAGGAGGCAGCCGAGTCGGAGGTTTATTTTGCGGACGTGAGCAGCTGCTGCAACGACAACTACTACGACAATGCCCAGGTGCATCATCATCATCACCATCAGCATCAGCATCAGCACAGCCATAGCAGTCACAGCAGCAGCAATCCGGAGGATTATCTGACGCAGCGCTTTGGGCGGCGGGAACACTCCATACGCAGTCGCTTGCCCATGCCACCAGCCCGTCTCCCAGCTGGTGAGGATGAGGATGATGACGACGAGGATGATGATGAGGATGAGGATGATTACGAGCGCTCCAATCTCAATAGACCCACGCTCAAAAATGCCGCCCTCGAACAGCAGCAGCAGCAGCTGCAAAAGGACATCTCCCGGCAGAGCATGTGTTCCTTGGAATCCGAGGCGAAGACCGAGTTCACCGATCTGTCCCCAGCCACGCCCTGCGAAGGGCCTCTGCCACCGCCGCCGGCCAACTTTGCCAGCGAACCGCTGTCAAATTCAAATGTAAATTTTGTGGCCACATTTCCGTATTCGTCGGAATCACAGTGTTTGGAGGCACATCGTCGGAGTACAAAAAATATACACGAGCTGCTGCTGGGCAACAGTTGTGCAACTGTTGAGAGCAATCATTCCCCCCACTCACACCAAAACTCACCACACTCGCATTACGAGCTGATCAACGAGCAGCGTTTTCAGCTGCAGCGTTCGCAAAGCAAACACAACTCGAAATCGAAAAACCGTTCCCGGGAACAGTTGCAGGACATCTATGCAGGCGGCGAGCATGCCGATTGGTCCGATGCTGCAGCACCAGTGACAGTGCGAGCCAGCAGCAAACGTTTGTGAGACGAAATCGATATCGAAATCGAACTTTTCGTCTAGGTTTCACACTAACACTAACTCACACCACAAAAGCGTTCACTATCTTCCTTTTGATTTGTGCACACAGATTGTATGCATATATATATATATATATATATATATATGTGCATTTGTAATTTTTGCCAGCCCGAATCAACTCTGTTAACAGTTAGTTTCACTTAATACCGCGCTCTCTCTTTTTCTCCCTATAAGGTAAAACTTTGCTTTAACTATTTTATGCCATCCTTAAATTTATATATGAATCATATTGTAGTATTGAATTTAATGTTGAAATTGTAGCAACGATAATCTATGAATATTATACAAATTATATGTTACACTTACCTGCATATATAAATATATAATACACATACATACATAATACATATGTAGTTAGTTAAACGTTAGATTGCCAGTTATATTTGTTATATTAAACAAGTACACAACAACATATGTATGGAAATTTTAACAAAATGCACGAGTGTTTTTAATTGTAACAGTTAAACGGGCGATTCTCGATAAAGCGATAGGCGAAGACGAGGGCTGGGTTAATTTTAATCGCACTTATTTAAACTGCTAATAAGTTTCGAGTAAGTTAATAGTGTTGGGCAGGGCTTTCAACCAAGTAATTTTGGCGTTTATTTAAATTACGGAAAATTATCGATTACTCAATCTGAGAAAAAACTCTTAATTTAAATTAATAGTTTGACTTTTAATTACGTGAAAGTAAAACTGACAGCTAGAACAGCTGCAAATGGGAACAAACTTACATTCAATAAAAAACTAAACCGATTAAAGTACATTTCAATGTCTTAAACTGAGCAAGAGCGTGAAAACAAAGCTGATCGGTAGAGCCAAGCTTACAACATTTGCCGCCGCCGCATTATTGCCATGTGGAATCTCATTCTCGGAGTCATCCGGCACGACAACCTCATCGGCAGCCAGTTCGTCGAGGGCAAATGTTGTCGCCTCATTTATGGTGCGCAGCAGGGGATAGTTTTGATTGAGTCGCCTTGGCGAGTTGGTGACAAGTCTGAAATCGGCAAAGGTGTCCTCGTCCAGCTCACATTTTCCCAGGAAATCATCCGTGTCCACAGACCAGACCATAACGCCAGCTAATTTCTTCTGCACGGCAAACTTCACCTTGTTCGCAATGGAACGGGAACTATCGAAGGTGACAACGCTCACATCTTGGGTGAAAACATTGCGCTCGGATTTTGCCAAAATTTGACTCGTCGGCGCATCCCATTTCTTGGACCAGCCCGACGTCTTGTTGCTCAATATTCTGCAGATCTCGTTGTAGCCGAGGAACCCGTCCTCACGTGTGAATGGACCCTGGAACCCAACGCCATCACTCGCATCATCCACATTGCCCTGGGCGACAGTCTTAAAGGTGCGTCCATAAAAGGGTAGTCCCAGCACCACCTTTGAGGGTGGAGCACCCAGCTCCAGCAGATAATCGATGGTGTGTTGCTGAAAATATTGATTGAATGCATCGAATATTGGTATATCCTTTTTTTCAGTGTATAGACCCTAGAATTGCTTACCACACTCAAAGGATCCCCCGCTGGGGCCGTCAGCGGAGCATTGTATCCGACTTTGTGATCCCAGCTGCCATGATAATCGTAGCACATGATGTGCAAAAAGTCCAGATACCTGGTAATCTGTCTCACATCGTAGGCCTGATCGATGACATGCTTGGCAGCGCCAATGGCCGAGGTGAGCAGCAGACCATGGCCATCGAATTCTTCCCTCAGCTCCTTGGTCAGGGAAACAAAGTTCTCCCGGTCCGCCGGACTACCGCCTCGCTGTGTGGGATACTCCCAATCCAAGTCCAAACCATCAAAGTTATATTTGCGCACAAAACCAGAGACCTGATGGACGAAATGCTGGCGCTGCTGCACATTGGCCACCAGAGTCGAGTAGTTCCTAGAGCCCTCGTTCCAGCCACCGATGGCCAAGCTCACTTTCAGATGCGGATGACTGCGTTTTAGGCCCGTCAGACGCTCGTAGCCACCCTTGCCGTACTCCTCCAGTAGATCCTGCCAGGGGTCTGCAAAATTGCAACATATGTTACATATTAAATTTGCATATTATACACTTAAGAAAACAATTGCCCAACGTTTAGTAAGCCGATATGGTTGTGACTTTCGAAAAACCACGTTTTACTTCTCTAAATTTCAGAGTGGACTTTTCTAAAATTTAGAAAAAAAAAAATATATATATATACATATATATATATATATATATATATATTTATATATATATATATATAAATATAAATACATATATACACATATATATATGATTTAGGACAAACCTTTCTACATTTTATAAATTATTTTTTCTAATATTTAGAAATTATTTCTAATATATAGAAAAATGTTACATTTTTTAGGGTGATTTTCATTTTAGGGCAATTTACTAAAACTTAAAGCGACTTTTTTCTGAGTGTATATAGTTAACTATACCCAACGATTTGATGACCGACTGCGTGATGTCGAGGCCAGCGAAGGCGTACACAGCATGTGTGCAGAGGCTCGGATCGAAATTCTCAATTGAATAAGCACCGTCTCCAGGTCTATACACCGCCCAGGTGGATATATAACAAACAACCACCTTGCTGTGAGCAGGTCCTGCAGGAAGAAGACGATGAAAGAGAAAATGGTAATATTAAAATGTGTAAAAAGGATATAATGGTTTTAATAAACAGGCGCAAGCATTTCCTGCAAAAGAAATGAAAGCACTTCCACGCATGCTTACATTTGGGTGTGCAAGACTTTTAAATTGAAATTTGGCAATAAAAAGTGGAATATATTTAACAGCCTGGACTACAGGACATTTCAATAGTCGAGCTCACTCGCCTACAATTTGTCTTACTTGTTTGCCCCCCCTTTGCGGTCGACCACAAAATACTCACCAGTCCTGGCGGCAACCGAAGCCCACAATGTGCCCACGATGATAGCCAGCAATAGGGATTGTAGTGCCCACCTTCCAGCTCCTCCTCCTCCTCGCAGGGCCATAAAAGTCTGCATTTGCTAAGAGAATCAAAGAGAGAGTGAGAGAAATGAGAATTAAGCGTCGCTTAAGTGAACTGTGATTTTGCTACAAAAATGTATATATATATATTTGCCGTAAGGCTAAGTATATTGTATCTTCCAGATACATCCAATTAAGCTCAATTGCGCCCAGCTTTTAATTCAGCGCCCAGAGTGGAAGGCATATGTGCTGCACTCAGCAAAACAAACCGCCCGGAAGACTATAAAGTTTTTCTTGTTTTTAGACTTTGTAAATGATTTCTAAATATAAAACAAAATATAATAAATCAACAATCCCAAAAATGTTCTGTATTTTTATTCTATTCTTTCTATTTTTTTTTTTTATAAATATTTTCTTTTATTGGAAATTTTATATATTTATTTTAAATTTTAGTAAATTCTACTTTGAAATTAAGAAAAGGAAAACTCTGATTTTTGGAAATTCACTTTCTGAATAATAAGTTAAGCTGAGTTAAATTGGTGGCAAAAGTATGACGAATTTCTAAAATTCAGGGCGTTTTTATTTTTCTGAGTGTAGGACCGCAGAAAAGTGAAAGGCAGAAATTATAAGAATCAATCCAGATTCTTGTAAGTGTATATATACATAATAATTATGAATTGATTCGATGTGAGTCAGCAAGGTAATCTTAATACAAAATTGAAATGAAATCACATAAACTTAACTACGATGAACTATTCTAAGGCACATATATATATATATATATATATATATATATATATATATATATATATATATATATATATATATATATATATTATATACATATATTTAAAAGTGTGAGCAGTCAGTGAAACCTGATTCTTAAGTTTCATACTTCCGTACACCCTTAAAAGTGGTTGAAAGCCGGTCCAAAAGTGCATATAAACATTTTATTTATATACACCTGAAGACCTGAAGACTTGGAGAGTGAGTTGAAGAATGATTCATTCGCTCAACGGTTTAACCGGTTCACATCTAAAGTGCGTCTTTGTCTCAACAACAACAATTTGCTATCAGTCGAAATGTTGGGCAAACAACAACAAATTTGATGGCTGATAAGACAATATAGACAATATATGTATATAAAAATAGCATCAATGTGCACTCTAAAAACAAAGCCAAAATGTATACAAATAAATTATAGTTTCACTTTTAACTTAGTTTTACTGTTTTTGTATTTTTATGTGATTTTTTTTCTTATCTTGGAAACCGGAATTGGGTGCAGAAAACATCACGAGTCTTTTAAATACACATAGAAAAAAAGGCAGCGGCGAAAAAAAATAAATAAAAAGCGACTTTATTAAAAAGAAATCTAGGGGAATAAACCAGAACAGAGCTAAAATTGTTCCGAGTTTATTTTTTTATGGGTTACGCCTGCGCCTTGGGTTAAAATGAATACCCCTTCTCTGTGTATGTGTGTGCGTGCGTGTGGGTGTGTGTGTGTGTGTAGAAAGCCAATTAGCGGAAAGACATCTTTAACTTTAAAAGCACATTCACATTGACGACGCACTTGAAATGTATACATTTTTTCCTTATTTTCATTAAAACGTGCCTAGCATACTTATTCTTTTCTAGTGGTTTTTATTTTAGTTTTGTACGTACAATATGTTTTTGATTGCCTCAAGACGTGTTTTTAATATATTCACTAGCCAAAACAGAAATTGTTAACGTCGTTAACGCGCCAGCAAAATCCGAACTTCTTCGGGCTGTAGCCACGGCCACACTGTCCAATTTATACATGATTAAGCCACTCAAGCCGAACGTCGCGTACCAATTGCCAGAGAGAGCTGTTAATGCAGACTCTGTTAAGTAACTCAAGAGCAAAAGAAAAACTGCTTGTGCTCTCTTATGCTTATGCTTAGGCAGCAGCAACTCAGTCAGTAGTCAGCAGCTGCTTACACTCTCGCGCTCTCGAAAGGAGAAAGCAGCGCAGCAGCTCAAGCCAAGCTGAAGAATGTTTTAAAGAGAGCGGCTTTGTTTGTGTTAGTGAACAGATCTAAATGTCTGCTTACGCTCAGTGAGCATCTCAAGCCAAGGTGAGCTATGTTGAGTTACCGCACTTAACAGCTGTTAAGTTTTGCCTGTCTGATAGCAGTGGACTGCGGGAGTTGAAATCTTTGAAATAAAATAAATATTTAATAATGCAACACATTCTATAATTGATAATTGCAACTATGCAAATCAAATATATATAAGCACGAACAACTGTCATCAAGAAATCGTATAGAGATATACAATACACAATTTATTATTAAATTCTAATTCAGTACACCTGAAGTCGAAGCAAATCGAAACAATTTCAAGTATAATAAAACTTGGCGCGATATTGTCAGAGTTATCGACGTCGATCGTCGATCGTCGATCGTGTGTGTTTCGTTAACGCAACAGTGGCCAATGGAGTGACCATGTCCACGTCCCATGTCATCTGCTTTTCCCATATACATTTAAGACTTGGCGCGCTTTTTCAATAGACTTGTCGATGCCGATCGATTGCTGAGCGTGTGTGTGTATCGTGTATCGTTAACGCAGCCCTGGCCAATGGTAATTGGTTCGCCTCACTTGCTTTTGCCATTACTATCTGCTAAACATAAACAATCGACTGAAATATATCTGCTGCGTACACACACACATCGAGAGAGATTGAGGAAAAGTCGTAAGGTGCTTTTAAAAAGAGAAAAAGCAAACAAGTTAAAATCGAAAATTCGCAACTGTTCATTGCGATAATGGACACAGTGGATGAGGAGTGTCTGCCAGAAGCGGCAACAGCCTGCAAGCGACTCAAGCGCACCAACTCCAAAGAAATGGGTTCCGGCGGCGAATCAGCAGCTGCTGAAGCCAAAACCAAATCCAAATCGAATGGGGAATCAATTTTAGTTGGGTGAGTAAAAAGCTATGAAAAACAATAATCAAATGCAAATCATCGATTTTTAGCAAGGAGGCAAATGCTGCCATAAATAGCCTCAACAACAACAACAGCAACAGCAACAAAAATTGCAACAAAGAAGAATTGGAAATTAAAAACGCAGCTGACGAAAAAGTCGAGGTGGAGGAAATTGAATCTCCTCCTGCAATGCACCCATTGGCAGTTGCTGTTGATGATGATCAGCCATCGACTAGCAATGCCATCAATGATGAGGAATCCAGCTCGAACCCCTTTCTCGATATTTCACCAGTGGCAACTGCTTTATTAAGCGCCGAAGATAATGTGGATGATGGGATTGGTGAGCTGGCTGGAAATGCTGATGTAGGTCTTGATGTGGATGCCAATTTTCGTATATTTAATACGCCTCGCACTCGCTCCTATCGTAACACATTGCTTAGCCTCTTCTCGAGCAGCAGCAGCAACGATGCCAGCGAGCATCAATCGGAAGGCAACAGTGATGCCAATAATACCACCATCGAAGATGATGACGATGTGGATGATGACGATGTGGATGATGACGAAGTGGAGTTTTTTGCTCCGGAGAACGAGGAGCCGGATGAGCAGGATGCATCGCGTTCGCCGGCAGCTCGCTCGGATGGCAGCAGCTCCCATTCCAGTAATGTGGCTTGGAATCGCGACTATTTCTCGAGCAATGCGGAAACCGAATCCGTAAGTTGATCCGCATTATTTTTTAAATGTGCACTTAAAATTACAAAAATTATAATTGTAATTATTACTGCTATGATTTTTTCCTCTAGTTTTTTAAAAGAAAATATTTATTTTTTTGAAAAGAATTCTAGAAGAGCAAACTTTAATTTATAGGCCTAATACTAATCAACATTTGAAAAAATTGCAAAACTAATGCTTTGTTTTTTCATTCGTAACAAAAAATGTATTACTTTTTTCGCAAGTGTATTATAAATCTATTATTATTATAATAAATAAATTTCACGCACACAGGACTTCTACAATGAGACGGAGGCAAATCCGCAAGATGATAAAATACTGAAGGATTCGGTGAATAATGTGTTGAACAAATCCAAACCGTCCTACAACTGGAACTTTGTCCAGGAGCTGATGCAACGGGAACAGAATGTATTCAATAGGATTGGATGGCGTGGCGGACACACCTCAGCACTGAGCTTCGGCCAGGGTTATTATGCATCCCGACAGGTCGTGGAGCGCATGAAGCTGATGATCTCGTTGAGCCGCCATCGTTGCTGTGTCAACTGTTTGAGTTTCAATCGTTGCGGCGATTTGATTTGCTCCGGCTCAGATGATCTGCGGATCATTGTGTGGGACTGGGCGAATGGCAAGCCGAGGCACAGCTTTAAATCTGGCCATAATCTCAATATATTCCAAACGAAATTCATCGATAGCGCCGGCTGTCTGGACGTGATCTCCTCTAGTCGTGACGGTCAGGTGCGACGTGCCGTCATTCCACCCTCAGGCAGCAGCAGCATTAAACCCACCCATTTGTATAGTCATCGGGAGGCGGTGCACAAGCTGGTCGTGGTGCCACACAGCCGCCACGAGGTGATCAGCGCTGGCGAGGATGCGGCAGTCAAGCACTTCGATCTGCGCTCCAATCAGTGTACAACAATGCTGCGCTGCGTCTCCAGCGTGGCCAATCGCCGTGTCCGCCTCTTCAGCATCGCCCATCATCCGTTTGCGCCGGAGTTCTGCGTCAGTGGCTCCGACGACAAACTGCGCGTCTACGACAAACGCAAGCCCAACCAGCCAGTGCACCAAATGTCGCCAAAAGACGTAAGCTACATCATATTATTATAATTATATGTATATATATATAGTTTATATATAAAAATACCCTTTTTTGATACATTTCGAGAAATTCACGTTTTGTTTTTTTTTTTTATAAAAATTACAATTTCAACTGCTTTATTTTGATTCAAATTCCGATATTTACAACGTTATGCAATTCTGAATTAAAACTTGAAAACTTCTGTAGCATATTTAGTGTATATAGCTAATGTTTCTTCCATTTCAGGCCAAGGTCTCACAGATCACCTGTGCGGTTTACAATTACAGCGGCAGCGAGATTCTCGCCTCGTACAGCGATGCTGCAATTTATCTCTATGACAGCCGCAACTATAAGGATGGCGAATTTCTCCACTCCTACGAGGGACACATGTAAGTCTGCCTATATGTGTATATAAAATTATTCGTTTGGAATAATAGTACTGCTGCAAATGATCAATACACTAATATCTTATTTGCACATCTAAAATGAGTTTATTATCACATAGACTGATTTTAAATAAACCTGTTAACTGTACGTATAGCTATATACAATATATAATAAATTGGGGGACTGTAAAGAGGTCTTGGACATAAATTTCTCTATTAATAAGCCAAAACTTGGGTGGACCCTTTGTACCACCAATATGTTCCGGTTGTTTTGAGTGAGATTTTGAAATTTTCATGATTTCTGAACTATTTGTTAAATATTTTCCAAAATATATATTAGCATTTAATCATTCATTGTGCTGCGGTGTCTTGCTCTTAATTATCTACAGCAATAGCCGCACCATCAAGGGTGTCAACTTCTTTGGTCCGCACTCGGAGTACATTGTGAGCGGCAGTGATGATGGCAACATATTCTTCTGGGATAAGAACACCGAGGCTGTGATGAATTTCATGAAGGGCGATCATTCCGGCGTTGTCAACTGCCTCGAACAGCATCCAACGATGCCAGTGCTGGCCACCTCTGGCCTCGATCATAACGTCAAGATATGGACGCCGAGCAGCAAGCCAGAAACCGTAAGTAAATATACATATAAACTATATATATATAAATATATATATATATATATAAATATACATGTATATGTACATATACGACTCCTAGGAGGTGCCCTGCTCGGATGCGTTGGAGAAGACGTTGCAGCGTAATTTTAGACGCAACATTTTGATGGATGGCGGCGACTTTGATATTAATCAAATACATTATTTCATACGTCAGTTGATTGAGCCACGACGCGGTGCCGCCGCTCCACGGGAGCGTCTCAGCAGTAGCAGCAGCATCAGCACCAGTAGCAACAGCACCAGTAGCATCAGTAGCAGCACCACCACCAGTGGCAACAACAGCATCAATCCTAATCCGGGTCCAGCTGCTGCTTCCAACCATGATCAGCAACAGCGGCAGCGTCGTCGTCGTGCGAGCAGCTCCGATGATGGCAATGCCGATCCTATTGGCTGTCGCTCCCAATAAGAAGAATTATATCCATGCAACCATATTGATCCAAAGTCAAATTTACACACATACATTGAGATATATATTTTAGTCTTCATTTTTATTTTTATTTTTTGTAGTTTGCGAGCTCCTCCCTACAACTAAACTTTGATTAATTAGAAAGCGTTTCAAATGCTGTGAAAAAAATAATTTAAAATTTAAGCGAGCTCATATTCTAATTTGAACAATATTTAATAAAACATTGAAGAACGGCATATCATTTATATTATATTTAAGATTTAAGTTTAAGATATAGTTTAATCATTGGTCTGGCAAATCAAAGCCACGCTCCTCTTTACCCAATGCGAGGCTTTGGCTTGGGTATTGAGAAGTAGTGGCACCACATAGTTCGTGGAGTGTCCCGTTGTGGACAAGGTGCCCTTACGCTCTCCGGTCTTGTACAGTGGACAGCGATAGCGTGTACCCTCCATCAGCTCCAGCAGTGTGATGGGCCGGAAGTAAATTACGGGCATAACATACATAAGTATCTTGGGCAACTGCTCGACGAGCATGTTTTGCTCCCAATGCCAGCGGGCGCCCTCGAGGAACAGCCCATTGCAGTAGACACCGTCATCCGGTGGCGTTGTCTTCGTCTCTACCTTGAGCACATCATAGTCAAAAGTCAACGTATCAATGGGTATCTTAAACTTCCGTGCATAATTCTGCATGGCTCCCGTGAGAAAGGCCTGTGTGAAAAAGAAGCCGGAGAGCCAAAACGTGGGCGGTTTGCCTACCCGATGCCACTGATGAAGCCAATTGAGGCGCTTGTACAGATCCTGCACGTAGGAGCCGAGTGGCTTCAGGCACGGATAGGATTTGCCCATCCATTTGACAGGAATCCGATTGAATCTCATGGCAGTCATCACGTTCTCCAGATCCGGCGTCATCACAATGATGCCCTTGATGCCCATAGCCAGATCACGACAGGAGCCACGGATCTCCTTTTGCAACTTGAGGAAACGTTCCATTTCCTGGACCACAACCGTATTCATCGATTCATTGTATTCTACGGGATATTTATCGGCAGCTGCCTCGATATCCATATCCGGCGGCATTTCAGTCTCAATCTGTTTGATGGTGTCTAACACCATCTGGTCAGCACTGACTCCTCCACTGGCCTGACCCGCTGCCTCGCTGCCCAGCAGCAGGATCATCGAATCCAGCAGTGTCTTCGTCGTCTGTAAGTCCCGTGTAATGCCGGAATTTGCATGCAAACCGTATACCTCGGGCGGAGCCAATGAGGGCATGCTCTCGTCTAGATACCGTATAATCTCTCGATGCTCCGTCTTCCGGGGTAGTATATATCGATCGTCGAAGGCGAAGCGGTAGCGACTATCGGCCACCACTTGCGGATTGCAGAAATCAGCGAGAATCGTGATTATCGCACGCCTGTCCCAGTTATCCGTAACACGTCCGCCGTAATTGCACTCACTGGTCAGATACGAGATCGCATCGTACGGCACGTGCTCGTACTGATTGAGCAGCATCTAAAGGTGAGATATAAATTTATTTAAATATGTATTTATTATTTCTAATAATATGCTTATATTATTACTTAGTTAGAAGTTCACATTTCAGACTTAATATTTCAGTATATATACATATATATCGAGTCAAGTTGCAATTTACTTACGCTCAGCTGCAGCACAGAGATTTGCAGATCGGACTCATTGAAACCGTAGGCAATGTTCCAGCCCAACGGACCGTATTTCCTCCGCTCCTGGACGACGGCATGGAAAAAGCAGATGCCGAACAGGAGACGGGTGAAGGCGCGATCCTGCTTGGCACAGCCCATGTAGAACTCGGGCTCATTGATGGGCTCAGAGTTGTAGGAGCGCATCAGATTCTCCCTTAGCCCCGTCGGCGGTTCGTTCGTCATTTTCACCCCGTTCTGCAGAATCGTAACGGGAAACTGGGGCGTCGGATAAGCCGTAAGCCAAATCCGGAAGTTAGCTGAAAGGAAAAAGAGTGACATTTTTAGTTATTTATTTTGTAAATGTGTAATTATTATTTGTAATGCTTATATTACATGAGACTGACTTTAATTGACATTAAATAAATAAATATAAGTGGAACTATTACATTTGATATGAAATTTCTGGGTCAGCTTATTATTTCAATCTTTGCTCTTCTATAAAATAAATCATGGATGTCCTGATGAGCACTTTTTTTTGTCTAAAATAACCGATATATATTTCACTTTAAGAGAGAGAAACTTGTATTATTTTTGATTAACTCACCCTGCGTGTTGAAGGTGTCCATATTCTCCCAGAGGAACTCCAAGGTGGACATCCAGCTAGCCGCCAAGTGACAATTCTGTAGACAAACCCAGTAGCCCATTTCCTGGGCATTCTTGATCAGAGCCGTAGCAATCGGGCCCTGGCCCTGACCAAGGGATATGCTCTGGAAGGTCTCCTCCTGGCCCATTTTTTCGGCAAATGCCAGCAGCGAACCCAGCGGATCAGCACCCGGTGACAAAATGAAGACGAGCGGAGTCAGAGCCGTTGAATCCGCATACGATTTGGATATATCAAATTCCGGAGGGGAGACAAATTGTTCGCCAATTGTACGCGAAATAAATTTGCGCACACCCAAAAAAACAGAATCCGGCCGTAAAGCTTTCAGCACGATGATCTTCTCAAAGGCCGTGGTCTTGTCGTGCCAGGGTGGCGGCAATGGTTGATCCTCCGGCGCGGCATGATCATAGATGGCCTGCCAGGCGGGCAAATTATCGCAGAAAGACTTTACAATACCCTGCAGCTCCTTGAGCTCCTCCAGGCGCAGCACATTCAGCCAAACGATATCGGTTATCCAACTGGGATTGGGATTGGGTGGTATATTCGCTGAATCTTTGGCATTGGTCAGCAGATGCGATAGATGACGCATCTCCACCTGCCCAGTGCCGAGCATAATGCGTGCCGTCAAGATGAAGGAAAAGAGCAGCTTATCCTTCTCGAAAATGGAGCGACAGACATTGTTGTAAAGATTCTTGGTGAAGCCATCGACGAGGAATTTGATGCGACGTGGCAAATCCTTGGACTTGTTGGCCGTCTCAATGGAGTACATGTACAGATTGATGTACCAATTCAGCGAGAACTGGTACATCGGATCGATGTTTGGTAGGTCGGTGATGGAATAGTAGAGAATGGAGGAATGAATGGCAACCGGTTTGTAATTGAGACGAAATGCTTCGATTTTGGCCGAGGTCTCCTTGGCTGCATCCTGTTTCTCCGTTATGTCCTTGGATAGGGTCTTCGAATCTGCCAATATCAAGATGGCTGCCTCATTCTCGAGGATGTCACCCTCACTGGAGGTGAGTGTCTTAAGGATCATATTTTCGGCATCACGTAAAGCACCCTTATTGGCCGCCGCCTCCGTGGTGAGCATGATGCGCAGCTCCTGCAAATCCGGTCGCTCCTTGGCCACCACAATGCTCAGCAGCTGATCCATCAAAGCGTTCTGGGTGAGAGCGAAATTAATCACAGTCACCTTATTGAAGGTCTCCGGCAGAAAGTGTGGATTGCGGAGATTACACGTCATGTAGAGACGGAAGTGAGGTGAAACCGGGACAACATTCTCTCCCAGACTGATTTGCTTGATACCGCCCTGCATGAAGGTCTGGCGCATCAGTATCGGATCCAGTGGCACCTCCAGCTCCTCCTGCACATTCTCAATGATCACTGGTGCACCGTATTCCAGAGCATCCGCAATGATCTTCATGTAGTTACTTTGATTGAACTTGACACAATTCAAGCGATTCTTTCGCTCCATATTCTTCAGCCAATTGTTGGCCTGACCCTGCGGATCAATGAACAAACTATACCGGCTGGAGTTGGCAGAGATGATGGCATTCTCGCTGGAGAACTCATCGTTGGGCAGCCCATCCAGCTGCCAGTTCTGAATGGTCACCTCCAAGCCGAGCACAACCGTAATCGAATACTTTTTGGAGCAAGGTATTTCCAGATCGATGCACTTCTTGAACCAGTCTTGGACACAGTTCGCACGATACTGGAGATTGACCGCGGACAGGTAGGCAATGATGCCGCACGAGATGAGCACATCGCCGGGCAGATGATCGTACAACTCCTGCAGATCATCGGCTGCCTTATTCCAGCGTGACTTCTCCCCACCCAAGCCACCAATTAGAGCCTCGGCCCGGAGCAATTTGTTCCGACAATTCTCGGCATGCTGCTCCGTCTTCTTCATCTCCTCATTGGCCTTCTCCAGCTCGATGTTGAGCAGCGCCACCTTCTCCTCCAGCGCCGCAGCCATGGCTCGCTTCTCGGCCAGAAATGCCATGGTGTCGGAGTATTCCTTCTCGGCGGCGGCAAGTTTGGCCTTTTTGGGCGCCACAACTTTGGCGACCTCATCGTACATGTCCATCGCAATAATCCATTGGCAGAGACCCTTGGCGGCACTGGACGCCTTGGCCACGACCTTCGGATCAAAATCTTTGTTGGGTATGAACTCCTTGCGTATCCGTTTCATCACCTCGACGGGTATGTTGTCTTTGTCGAACTCCTTGAGGGCGGGCAGGAAATTCATGTCACCCAATATCCGTTTGCTGGGACCCCAGAAATCATTGACCATCTTCCCCGTGGCCGGATCGGGTATACGCTCCGCCGGCACACCCTTCATCACACACACCCCCGCCATGACCAGTTTGATCACCGGTGGGGGATTTTTCATCGATTTGACCAGTGTTATATCAGCCGGTTTGAGCGTATTCAGCGCGGCCAGTGCATCCTCCAGCACGGGTATAGCCTTGGCCAAATCCTTCTCGCACTCACTTTTCAGCACCTGAGCAGCCTCCGCTTGCACGGAGGCCACCTCCTCATCCTGTTTCACCTGCTCGGCAGCAGCACTGGCCGCCAACGTTTCCGTATTGATCTCGAGCATCATTTTCCGGGATGCCTCCGCCAAGGCAACCAGTTTCGGTTGCAACGCATTCAAATCCCGTTGCATGATGGAAATGGCTTCAGCTGCCACAGCCAAAGTGTCCAAGCCGCCAATGTAACGCATCTTAGCGAGCATTGTCTCCTCCTGTTTGCGAGCAATCAAAGTTTGAAAGGAGCGAATCAGTTCAATGAAGGAGGCATTGGTCTGGTAGATGTGACGCCCCGACATCTGGCAGAAAGAGCGGGTGGCTCTGGCGGCTGTCACATGGAAATACTGGCAGGTGTCCATGATGGCCAGCTTAATCTGGTCGGAGGGCACATTCACATCGATCAGCGACATCTTCGCTATCATCTGCAGTGCCTCCTCCGGCCAGCTGTCGTACCAATCAATGGTGCAACAATTCACCAGGGAGGGATACAATCTCACCCGGGTTCTCAGTGCATCCCCAATGGGTGAGAAACTCAGTACGATGTGCAGCTTCTGCTTGCAGCGATTCACAAAGAACGAGAAGACTTGCAGTGCGGAGACATCAATATTCCGATTGCCACCTTGGGCAGCGAGACGCACAAGCTCCAGCACCTCCTGCTTTTCATCGATGGGAAATATGTTGGGCACTTCGCCCTGATTCAACAGACAATCGATGTCCTGGAGGAAGAGCTCCATTTTGATTTGGTTCTCGGTGAGGAGGAATGTGGTGTGCTTATTCATTCCACCTGCCTCTTTCAATATGAGCTTAATGTCATCGTGCCACTCATTGGCGCCATAATTTTTTGTGATCTCCGGCTGAAAGAAGGATGTCTGCACCATGTTCGTAGCCAGCTTTGTCAACGATTGCCTTCCTGATCCGCCCAATCCGATGAGTAGTGCACTTGCCCCCTGTATGGAAATGATGCGGCAGATGCGATTCAAGTGTTGCATGGCAAATGTGAAGAGGGTGATGTCCATCTTGGAGCGACGCGTCGAGTTGTAATCCTCCAGGCTGGTCATGGCCAGATTGTGAAATATCTCCAAGCTGGGCACCTCCTCGTAGCGTCTCTCATCCGGCTCACTATCCTCATCAAAGTACATGCCAAAGAATATCCCATTGGCAGCCTCCATCGTAAACACATCGTCCTGTTAACAATTATTTGTCATTTACAATAAACTTGTATAAAAAATAAGAAATATTTATAAGATTTTTTGGGGGTAAGTGGAGAATACCCTTGGAACAACCCAATCAAATGACAATTGAGTTCTTATGATAGAAATAGAGTACTAAGAATTAATTACATAATAATAATATTGTAATCATTGTGGAGTACTCGAAAAGATTCATGCAAGGATTAATTACAGCGGTCAACAAGAATTGGGAAGAAGTAGCGGGTAGGTTGGTCTCGAGAGGGCAGAGAAAATTTTATTTCACCATTTAGTAGTTTAACATTTAAAAGGTTTAGTTTATGAAGCAGAAGACATTGATTAAAAGAATCAAAGGTAATACTGAAGTATAAGCAAGGGAGTTAAATTCAAAATGGTTAATTGCGACATATTTTATTAGACATATTTTTTTTTAAGTTTTCAGAAAGCCAAAATATACTTTTTAAATATTAAGGGGAGGAATGTAAAAATCACCTACTCACCACGCAGTACTTTTCGAAAACACTCTCCACCCGATCCTTGAAGTTAGCCTTGAGGCACTCGTTCAACTTCTCGAACATCCACTTGCGATCGATGTCATCCACGAGGCGATCATAGAAGACCCGCATAGCCTCGTGATACCAAACCCGGACGAGTATCTTCTTATCATTGACGGACTCCTTCCGCACCAGGGTGCAACCAGTAACAACCCGTGAAATATCGCGCAGATTGAAGATGTAATGTGATTTCGCTGGCGTCGCTCGTATCTCGGACTGGACACTTTTGTAAATGTTTTGGGTGGCGCTCACAATCTGATTGGTGACCACAAACACATCCTGCCCATGTCCGGAACGTCGAAAGCCACACAGGGCGACATTGAGAAAAATGCGGAACATGGTGTCATCACTGAAAGTGTTGATGGAGAAGACATTAAAATGATTGAGGAATCTTGCATAGACATCCTGACGACTGCCGCCGGGCAGACCACAAGCGGTGATGATGAGTACATCCTTGATCCAGATCTTGGAGCTGTCGCGCAGATCATAAACGTGGCCATAGTCAAAGAATTGCCGGAGTAGCTCTAACGGTGGCTGAGCTCCGTAGACCTCCTTCACCGGCATATTCATATCGTCCACGAAGAGGACGCTCTGCATCCCCTTCGGCGGACCATAGATGCCCCGTTTCAGTTTGAGCAGCTTGGCAATGAGCTGCTCCTGCGTCTGATTGGCCGTTATCATCACGGTAAAGGTAATGAAACCAGTTTCGTACAAGTCTGGATTGAGTTTGTTCATCAAATAGTTCTGGATGTAGACACTCTTGCCGGTGCCCGTCGGTCCGACGAGCAGCATGCGTTTCTTGTGCTGCACATGCATCTTGAGCAGGTGGATATAGCGAGCGGTGTCCACGGTGGACACAATTACGCCCGTCTTCGTCTCCTCGACGTCCATGCGCTTGGCGAGATCGGGCCAATAGCGCCAGGTGCCCCGTTGCTTGAAGATGAACACATAATCCACGATCAGACCCTCGGTGGGTGGTGTCACCTCCATTTTGCCTAGTGCAGCGGGCTCATTCTCATAGAGCTGTGGAGCAGGGAAATTAAAATCAGGAGCAGGAGGGGTTTCCCTAGAGACAAGTTCCTTTTCTCACCTTTCTCAGCTGTACATCGAATTTCTCGCGGGACTCCGTGTTGAGTATTCCGCCCACGCCCCACACCAGGGCGTAGAGCAGAGCTGCTTGTATGTAGCCCTGGACGTACTTGTCGTAATCCTCAGGATTCTCCTCAATCGCCTCGTCCATCAGCATGTCAATCAAATCGAAAGTGGTTTGCATTGTGTTAAACTCGCCCGGTCTGATAAACTGACTACAGAAACGACGCACAAATGTCAGGCACTAAAAAGGGAACAATAATGATTAGGATATTAACTATGCCAGTTAACAGGAATCTCATATTTATCACATATAAACTCGGAAAAAATCAAATCGACTTTTTCTCATAGTGTACTCACCGGGAGCAGGAGCCACTGGAGCATGGCCAGCATGTACTTGACGTTTTCCTCGTCGGCCCATCGGCTGTCAGCCTTCTTGAGCCAGGTGTTGGCAAAAGCGCGCCAGCCGAGAGTGGCGGGCTCCATATAGATCATACCACAGCGCGAGACAGTAGCAGGAGATGCCTGGGCCAGATCCATGACCTCGAAGATCATGGACATTTCATTGGACATGGTGATGACCTCGCCACTGGTCAGACACAGTTTCTTGTTGTCGTCGAGGACAGTGTTCATGTTCTCAATCCAAACAGCGTCAACGGGACCATCAAAGACGACCTAAGGAAGAGGAGGATATCTAGAGTATAGAGATTTGGAATTTAATTCGGCTTACCCATTTCCTGTCTGGTGTTGGGGTCATGGCAAAGTCACGAAAGATCTTGGCCACCAGACCATCCGTCCACTCGTAGGAGATGGGATCGAAGGAACCATACAACTGATTCATAGTTATAGACTTGGGATTCATGATGCCCATGAGGACATGCTGGAAGTAGTTGCTCTTCCCCGGCGCCTTAGTCTTTAGTGCCGAGAGGACCTTGGCCAGCACCTTCAATGTCACGGATTTGCCGGCGAGTGGTTCACCCACCAACATGAAACCATGGCGCACAATGATCATCTCAAATGTTTGAATCACTTTGGTGAGGAAACTGGGAGTCGGTTCGAGGATCTCATCTTGGCAGACACGCTTGAACTCCAGCTCCATGAGGGAGTAGTCAATTTGGGGCAACTTGATGCCCGGAAAGATGTCCGAGATGATGCCCTCAAACAGGGGCACATCGAACGACAGAAATTTGGGCAGATTCACATCGATCAAGCTACGTAGGAGTAGAATATCCTCCACCTCCTGCGGATACTGTTTCTTGATGTTGCCACAAGCGGAGAGCACCGTTTTCACGGCACGCATCCCGTAATCATAATGATTCTGGCTGGACAACTGCTCGGAGCAGAGGCGATAGGTGGTCACGATTTTCACGGCCAATTTGCGGGCATCCACAAAACCATAGGAATAGAGGGAGATCTCCCCGATCATAGCATAATCGGGCACCATCATGGCCACCGAACGGAACAGGACTTTCAGATTGTCGGGCAGCTCGGAGCGACCCGCATAGCCGGGATTCATGGTGATGCAGACATAGCAGGCGGGATTAAGGATCAGCTCGGTGCCCTCGAAAATAAACTTGGTCACATTGGCGCGCACCGCCTGAATGATGAGCAGTATCTGCTGGGCAACCACCGAGAGTACCTCCAATTCAATCCGATTGAACTCATCGAAACAGGCCCAGGCACCACATGAAGCAAGTCCCTTAAAGAACTTGCCCATGGCTTTGTAATCCAGACCATCCGAGCAATTAAACACTTTACATTGGACAGCCAAAGCCTTGGCCAGATCCTTGGTGGTCTCCGTTTTGCCCGTGCCAGCGGGTCCCTCGGGAGCACCATTCAAGTGCAGCTGATATGCCCCTACCAGGGTGCGATAGCAGCGATCCGTGAGCGGAGTGATCACAAGACGATCCGAGTTACCCAGATACTCGTTGGCATAGGGCACCGTTGCATTGATGATCCGCACCAGCATTGTGGCATCCTCCCAATAATAGCGCATCTGGGCCAACCACTGGAAATCATATTCACTGCTGATCTTCAAGCGGATCAACTCCTCTGTGACATCCTTGGCATGCACATCGATGACAATCAGGGATTTGATCGTGATGCGATTGAGATTACTAATAACGGGGGATCGCACCAGATTCACAATGTCATTCAGCTCCTTGGACAACTCCTGAAAGAAGTGATTCATTACTGTCTGATTGCCACCGTAGCTTCGACGCAGACAGCTGTGCATCCGCGAGGCCCAGAAGACCTGCGAGATGGCCAGGACAACCATCTGGGGCCACTCCACAACCCACTCGTGCCTCCTTACAGTCGGATAATGATTGTAGGATAATTCGCACTCATTGCGCACTGCCTTCAACATTTCATCCTCAACACCAATCAACCACTTCTCCACGCTGCCACCGGCTGCCGCCGTCGAGATCTGTTCGATGAATACAATGTGCTCCTTGTCGCTGCTAAGCATGGCCAGGACATTTTTGGCCGAATCGAATTCCAGTATATTGATGCCTTCGAAACATTTGCTGAGATGCGGTTGGACACGCAGTGGATCCTTCGTCTCGGAGAGTATCTCCAGCATTTCATCGTTGGCCAGAAAGAAGAAGCGTGGAAAGTACAATCGCTTCTTCTCCAGATAGTTGCTCACGCCCGTCGAGATGTCCTCGAGCAGCTCGTTGGCCTTCTGCAGGGACTCAAGCAAACCTGAAACTGGCGCCGTTTCCATGACCAGAGGCTGACGGAGCACCAAACCCATATTCCGAGTATAAGTCTGCTCCACAATCGTAAAAAGTCGTCCCTCCTCGGGCATCTGGGCCACAATATCCTTGGAGGAGAAGATGGGCAGCAGGTACAGATAATTCACTTGCACCTTGCCCCATTGATCCAGGGTCTCGTTGACCCGCATGATCTTTTCGTACCAGGCGCGCACCTCCTCCTCGCACGGCTTCATGAAGGCGGAGCCACGCATGGTGAGCGTTTTAAGGATGTGATCGTCGAGTAGCGCCTGAATTTCGTCCAGACTTGAGAGTATCGTGACGCCCGTCTCCTTGTATGGGCCAGTGGGGAATACCTTGTTCTCCCACTCCTTGATCATGATCTGTAAATTGTTCCACAGCTGCAGCTCCTTATTCGCACTAATGCTGATTATCTCGAACTGATCGAGCACATGATCCAGCCCAGAATTAAGAATCTTACGGAGCGTTGTTCCCGCATGCGGCGTTATATCAAATCCGGCTATCTCCGACATCTCCTTCCAGTGGCGCTTGCGCAGCGCCGGATTGCATAAAGTGTTCACTATGAATACGCCGATGGTGAAGTCCTTGATGGACTTTATCATGGTGGCGCAAAGTCGCAACGGAACCGGATGCTTTGCGGGATCCGGATCTTCAGTTTGCCCCTGAAAATAAGCAATAGTAAGTAATGCTAATGGAATCCTATACTCAGAAGAAAAATCGCCCTTAAATAAAAATCCCTTTAAAAGCTAGAAAGCTTTTCTTGATTTTAGAAATAATTTATAAAAGTTAAAGAAGATTTTTCTTAAGATTAAAAAGGCTTGCCCAAACGTAGATTTGTCCTATTTTTTAAATATTTAATTATTAAAGGCATTAATGCAAGGCCTTGATTTTTAGAAAAAAATCCTTTTTCAAATTCATTTACTGGCCCGACTTTTATATAAAAGTTTAGCTGTTGTCCCTATAAAATCGTAAGTTATTTCAAATTAAATATATCAATGCTTATAAACTATGTACAATGTTTGTATATGTCAAGTTTAAATATTATATATTTATTTGAAGATTACAATTAAAATCCCATATTAATTATAAGATTTCACATATACAAACATTCAAATCAAAAGTGACAAAAAAGTTATTATAAGAATTCTTTTTTGTAAAAACATAGAAAACAACACCCTGAAAAACAATTTTAGAAACATACTCTCCGAATAATAAGGTGAGTTTTACCCTTGGCGATTTTCCAAATTTCAGTGCGATTATTTTGAGTAAATGTATAAATTCTCATTCACCTTAAATTTGCAAACGGGATTCTCGACCATATCCTGTTTGATCTTGATGCGATAGTATTTCTGATTCTTCTGGAACTCCCTGAGATAGTCCTCCGTTGTGGTCTCCACAAACTTCGGCTCCAGATACTCAAACGGACCATCCGTCCAGACGCTCAAGTAACGCTTCCACTCAATGCAGCACCTATAAAATCCGGCGGATTAGTAAGAATTTCACTTACGCCGGAGTTTTACTTACTTCATCAGCTCGGCAAAGGGGTAGACAAAGGATTTGATGACCTCCAATGTGGAATATTCGGTTTGGTTGACTTTGAACAGTTTCTCCTCCTTGTTGATCCATGCCACATAATCATCGGCCGTCTTCAACTGATCTATAAAGTTCTGGAGTATTATGTAGGATTCGCGAAACTTTTCCGGTCGACTCATATCATCGATGACGGCCAATTTCGGTAACATTCCTTCGATGTCGGCGTTTAGCTTCTTGACGACCTCCTGCAGATGCTCCTCGAAGAGGAACTTGTAGTGCTCCTGCTGGGACGCATTATAATCGCAGATCTCGTTGATGTCCTTGATCCAATTGATCGTCTTGATGGTCAGGTCGAAATGATACTTGGACATCTGGGTGAGCTCCACAATATTCGTGCCCACCTGCAGACAATACTGGATGCGATCCGTGAGCTCCGCCAGCTTTTGCATCTTCACATAGATCATATAATCGGCGCTCTCGAGCAATTCCTCCGTTGATTTAGGTATGAGCAGAGCACGATCCTTGATCTTCTCGAACTCATCACAGATCTCCTCCTCGGCCTTGATGTGCTCCCTAATAATGATGGCCGTAATATTCGCTATCAAATTTTCTGCCAAACTGCGCAGTCCCTGAATGAGCGGCTCATTATCAATTACGGCCATCTCAAAGTAATCCGTAGCGGGTTCACTACGGAGCATATTGATGAACTCATAGTATTTCTCGATGCGGCCAAAGTACTCCTCGAACTCGTGCGGCTCCTGCAGAAACCTATTCAGCGCCTTGCGCTCCTCATCTGAATAGAGACCAATGTACTTATTGCGATAGCCCATAATGTAATCCGTCAATTGGGTATAGGTGTGCCCGATGATCTCTTGAATCTTCCTGATCACATCCTTCACATAGTTCTCATTCATTTCGATCTTCAGATAATCGCTAATCTGGGCAAAGTTGGACAAGGTGTCTACCTGCGGCTGCAGTGCCTCCATCCGACAACCGACCATTGAGATTTCCGTCACAATTTCACCAAAGATGGACAAGATATTCGTAAGACTTGGTCGCATATCCAGCCCATCCTCAAAATCATCCCAGCCGAGGGACATGCGGAAAACGGGCATAGTTCTGGGAGTGCTGCAGACGCGAAACAGTTCCTCAAAGGTACGCATCTTCAGGTTGTTCACCTCCCGATTCATCAGACCCTCCAGCCCACTCCAAGCCCGCCTCCACACATTGGCGGGCATTACTCGCTTCCGCAGCATACGTCGGAGCACGCAAACCAACCGAGTGTACCACGTCCAGCGGAGAAAAGTGTTCACCTTGTCCAACTGATTCTGAATGTACTTGCGATAGAACTTGTAGGAGAGTGCCTCCCTCCCACACAATCCCAGCTGCTGCTGCTGAGCACCCATGGCGCCCACATAACGGAAAATGCACGCGAATTCAGGTAAATCCAGCACGGAGATGCTGAGTATGATCCGCATCGGAGGCTGCACAATGAGCAGCTTCTGAGCAATTTTGCGTCGATTCTCCAGATACGCTTTATAGTTGGGCGAACGCCCCGGCAAACTTGAATGGAAATCGGCATGAGGCAGATCGAACTTTGAGGGATCCTCGTCGGAGAATTCGGGATGGGTGAGTATGTTCTTCATGCTGTAGATCTTCATCAGTCTATCGTATTCGCCGTGCACTTCCGTCATATACGCCTCAACCAACTCTGGATATTTGTTCTTCAAACGCTCTGATGCAAAACTGAGTATCTTCGACTCCGTTTTGTGCAGCATTCGGGGCACAATTATTTTGCGCACTTCGCGCCTCAAGTTGTCCACGTAGTGCTCCTGGGGCAGTGGTCGCATCTCCGGCTCCGGTGCCCAGGGTCGCTTCGCTATTATCACCTTTATGTCCGCCGCCCGCTGCTTGAGGAAATTGTAATGCCGTCGCTCGTGGACATCGGATATCCGGAATGTGAGCAACGGATTCTTCATATACGGCTCATTGTCGTACTTGGTGATGTCCGAGGGAGGACGATGCATCCGCTCCAGCTTTTTGCTAAACATGTTGCTGCCGACTCCTGCTCATTTATTAATATGTAAATTTCAAAGACACTTTTCACTTGAGGGCGGCAATGTCCGGCTTTTTTTTATCGTTACTAAGGCAACTTAAAAAAATATTTGTTTTAATTTGTTCTATAGAAACTGTCAGTAACTTGTGTGTGTTTGTGTGAGTGTGTATTTGAATTAATTTATTTACTTACGATCAAAATATATGTAAATTGCAGCCGATTGTGGTTGCGCGAGAAACAACTCTCTAAGAAAAAGGCTAGTTGGCTCTGGCAGTGTGTGCATCTTCCCCAGCAGCAAACTAGCGAATGACTCAGTTGTTACTGATAGCATTCTGTATGCACACAAAATAATTGATTACCTAGTAATGATTTTGTACTCTGAGTTGTAACCTGGAGGTTCTAAGTCAAGCAAAAATATTAAAGTTTTTAAAGTTATAAATAGTAATAAATAATAGTAATGGGCTGAAAAATATTTCTAAAAACTAGATATGGTAGAAATAAGTGTCACATATTGTTCACATAGGTTCACCAAATTTTAGCTTAATTCTATAAAAATCGATGTCCTAGACCTCTGCAAAGTTGAACAAAACTGGAAATTTTACAATGGATTAACGTTAGAATTAATCTTAATAAATTCACACCATAAATTCTCAATCTTCATTTTACTTTAACGATTCTGTAGACCAAATCAGTAACGAACGTATGGTAGTCTACACTTATCCGTTATTATAAGATATAGGTTCCGATCCGTGATTTTTTAGTATATTATATTGTTCCAACTGTGAAAAGCAAAATTTTCCCATTATTTTAATTATTTCTACAATTTGAATTCCCCTCTTAACAGATTGGAAATGATTGTTCAGATTAACAACAACTTTAGTTTTTCTTTTTTTTTCTTCAAGCAACAATAATTACAATAATAACTTTATATATGTGTATAGGTATGTATAATATTTGTTGAATCGCCTTCAAATATACAATTTATATATATATTCTAAAAAAGAGAACCCCGAATTGTTCATCAAAAAACAGCCTTAAGTTTATGCAGATGTCGATTAGATGTGTGTGTGTAATTTGAAGGCTTTTGTTTATGTTTTAGTTATGAGGACATAAGAATAGCTCTTTTTGGGGGGTAGGATCGTGGGGCATTCTTCTTAGAATTTTACAATTGAATAGTTTTCACAATACACAATACAATTATTAGTAATGAGCGTTTTGAACAATAGATTCGTAAAAAAGAAATTGCACATGTTTTGATATATTGATGAATTTTTTTTTCTTGTTAAGGTACGTTTAAGCGTTTTCATATCTTAATCATTAGATAATTAATTAATGCATGGATATTTGTTGTAAATACTTACATATGGGTGATAACGATATTTTATATATATCTATATATAGATTTGCGTTTAACAATTGCAATAATGATTGATTCTAGTTGTAGTTTTGTTTCGCTAGACATTGGTCATTAAAAAGTTAACAGTGACGACATTCTTTATATCTATATGTATACTATAACTGTGTGTATTAATTATGCCCTCACACTTGTTATCTCTCGAATTGCAGGACATATTCCTTGAGCGGACCCGGCAGATTCAAGCGATTCACATTCTGCGCCAGCTTTCGATTCATGGCCTCGTAGATGGCTCGCCGGGCCAATTGTTTGAGGGATCTGGGGCGACGATAGAGTGTCGAGATGAGGGCAATCAATTGTTCCGTTTTCTTACTGGGCACTTGAGCTACGTAGAAATTATGCAGCGACTTGAGGCAATTGAAGAGCGGCTCGTGCTCCATCGTCAGATAGAAGAGATGAATGATTCGTGTGTATGTCAATTGTGGATCGTTGAGTATGAATTCCTTTGTGGTTATCAGTACGATATAATAGAAGAGCAGATATCGTGAACTAATCCGAAACGAATTCCGAAACGTATTATCGCCCAAGGCAGCTGCGCCAGCACCACCCGCAGCAGGAGGTCCACCACCTGCTCCTGCTCCAAGTGCCTCGCCATAGCTGGCAATTTCACTCGAGAAGATGGCAATGCCAGGCGTTAGTTTGCTGCTCAGCACAATATTGGGATCGGCACCGTATTGGATGAGCGTCAGAGTCAACTCATAGATACATTCCATGTCCTGGCAAGTACGCACATGCGGCACCATATCCATGACGGCCTGCAGTATGTGCTGATATGTCTTGTTGCAGTCCAGACCATGCTGCAGCAGCAGCAGCAATATGTTCTTAATAAAGTCAAAGTTTGTGCGTTTCTGGGCATCACAGTTAACCGTCAGATTCTCGCTGACCGTAAAGACGAGCACATGCAACGGCTTCAGGTTCGCTCGATACGAACAATTCAAATTGGCGCCATGCTGAAGCAGTATCCGTATACAGTTCATATAGCAGACCTAAAATATGATCAATGATTAGCAATTGTATATATATTTGAGGAACACTTTTCTTAAATCAAAAGCATATCTCACTTTAATATAACCGTCATAATGTTAATTACTGCATGTGACACCATTTATCGCTAAATATGTTAAGCAACATTTATATTTGCTCATATGCACAGCTCTAAATATTGCCGTCTTCATGTTAATTACTCGATGTTTCATTTGCATGTGTGACCATATATCTATACTGTACTCATTAGCATAGTTCATTTACACGTAACCAGCATAATGTTAAGTGATCAATGTTGTAATCGATAATAAGAATGAGCAAGCTGATCGAGCGATAACAAACATCGCTACGAAATGACATTACTTTTGAAACGCGCCAAATAAATGCAAATAAAAAGAGATTATTGCTACAATATTGGCAGAGACTTACTTTCATTGAATGTGTGAAGTGATGCAGATGATCCTTGTTAATCAGCGGCACCAATAGCACCATTATAGGCACTGAACCATCACGACCCACAATATTCGGATCACCTGTATATGAGCAAAAAAGCACAAGTTTTAATACATTTTTATTTATTCATTTATAGACTACTCACCATCCTCGCGTATGAGCATATTGAGCAGCTCATAGCAGACTTCCCAATCGCGCAGATGACGAAACACGCATGCCATGGCACTATTGCCCGCCTGATTGATGGATGGCTTGGCGCCGTTTTGCAGCAGGAACCGGACCAAGTGCAGAACATCCCATTTGCTCCACTTGTCGTAGCCATAACGGGCCTCCTCCAAAGCATAACGCACAATCAATGCATGCAGCGGCGTATTCCCCAGGGAATCCGGTGCATTTATCAGCTCCTTGCAGCCCCGATCGAGCAGGATGCGCAACGTGGCCTGCGTATCCTCAGCCGATTTGCGAGCAGCCAGAATGACTGGAGAAAAGAAGAGCAGATTGTTAATAGAAAATCACATTTAAAGTGTGTATTCATTTATTCATATTCAACGTTCAAATAAATAAAAAATAAAGCAATAATTCCAATTATCAATCCCTTACCAACATGCAGCAGGGTCATCTGTTGGGTGCAGGTGCGCACTGTGGTTATCGCTCCATGTTGAATTAGCATCTCCAGAAAGCGTCCATCGTGCAGCACGGCATGATGTATGGGATAATATTCGTCCATGATGAGATTTATCTCCTCGGAACGTGTCACAACCAGCTGCTGAACACAGTTCCAAGCACCCCGTTCACATGCTAAGTGAAGCAGCGGTTTCTTGGCCCGAAACGGTATCCAAGGCTCCTCCATCTTCTGGGTCATCATGCTCAGCACATTATACTGATCGCCTGGAAGGAGAATATAATACAATAATAATGTAAATATACAAATAAGTAAATACATATAAAAGTATAAGCATATAAATATAAATATGCAATATAACTATAAATATAATATATATATATATAACATATTCCGATTACCATCGATGGCATAGCACAGGGCGTTCTGTAGCTTTGTATTTAGTCTCTCGCTGACATCGTCCACTTGGTGACTCTGCCACTTGCCACTCTCCTCACAGTTGTGCGAATGTGAGCCTGGAAAGCACATTCGTGTGTCGGCATCAATGCGTGCTCCATGTCGGAGCAAGAGCTCCACACACTCCTCGTAGCCACGCAGCGTGGCAATGTGCAGGGGCAGGGAGCAGGGCGATCGATTGACATCAGGCCGATGGCGATGCAGCAGCCATTTGGTGAGATCGATGTGATTGAGGCCAACGCTACGCTGCAATATATTGTAGCCACAATCATCGTGAATGACGAGAATGTTCTCATTCTTGGGTATCTGTATCAGTAGACTCTCCAAGGTTTGCAGCGAGACTTTGGGATTTGCACGCAGTATTTCGAAGAGCGTCTGAATTTTCTCCTCCGTTGCCTTGGACACTTTGTGGCCATCGCGATGGGAGAGCAGCGCCGAACCCGATCTAAACACTTGACTAACAGATCCGCCCATCTTAGCACCTGATCCTACTCCTCTTCCTCCAAAGATGAATTGTAGCTATTTGATAAGACGTCTTCTTAATGGTTGGAGCAGCTAATAGTGGCAATTTGTGAGTGCATCTGCATCTTTGCGAGATGAAATCTCGCTTTTTGCCTTCTCTTCTGCCTGCCCCACAACACAATAAATTGTAAACAATGTTTTGGGCAGCAGCCAGCAACAGTAAAAATCAATACGGATGCGAGTTTTTCACACATTCAGCACACAATTCAGCACTTGGCATTAGACGCACTCTGCATTCGATTTTTCGATTTTCATTTTGACATCCTGCTTGTTCTTTTTATACATATAAATCAGTGCACAAATGCATTTCTAAAGCATTTATAACACCAAAAAACTTTTCTACGCTGTAAAACAAGATGCCAAACGGCCTATCAGCTGTGCACGTCTATCGACTATCGATAGCAATTAATTGAAGCTGCATAAATATTCGCCAGCCCTGGTCGATTGCGTATTGTTGTTGATATAATTTAAATATATATATTTTGCAGCCTATTAACAGTAATTAACAAATAAATTGATTAATTAATAATTAACAATTACAATGAATTTGTATTCAACATTTTAAAGACATTCCTCGAAATCAGTGCAAAAATTGATCTCATCATCATTCAAATTGAAACCGTCTATCGACTATCAATAGCAATTCATTTAAGCCACATAAATATTGGCCATCCCTGCTCACTTGAGCATTGTTGTGTATTTATTATGGGCGCCGGGCGGCGTCAATGATATAACTAATAGATTTAAATATATGTATCTGTATCGTCCTTGTTGGTAGCAGCACCAATGAAACTTTAATTTGATTGAATTGTTTACATATTTGAAGTTGGCGCCCTGGATTAATATAAAATAGCGTAAGTTAGCTCTAACTACAATCGCACACAGCGTTAAATGCACTTGAGCTGCAGCTGTCGTCGTTAACGAGCGCTTCAGTGGTCTGAACTCCCGCCAAGTGATGTCTGAGACATGCAAAACTTAACAGCTGTTAAGTGTGGTAACTCAACATAGCTCATGCTGCCACCTTATATCGTTGTTAAGCCCGATAAAACAGTAACATTGCAATAATCGATAGTAACATTTCCAAATAAGAACGTTTTACGGAAAGCATTTGTTAGGTTTGCTTTTGTTACAATAACTCACCTTTAATTGGCTACCAAAATGTCCGGCTTGGAGTCGTATATCAATCACACCGTGTCCATAATCACGGCAGATGGTCGCAACTTCATAGGAACGCTGAAAGGCTTCGATCAGACGATAAACATCATCATCGATGAGTGCCATGAACGCGTCTTCTCAACAACGGCGGGCATCGAGCAAATTGTGCTCGGCCTGCACATAATCCGTGGCGACAACATCGCCGTCATTGGCCTCGTAGATGACACAGTGGACGCCCGCCTGGACTTGGCCAATATACGCGGCGAGCCACTGGGACCAGTTGTCCACTGATTAGAATCGGACATAGTTTTAAGTTCTACAAGTAAATAAATAAAAATCGATAAAATAGCAATTTTACTCTCATAAATTTATTCGGAGTTCACGCTAAACTTAATCTCGCGACAATCGAGTGTGTCCAGATCGATGAGAGCCACGCTCTGCGTCCGGCTGAAGCTGGGCACGCAGACGAGACGCGTTCGCTTGCTGCTCTCCTTCCTAGAGTCCTCCAGCAACTCCGTATCGAAGGAGGCGCAGTTTCCAGCGAAGTAAACATGTGGGCACTCCTGCATAATGAAGGGATCACTACCGATGTACGGATAACTGGCCAACGTGTCCGGCGCCGTTGGCGCCAAGTGGCCCCATTTGAGTGTGGAACTCAATGCTAGCAGTGACGAATCCAACGAGGTGCTGCTTAACAAATCCTCCACATTCTGCCCGGCTGTGCCCATGACGTGAGCACCATTCAGCCGACAGCTGTAGGGATTGGGCACAGACTGGAAGGAGGACAACTGCCCGGCAAGTGGAAACATGCATTTGTGGAACGGCTGCTGGGGAAACATAAAATTCGCCGGATCAAAGGCACCGGGCATTAAATCCACATGCAAAGCACGAGCCCAGGCTGCAAACCAGGTGTCCAACTGGGCAATAGCCTGTACAGTATCATTCGCATTGGCCTGGGAGCGTGCCACCTGCAGCGTGGGCAGCTCTACCAGCGCTGTACTCCTCACCGAGTTGCCGGCAACAATTAATCTGACCATGGATTGAGCTCGGACAGTATTGCCCAAGCTGCCGCTTAGCCAATACTGAAACATGTTCAATGCATCCACATAGTTATGCGATTGCAGCTGATCCAGGCCAGAGATGATCACCAGTTTCCCAGCATTGCTCCTCAAAGCGAGCGACTTTTGTGGTCCGCTCTCTAAGAAGAGCACCTCCTCCACATTCAAATAGCCATCGCTATCGGTGCCTCCTTTAACTGCACACACAATGCCCGTTGCTAAATTTCTGCCGTCCAGTATATCACCTTGCAGTCGCACGCGCTGCAGTTCATCCTCCAGGATGACTTTATCCTCGGGCTCTGAGTAATTTTTGCGTTGTGGTTGCGGTGCCAGTTGATTCTCCTCGGAAATGTCACGCAATATGCTCGGCTTGTGCGCCTGGTGCTTGTAAATGGTGCCAATGATGATGCAATTGACGTTCTGCTCGCCTCGCAGTTCGCAAAGCTTCATTATGGGCACCTGATTGTCCCATTTGGATTTGGCCAGCGGCGTTAAAAGTCGCCTCATTTCGGCCAAACGATGTGTGTATAAATGACAGAATTGCTTTTGATAGTCGCTCGTCTGCAGCAGAAAGCAGCTGCTCAGATTCTCATAGGGACATTCCAAACGTTTCGCCATGTTAAAGTCGTATTTATCCTGCTTAATTCTTTGCAAATTGCAATTGCTTTTAATGCACTTTTACGCGCCAATAATAAATATACAATGTGAGAGTGACCAGGGCTGGCAAACATTTTATCGATAGGCGAGACCAGTTAACAATGCGATTAACTGGAATAGACAATATATATACATACATTTAAATCATTTCCAGAATTTATTAAAGATGTCCGCCGTCAGTAATAAACATGCAAGCGAGAAGGCTGGCAAATATTTTTATCGATAGACGCACACGCTGATAAGGCGATTAGCAACTCTTTTAAAGTGTAGAAAAAGTTTTAAATTTGTGTGCAACGATTTCGCTGATTATGCGTTTAAAACGTTAAATACAAATGCGTTTTATTTGAAAGAAAGCGAGTAAATTGTATAATGAAACTACAAACAAATATATATATGTAAATCATATCAAGAACTTATTGATGCTCTCCGCATACGCTGTGTTCAGCTTCTGGTTTAAGGCTTCCTTGGGCAGCCACTCGTAGGTACCAGAAGTTTCCGACCGCTTTACAACCACATTGCCAGATCTGAGAGAGGCACGATAAAAGAAGACTTTGGCGCCAACACTCTGAGTGCGCTCCTTGATGGGGTATTTGTACTTATGGAAACCGACTGGCGCATTGCCATAGAAGACCACCTGGATCTCATTTCCACATTGCTCGCGGAGCACACGTTCCGCCGTTTGTCGCATGGATTCGCCCTGCTCGCGTTGACCCTGTGGCAACACCAAATGCTGCTGTGATCCCAGTTTTTGCTTCACGACCAAATAGAGTATATCCTCCAGGCAACGATCCGTTGACGTTGCCTTATTATTTGCATCGTCGGCTGTTGTGCGTGGAGCCAATTGGAATTTTTTTAGTTCCTCGGTGTATGCATCTTTCAGATCCTGAGCCGTTTGCTTGGCCACCGTGTCGTCCAGATCCACCTGCATTTTGCCTTGCTTTATCAGCTCCGTTTGCACCAAATCTCGCTCATTTTTTAGCTCAAAATCCGATTTAAGACTCTTCTCGTATTCGACATGGGAAAGCATTGCCTGAAATTGTTGTTCCAATGGATTCAATGTTTTGGATACAACCGGTAGACGTTCGACCAAAACGCCAGCAAATAGATCCCATTTATCCTTGCTGCTGCACGCAGCAGTTGACTTTTTGCGAACCAGTTGCTGGACACTAATTTGTGTGAGGCGGCGCAGCATTTTTCTTTATTTAATTTAGTTTTACTTATGAAAATGAGGCGAAGTCTCGTATTCGATTACATGATCAAAAGAATAACAGCTGCTGGCTGTTAAGCCGATAGAGCAAGAGAAATGCGATATATCGATAAGCATATTTGTAAAATATAAAAGCATCGAGAAACAGCTAAATCGATAGAGCAAGAGCAAGCATAACCGATTTGAGTCCTACACCAACCACCCAATCTCCCGTATCGCTGATTTGTATTTGGCGGGCAGCATCAACAAATTCTTGAATATATACGATATTAAATGTATTAAAAAATTTCAACCCAGTTTTTAATTAAAACATCTTTGTTTTAACATTTTTAAAGACATGCAGCAGTATATATTTTATTTGCAATTTTTGTTGAAGTGTAAACACACAGAGGCAAATATGAATACTTGTATTTTTATAAAATGTGTATTTGTTATATGTTGTTGCATATTTTACTACTTGTATTTCGTATATGTAATCCGCTCGTATAAACTGGAAAAGCAACTAAAAAAAGAGGCTATTTATTGTTGGTATTGAGTATCTTAAATTTGTATCATTTTATTCAATTACAAACACTGAAGTTAGAAAAATGTTGGATTATTATACTGGAAGCAAAGCAGAGAGCTATAGTTATGATTTAGTATTGCTCTGATTTATATTTATATTCATTTAAATAGTATGTACTGAGACTACAACATTTAAGATACCTTTTTCTGGGAATCAAGGGAAAGTTAAATAAATGCAAAATCTACAAATTATATACTGATAAATATGTATTGAAAGTGCTGTTGGTTTTTGTTTTGGGTTCAATGTGGCATTAATTGTTCTTAAATAAGCATACATAAAATCATTTGACTTACACGCTAAAAATTATCGAAAATAATCGTGTAAATGTATAGACATGTTATTTTTTTTATACTTTTAGAAATAGATTGCAAGACATTTTCTCCAAAGAACGCAATTTAATTCTGGAATAGCGTTCGCGTGAAATCGATGTAATCTAAAGCATCTTTAATGGGCTGGCCAGAACGCGGTTCCGAGAATGGTTTCATCCGTTGCACACAATAATCCGCCATATCCTTGGTGAGGTTCTGCAAAATTTAATATAAATATTAATAAAATATTGGATTTTAATATAATTTTATTTGTACTTACGCAATAGAGCTCCTCCTTGGTGACATAGGGACGATCGGCGGCGGTGATTGCGCGGAAAGCATTCTCGATTTCTTCGTAGGACTGCACATTCTCTGTTTCCTTGGAAATCATGAACGCAATGTATTCCTGCAGTGAAACGTAGCCATCCCGATTGGGATCAACCACATCGACAATCGCCTCAAATTCAGGATCGGGTTGACCCTCCTCAACCATGGGCAGATCGTAGCCGAGAGCACGCAGACAAGACTTGAACTCCTGATGGTTGAGTTTGCCACTCTTGTCTTTGTCGAAATGCTTGAACATCATCGAGAATTCCTTGAGCGAATCCTCGGAAACGCCCGAATGATTGCGTGCCTGTATCTGTTGCTCCAGATTGTGTTGCATACGCATTGATAGCTGATCCAGCTGATCCCATTGCTGAGCGAGGCCAACTGTCGAGTGTTCCGTATAGCGATTGTCCAGAATCAAATGTTCCTCGAGCAGAGCGCCCAATTCCTCGATTTTCTTCAGATCCACTCGACGAGCACGGACCTCGGTGGCCTTGACGCGAAGTGCCTCCAATTGCTGTTCCAAGGAACCAGAGCCTTCCATCATTGATGTTCTGTGTGTGCATGTCGAGGAATGTTTTTTTTTTTTTTTTAATTTTTTAATTGTGTTTAAAATAGAATAATTATCGATTAGTAAGTCACATCCAATTATATAGTGCTCAGAAACCGCATCAACAATTTAAAGTTACATAATGGATATATAATGATGCATTAGAAGAGAAGCAAATCTTTTTGGTTAGAGATCTGTGGGTTAAGGGCAGAGAGAGAGAGAGAGAGCAGTTTGTAATTCTAATGCTTCCAATTTGTTGGCCCATTTGTTCATATATATACAGGCGTATTCGGGAGTATTACGAGTGTAATTTAAAATGGTTTTTGCTGTGATACAGACAAAAAACTTGCCCATATTTAATTAATAAATATTTATTCAGGTTTTCAAGTCGTGTTATAAGCAAAAAACAGAGGTGGAAGATCGTTATTTTTTTAAAGAATATTTTGCTATTTAACAGAATATTTTGCTATTAGCAACTTATAAAATGTTCATATATCACTATTAAAAGCGAATAAAATGAAAACACCAAATGCATTTTTAAGCTTCTAAAACTAATTTAAAAAAAAAAAACAAAAGAAAACGCTTTTTGTTTGAAAATTAATGCAAATTTGGATTTTTTACTACTTGTTGAATTTTTTTTTATCTTGACGCTACTATTATTTGACATGCTGAATTTAGTTAACTGTAATTTTAATAATTAATTTTTAACGGTGAACGCTAACTGATCGATAGACTTAGAGATCGATAAACGATAGACGGTGGAGCACGTATTGCTAAATGCATTTAAGAACAAGAACTAGTTTTGAAATACTGAAATTGCTGCTTATCTAAATTCGATTTAAAGATATATATATATTTTCAAAGCAAGAGTGGATTTGATTCCTTCATGTCTTGAATTCTCGCAGTTAGTTAGCAGCTGTTAAATATTAAGCTAGCAATTGTACAGTAACGGAAACGGAAACAGATAACAATATCATCAAAAAAATCAATAGAAAAGATGTGAGCCCTGCATCCGGTGGGACACGTTCCTTAATTATTTTTTAATAATCCAGAATATAATGTATGCCTATATATCTCAATGAAATGTTAATATATATATTTACAAAGCAAGAGGGGAGCTCCTCTTTAATGTTTTCAACGTTTGCTGTTAGTTAGCGGCAGTTAAATATTGCCAACAACAACAACGACAGCAACAACAGTAACGGAAACGGAAATAGACAACTCAAAATAATAAGAAAAAGAAGACGCAGAGAGGAGCATTTAGGAGCCGCTTCTTAATTACCCTTGACGATTATAACCCAGCATATAATATCTAGAAGAACACAGAATTTAACGTTTGGAAATTACGAAGTTATGAGAAAATCATTGTTTTTTTGGAGGGAGGAACCCGATCACAAAAGAATCATTTTTAAATTGGATTTAATCATGTGTGGATTGAGAGATATGAGAGACGCGCTTCAAGGAGGAATAGGATTGGTTAACTCACCTCGTTTCGGTTAGCCATTGGTGGAAAAGATTGGCGTGCTTAGCAAATTCCTTGCGGAGCTTGTCGTTCTCCTCCTGACGCTTGGCCTCTTTGGCAAGTTCGCCATCGCGTTCCTCTATGATCTTTTGCAAGTTACGCCAGGTCTCCTCAAGAGCTTCCATGGTGAACCATGTGTATGGATTGGGTCCAACATTAAAGCTCTTGATCTTCTGGTCGAGTGCTGCCAATGCCTTAAAGTCAGCTTCGGCCGATGAGAGGGACGCTTGGAATTGAGCGTGGGCATCACGCAAGGCGCGTATTTCTTCGATCGAATTGCAGCGAACAGGATCTGTGAGATCCTCTTCGGCATTCTCGAACCAAGAATTGAAGGCCGAAGCTTTCTTGGCAAATGTCAAGTAGAGTTCCTCGATTTGGCGGAATTGCTCCTGCATGGCCAGCAATCGCTGCTTGCGCGTATCCGACGCATCCCTCAACTTCTGCCAACGGGCAATCACATCTCCATGACGCTTCAGTATAGCCGGCGATTGGGCGTGATTCGCATTAATCAGTTGATCCTTCAGGGCACTAATATTGTGTATGCCCTCCTGTTCAAAGGCATTGAGACCTGTAAAATAAAAACAGAGATATAAGTTTTTGTTTTTTTGTTGTTATTATGTAAGCAATATTTATCCTTACTCGTAAGCACAGCTCATTTCAAACGTAACCGCCAAAATGTTAACTACTCAATGTTATACATATCTAACTATGTTAAGCAGCTCTAGCCTTTACTCATGTTAATTATTCAATGTTGTCATTATGTTAAACAACACAAGAACAATTATAATATTCAGAATTCTAGTGGTATTTCTAAGTTTTTTTTAATAAATAACTTATCACCTACATCATCCGTGTAGATTCCTGATTTCACCTTATGTTCAAATTACAATGTGTTTCTTTCCCCTTAATAAATTGTGATTCTTCTATTTTTTTTTTTTAGTAAATCCAACTTACCCGCATCGAATGTCTCCTGTTTGGTTAAGAGCGTTTGCACAGTGGACAGATCACGTCCGTATTCGTCGGAACGCACATAGTTCTCCTTGTCATCGATCCAGCTCTCGACAACATCGGCCTTCCACATGAACTGCAGATACGCCGAGTTGTCCAACAAGGCGCCTTTGCGCCGAGCGGCCAAAGCATTAAGATTCTCCAACTTGTTGCGCAACTGCTGGCAACGTTGGCCAATGGATTCGCCGTGATGATTCTTGGCCTCGACTAGATCACCGCCCTGCTCGCAGATGAGGGAGCAACGATCCTTATGGGCAGCAAAATCCGTTTCGAAGGCATCGTGTTTCTTCAGCAGACCCTGCACTGCAGCCATCGAATCCCCATAATCCTCCACGGAGAGCAACTGTTGCTTCTCCGTAATCCAGGCCTCCTCCTCCTCCACCTGGGCGAGGAATTGCTGATAGGTCAGCGATTCATCCAACTTCTGACCACGTGTCGCGGCCAAATTCTTCAGCTCCGACCAAGCCTGCTTGAGTGCCTTGAGCCGTTGCTCAATCTCAGGCACACCCAGATTCGAAACATCCATGAGTTTCTCGCCCGCCTCCTGGACAGCCTGAATGGCCGGCTCATGAGAACCCAACTCTGCCTCAAGGCGTTTATGTTTCTTCTTCAGATTTTGAACACCGGTCAAATCACGTCCATAATCATCGGAGCCAACGAGCAGCTTCTTCTCCTTAATCCAACTCTCCTCGTCGGCGATGTCGCGGAAGAACTGATGCAGAGTCAAAGCCTCATTAAGCCTGGCCTGACGATGGGCAGCAAGATTACAGATACGTTCGTAGCGTTCGTTGATGCTCTGACGCTTTTCCTGGATGCCAGCAGTATCGAATTGACCGCTCTCGACCAAGGAATCGGCCTGGTTGTTCATGTCCTTGATGCGGTCTTCGTGCGCAACGATATCCGCTTCAACCAACTGATGTTTCTTCATTAGGTTTTGAACTGATGCCAAATCCTTACCAGAATCTTCAGTGGTCAACAAACTCTCGACCTCGCCCAACCAGAAATCCAAATCCTTGACAGCAGCGATATAAGTCCGTTGCTTATTGGCCTCCTTCAACTTCAACGACTTTTCAGTCGTCTTGTGCGTCAAATATTCCCATTGATCGGCAATTTGTGTGAGACGCTTCTGGACTGCATCCTCCGATCCACTGCACTGTTTCTTATCAATCAGATTGCCACCCATCGCCAGAACACTCTGTATACGATCCGCATTCGCTGCGAGCTCCGCCTCGAAGGCTTGATGTTTTTGATGCTTCGATTGAATGTTTGCCGGATCCTTGTAACTCTCCTCAGTGGCCAGCTGCAACTTCTCCGCAATCCAATTCTCAATCTCATCCGCATCGCGTGAGAATTGCTGCAGTGTTTGCTCATCGCCCAGGCGAGAACGCTTCTCGATCAAACCCTCCTTGAGGTGGCGCCAACGTTCCAAGACCTGATTCCGTTTATCATCGACCAAATTGGAGGCATAATGATTCTGGGCAATCAGCTGATCGGCCACCGTTTGCAGTGCGGCAATCTTTTGCTCGTGTCCATTGATGGCTTTGTCGAAATCTTCGTGTTTCTTGATCAACGCCTCCACATTGCCACCCGCATTGGCATCGTCGTCCGCATTGAGGAACGCCTCACGCGCTGACATCCACGACTCGGCCAACTCGCAATCGCGCATATACAGCTGCAGATCGAGATTCTGCTCGAGCTGGAGGCGGCGTTCGGTCCATGCCTTCTCTAGATCCTCACGTGCCTTGGCCAAATCATCGATTTGCTCCTTGATCTCCGGCGAGGCATAATGATTCGCCTGCAGCAACTCATTGCCAAACTGCTCGAAGGCCCCAAAGGTTCCAGCGCGTGCATCGATCTCCGTTCGGTGTTCCTATATATATACATATATATATAATGAGAAATTGAATTAGTCTCCTCTTGATATGGTTAAATGAATTATTAGCCGCTGTTGTGTGTGTGTGTTTTTAAAAGGTGTTTTAAACGCCGGGTTAGACACAACAACAAGTTAAAGTTTTAGTTGCCATTTTTGCTGTTGTATTTTGCTTTGCTGCAGCTTCAGTTTTTTGTTTTTATTTTTTATTGGATTAGTCAACAAACCACGAACAGAACGTAAATTATAGAGAAGTCGAAGATGATATGCGAGCGCTGATTGATTTGTCAATGATGGAGGAGTGCTGTACAGGAGGGAGGTGGTAGTTAGGAGCAACTTTGGAACACTCTGAAACAAAATCCCCATGAAAACTAGAAAGTTTTCCAAGCTTTTCTAGTTTTTAGAAATAATTTTTAAGTATTAGAAAGGCTTGAAAGGCTCCACACTGATTCTTAGAAATCAAAAACTTTTCCAAAAATTCAGAAACAAGTAATGCAATTTACTCCCTCTGCTTTTATATTGGAATTTAGCTGTTATTTGGCTTTATAATCCATGTACATTTTTTTATAGAAATTTTAGAAATATGTATCCTGAAATTAAGTAAAAGATTTGTTTCTGATTTTTTTTCTGAGTGTACTTTTTGTTGTCTAGATAACTATAAGGTCAGTATACAAATAGTTATAAATGTTGAACTGTAGTCGCCCCTCCGCTAATGGGTAACTTCAAATTACAAGTGAAGCTATGAGGAGATGAACGATTGAGTGTTGTTTTATGTAGATGTAGAAGACGTGATGTGGGAAGGGGGAAAAAAAGCACCCTTATCAACATTAAAAAAAAAAATTCCTAGACAGAATTGATAAGTTTGCAATAAGAAGGGACCACGAAACACATTAGTCCTCAAAAGATATGAAACACTGAATTTCAAGCTTATGCTTGGAATACTTTCCCTATAATTTATTTATAGGGAATTTAGTTCGATACATTGGATTATTTCGTGCTATTTTTTGTTCCGCTTCTTTGACAATTTTTATGATTGTTGTTTATAAGTAAATATAAAACATATATCGGGTTATTCAATAGTTGACAAAAAGCAGCGACAGAGAGAGAAGAGAGGCAGAGAAAGAGAGAGAGAGGGAGAGGGAGAGAGCGTGTGCTAGTGAAAGCTGTGGCTAAACAAATTGCTGTTGCGGCTGGAACTAGGAACAAAGAACGCACAAAAACAATGAATTATAAACAATGAACTGGTTTATGATTTGGATGTGCATATCATGATCTGGATTACGATAATAATGCTGATGATGACGATAATGATGATGATGTGGTAAACGAACAACTACCTCGTCGCCGGATGGTGATGTGGGGGAAGAGCTGCTGCCCAGCGTGAACTCAATTTCAGCACGATGTGCCTGTGTGTTTAGAGATGAGAATTAAGACCATGGATTGGATGTTTATATATACATATATATATAGTATATATGTTGTCATGAACCATGAGCCGATTGTGTTTTTGTTGATGTTTGGAGGACACACGACGTTGAGTTGAGTTGATTGATAATTGTTTTATGACGGAATTTGGATATTTATTGTTGGATTTGGGTTCACGACCCGAAAGATAAAACAAAACAAAAGAAAACAATGCACAGAAAAGGTCAAAATTAAATGAAGATCGCATATCAAATCTCATAGGAGGGAGTAAATAAAATAAATTAAAGTCTCGTCTCGTAAATTAAAAATTTCATTGCCTTCAGTTGAAAAGATAATAAAGGAAAATTAGCTTCGGCATGCCGAAACTTAAATACCCTTGCAGACCTTGGAATATTAGTAGTTTTTCAAGTAAGTCATATCTTTCTCAAAATTCAATAGAATTTTAAAATGCAATACGTTTTTAGATTTCGAAAGAGACTACACTTAAAGTTGAAATAGTAAACTCAAAACTCAACTTAAAATCCTAGCCAAAAATAACATAAGGATATGGGTATAAACTTCCTGAAACCACAATTTTGTCAAAACTGAAATTATGAATTTTTTTTTTGGGTATTGGAGATCCGCAAGAGTATAAAACGAAAATAAAAAAGGTATACAAGGAAATTAGAGATCAAAGACTAACGCACCTGATGCCGTTCGATGAGGGCTTCGGCACCGGTGACATCATTGGCCAGTTCATCGGATGTGACCAGGCTCATCATGGAGTTAATCCAGGCGAGCAGATCCCGATAATCGCTGAGGAAACGCTGCAAATCATACGAATCAAGGAGTTTTTCCTTGCGCGCCGTGGACTTGGTGATGATCTGATCCCACATCTCGTTGATCTCCTTCTGCTTGGCATAGGTCTGCTCAGCGGTATCCGGATGCGATTGCATCAAACGATTTGCTGTCTCATCCAACTGACGAATCTTATCTCTCAGCGCAGCCAAATCCCGTTCGACTCCTTCATGCTTCCGCTGGAGAGTTTGAACACTGCGCAAATCTTTACCCAGATCATCATTATTGAGAGCATTCGCCTTCTCGGCAATCCAATCCTTGGTCTCATCAATATCCCGATGGAATCGCTGCACTTCGTGCGCAGAACCCAATTGGCTGGCCTTTTCAGCGGTGAGGGACTGTAGATTATTCCACTTCTCGTTCAGATCCTGCATTTGGGTCTGAATCTTGAGAGCAGCCTCCGTTTGACCCAAGGATGTCAACTGCACGGCAATTTCATTCATATTCGCCAGACGCACCTCATTCGCTTTGAGGTCATCGTTGAAGTCATCGAATTTCTTCTGGAGCACCTCCACCTCCTCGAGATCCTCACCGACCACATCAGCGATCTGGGCATGATTCTCCTTATCCCTGATCCACTGTGCCAAATCGGCGGCTTCACGCACCAAAACATAAGCTTTTGTTGTTTCATTCAACTTATTCTGACGTTCACGGGCCAAAGCCAAAAGGTTATCGTATTGCGAGTTAATCTGATTTTGTCGCTTGGCTATTGAATGATTATCCACCAGATTCTGCTGGGATGCGCTAAGTCCAGCTTCGATCTTCTTGATGTAAGCGGCGGGCACGAACCCCTGTCGATCGTTCACCTCCACCTTCCACCAATCCTTGTTGTTGGAATTGAGCAGTGTCAGCACATCGCCCTTCTTCATGGACACCTCACGCGGAGATTTCTCCGTGTAATCATACAGAGCTACAACGCATTCCTTGCCCGTAATATCAACGACGGGTGTCTCCTGCTGGCGACAATTCTTTGCCTGTTCCTGCAGGGCTTGGATGGTGTTGCCAAAGGCTTCCAAATCAGATACGAGGGCTTCGTGTTTCTTGAGCAACGCCTCCGAGGAATCCTCATCCTTGCCATAGTCACTGCCCGTGGCTATTGGTTCCTTTTCACGCATCCACGACTCCGCTTCATTCGCATCGGCAAAATATTGATGGGCCTGCAGCGAATCATCCAAATCCTGTTTCCGCTGATTCGAACGATCCTTGAGAGTATTCCATTGCTCCTGCAATGCCTCAAGACGCTGACGGATGTCATCGCTAGCAAAGGGTTGATCCTTGAGCATATTCTCGCCCGAACTGATGACATTCAGCAGACGCGCCTCATGATTATTAATCTCGGCGAGGACCGCCTGATGTTTCTTAATAAGATTCTGAACACCAATCAAATCCCGTCCACGATTTGTGGACGCTGCAATTGGTTCCTTCTCGCGTATCCAGGCGGCTTCATCTTCCAGGTCGCGGAAGAGTTGTTGCACCTGCAACGAGTCCGTCAAATGCTGTTTCCGCTCACCCATCGGAGCTGCCAACGCCGCATAGCGAGCCGAGAGATTACCCTCCTTGTTGCGTATGTTGTCCGCATCAAAGTGACCCGATTCAATGAATTTATTGGCGGCGACATTAATGCTCTCGATACGATCCTGATGAGCCATCACATCGGCCTCCAGCAGTGCATGTTTCTTCTGCAAATTCTGTACCGATGTCAAATCCTTGCCATGGTCCTCGGACAACAGTTGACCCTCAATTTCACTCAACCAGAGTTCGATATCTTCGATGGTGCGATTAAATTGCTGCTGCTGGCAGGCCTCGTTCAGCTTGCACCCCTTCTTATCGGAAGCCTGGACGAGTGTCTCCCACAACACTACGATCTCCTGCATCCGGGTATTTATCTGATCGGCGGCATAATGCTTCTTCTCAATCAGCTCGCTGCCCACATTGGTGATATCCTCAATCCTCGACTTGTTTGCATTCAGCTCATGCTCGAAATTCTGATGCTTTTGCATCTTTCCATTTAGATTCGTGGGATCCAAATAGCTGTCATCGGTGGCAAATTTCAATTTCTCGCTAATCCAACCCTTTGTCTCATCACAATCTCGTTCAAATTGCTGGTAGCGATTGGAGTCCTCCAACAGCTGACGACGCTTCGCTGACTTCTCCTGGAGTGCGGCGCGACGAGCGAGTAGCATTTGACGCCGCTGAGCAACATCATCCGCTGCATAATGCTGTCCATCGATGAGTTTGGTGGCGAATATATCCAAAGCCTTAATTTTCTCCTCTTGCGCTGCGAGACTCTTCTCAAAATCTTCATGTTTCTTGATCAGCGCCTCAACGGAATCGAGAGAATCCCCGAGATCCTCATTGGCGAGGAAGGCCTCCTGTTTGGCCATCCAAGTGTCTGCTTGCTCCGTGTCGCGATAGAAGAGCTGCAGATCCATGCACTGCTCGTAGAGAATACGACGATCCTCCCACAATGAGAGCAGGGAACTCTTATCATTCTCCAAGGCGCCCAGCTTCTCCTGAATCTCAGCAGCAGCATAATGCTCTCGCTCGAGCAGCTTCCGCCCAGATTCTGTGGTCAACCGGAAGCTATCCTCACGTGCATCAATTTCACCCTTGTGCTCCTGATGACGCTCCAAGAGCGCCTCAGCCCCGGCGACATCCTTGGCCAACTCATCGGCGGAAATGATGGCCTTCATGCCATTAATCCACGAGACCAGATCCCTGAAATCAGCCAGGAAACGATGTAGATAATAAGATTCATCCAGTTTCTGTTTACGTTCCCTCGCCTTGGCCGTCAAACTTTGCCAATAGTTAGCAATCTCCGCTTGTTTATCCCTGATCTGATCACTGTGATCCGCATGAATGGAGCAGAGTCTTTGCGCCTCGGCGCCCAACGTCGACACCTTATCCTCCAGCGCGGCCAAATCACGTTCGACACCTTCATGTTTCCGCTGCAACGCCTGCACGCTAGCCAAATCCCTGCCATAATCATCGGAGGAGAGCACCACATCCTTTTCAGCAATCCAGGCGACAGTTTCATCGGCGTCACGGTTAAAACGCTGAATTTCATGGGCACCAAAGAGTTTCTCCTGGCGCACAATTGCCAGCTGTTTAAGGCGTTGCCACGCCTCATTCAGCTCCTCCTTGCGCTTGGTGATCGTATCCCGTTCGGGATGACCATCCTGGATGAGTTTATCGGCCAACTGGTTGACTTCGGTCACACGATACTCCTGCGAGGCCATATCCTTTTGGAACTCATCGAATTTGCGCTGCAGCACCTCTACATGCTCCAAATCTTGCCCGAACTCATCGGCAGTGACAAAGGTCTCCTTGTCCTTGATCCAGAACATGACTTCCTCGCATTGGCGTAGAAATTGCACCAAGACCAAGGCCTGTTGCAACTTGAGACCCTTCTCGGCCAGACGACTCAGGAGCAACTCCCACAATTGATGTAGTTCATCAAGGCGTCGCTGAATCGTCTCCGAGGCGAAATGCTGCTGATTGATCATCTCCTGCCCAGTGTTGTCCAGCGATACTATCGCATTGCTATGCGCCGAGACCTCCGCCTCGAAGGCCTGATGTTTCTGGATCTTCGCCTGGAGATTAGTGGGATCTCGGTAGCTCTCCTCGCTGGCCGCTTGCAGTTTCTCATGGATCCAGGACTCCAATTCGTCGGCATCGCGCTTAAAGTATTGAAAGCGACGCGAATCCTCGAGCTTCTCACGCTTTTGGCGTGTCTCGATCTTGAACTCATTGTAACGGGAAAGGACCTGCTCACGCCGCTCCTGAATATCCTCGACAGTCTCCAGGATTTTCACCTCCTTCGGTGTAAAATTCTCCATTTTTTAGTTGTTTCGTTTTCGTTTTGATTTCGAGTGTAAAGTGTTTAATTTAATTATTAATACTGCCGCTGCCTCTTCTGGTTGCTCATCAAGTTAGCTGCCAAAGTTCGCCCGTGCTCAACTGCAGAATGAGAGGGAGAAACAGAGAGAGAGAGAGCAGTTAATTTCAATTAGCTTTAAGCAGATAGACGCGGGTTTTGTCGATTGCATAACCTCTGCTGGCTATTTACAAAATTAGCACAATGACAAACACACACTAAAACACACCCGGTTAAAGCTTAGTACACACATCAATAAACAGCGCTCGCAAACAAAAAAAACTTCATGGAAACAAAAAGCAACTAAGCATGCTGTAGGTGAGTGTATTCGACTACGATATACCCTGTAGTCAGCTCTTATATGTATTCCAGTTTTATATCCAAATTTTCCTTTAATAGGTTTAGCAGTTGATTAATATTATCAAATATATATTATATATCAATTAGAAGGGTTTATATTTAAAATTGTGACTTTCATTGCTATCGCAAATCTACATATCGATATTCGCGAAACTGAGGCAGTTATCGATCAAATTTACCCATTTTCATTTTAGGGTATAAAAACACTTTAAAACACATCAAGAAATTTTTAACAACGCCACTTTTACGGTTGCTAAATAGATGGTGTATAGGAAAGGGTATATTTCTGATAGGACGTTAGAGTGCTTCACCACATTATCATTTTTGGGTTAAATTATTGAATATCCAGTTTTGTTTTTAGTTTCCACAAAACTGAACAAATTAAAATGTACGATCAGCTTTACTAAGCTCAAACTGATAAGTACATAACAAAGCAGTTTTTTCAGTCACACACATCCAAGGAAACGCATTACACACTTTATCTACACTGGTTGAGCAGTGAATAACAACTTGACAGGCTTGCTTCACACTTTAAACTGATGACTGCATCGTCGACACAACCCTGGGCCATGTACCGCTTCCCGTTTCACAACACAGCGAAACCTATAAAAATCAACATGGCTGACAAATGTTAAGCAAACTCTGAGAGTGACGCAATCGCCCAATTATCGATAGCGCAGCAGTCAAATTCGTATCTTATCAATAAGCATAACTGTTATCTTATCGAATTTACAGCTTTTTTTTTTAAATTCCTTGCAAAAAATAGAGTGCTTTTATTAAAAGGTAAAAATACAAATATAAAAGAGTACAAATATATGCAAAAATAGATATATAATATTTCTTTCTACATTCTAGCGATAAATGCGAATGACATAATTGATTGTTTCTGCTGAGCTTAAAAATCCAAATCCCTCGATAGATCCGCCAGCAATTCCATAAACAAATGCGACTTGGGATCGTCGAGGAAATTGTCATCGGATTGGGTTTGAGATTCAGTGTGGGATTGGGATAATTGCTGTAGAAGCTGGGAAAGATTTGTCCAAACGGGCGCTGGCCAAATCTCCTTGAAGAGCAGCATAAACCACTGATTCAGTTCATCCAGGCGCACGATGCGCATCTCCAGCATGGAACTCAGCAGTTGATGCAATAAACCAAACCGGCCAGGATTGGAACTGAGTTCCCTCACAAATCCCACACTCAGCAAAGACTCGAATAAATCTGGCATTCCACGCAGCTGAGGTGCCAGCCAAACCTCACAGCTGGCGAATATTAGCGCTGGGTTGATCAGCTGTGGCTGTCGACAGATGAGCAACTGCAGCAAACGCACCAAAATGGAGCCCAGAACTTGATACAAGTAGCTCGGCAATTGGGGTAGATGCACAGCTTCCCTTGTCGATTCCACAAGTGGTTGAAGCTGGGGAAGTTGAGGGAGATGCTCGGGTCGCAAACTGAGGCAGTGCACCCATTGCTGTAGTTCGTACAGGAGCTGGGAGAGATTCACATTTGCTGGGAGGCACAACTCATTCGAGTCGGGTACAGTCGGGGAAGGGTCAGTGGAGGAGGCGGATGCAGTTGCTCTATTCACACGACACACCTTGCTGGCCACATCCTGCAGATCTCCGTGATAGAAATTCGATTGCAAAACGCTCGCTTGAAGCCATTGTTGGAGTTGGACACGTGCCGGTTCCCTGATGAGATGAGCATAGGTGCGTCGCAGTATCTCAGGGGTATTTGCTGGGAGCAAAGCTAGCAAAGATTGCTCAATGCGCTGCTCCAACATGCCGGGCACCAGCTCCATCCATTGCTTGGTTGCTTTACTGCGTGCCTGTTGATAGATGCTTTGCAAATCCCGCTGCACCTCGGACTGCTGCATCGATTGGATTCCATTCACCTGGGCATCGGCGGCTGCTTTGGATGGGAGCAGGATCTGTTGCTGGGCATCCTTGACGACACATTTGAAACTGCGCTCCGTCACGAACTCCAGCAGGCGACGCATCGATGCGTTCTGCGAGTGAAGAAAGGCTTCGTTTAGTTTGTGCTGTGTCTGCTGAGGATGGACTGATGAGGCTGGCTGGGATTGCTCGCCGGATTGGGCTCCCTCGGGTTGATTGAGCTGCTCCAGTCGGGTGGTTATATAGCGATAGCGACCATTGCGCGCCTGTGCCGGGCGCTGTTGCGATGGGGCGATGGACACGCGAAACTCGTGCAGAAAGGGACACGCCACGGGCAGCAGCTGCTCCAGCATTGAGGCTGCTTTGCCCTTGTCCGAGAAGCGCAGACTATGCAGGCAATCGGTGATTAGAGTCGCAGTTGCTCCTGTTGCTGCTCCTGCTGCTTCTTCTCTATCTACTGTTACTTGTCCTCTTTCAGCTCCTGCACCTGCTGATACTGCTGCTAGTCCTCCTTCTTCCTGATCTGCTTCTGCTGCTCTACTTTCTGCTACCTCTCTTCCTCTACCTCTTCCGACTCCTTCTTCTATTGCTACTACTCCTCTATCTCCATCTGCTTCTTGTCTATCTGCTCCTCCTCCTGCCCCATCTCCAATTACTTCTGTTACTACTTCTCTACCTGATCCTCCTCTCACTTCTGCTCCTGCTCCAATTCCTGCTGCTCCTCCTCCACCTAATACTCCCACATCTCCTCCTCTTACTATTTGTTTTCCTCCAGTTCCTCCACCTCCATCTTGTCCTCCTCTTCCTGCTCCTCCTCTAACTGATTCTGCTCTTCGTCCTGAACCTCCTCCACTTTCTTCTTCTTCACCTTCTACTCCATCGGTTCTTCTTCCTCCTCCATCTTCTCCGCTATCTCCCTCTTCTCCTGTCCTGTGCACATAGTAGCCCGTGCTAATCCCTGGCTGCGCTTCCAGTAACCAACCCAAACAACTGCGCACAATCAAACCCGCACAAGGCTGCAAATCCCGAATAGTCATCCTGCCATACAACGCATAGAGCAACTCCAACGTGGCCAAACTGCCAGGCAACTGCAGCGTAACCACATCCAACATGGCCAAGTATTGCACCAGCCAAGGCAGAGTAATCAGCAGTTTCCCCTGTCGCATGGCGCGCTCCAAATGCGAACTCATCTCAAACGGAGGCTGGAATTGACGACGCAGCTGCAACTGCTGTGGACACACGTGGACAAGTTGTGATCGATTGTAGGGCAGGGCACAAACATAACCCAGGAACTTGGCCAGCAGCAGCATCTCTGCCAGCGCCTGAGCTCTCACAATGTAACAAGGAGGCGTAGCCAGGAGCAGCAGCTCCTCCTCCTCCGCTTCGTGCTCATTAAATTGCAGTAGTGGCACCAATTCAAAACTGGAATCATTGTGCCGCAGCAGCTGCACATACAACGCTAGCTGGATCTGCACCAGAAACGCCCAGGAGCCACATTCACCAATGAAATCCCGGAAAAAGGCCTGCGTACGTGGAAAGGAGTCCTCCACACTCGAATTGCTGGTGACCAATCGTTGAGCGAGTCGATTGAGACGCTGTTGATCCAGTTTCAGGCCCAGTTCCTCGGGTGATTCGTGCGTCTCATTGCTGGTCATGAGCAGCTGACTAACGCAGAGCTTGGCCAAATGAGACATATTCACCACATGCTCCGATTGCTTAAAGATGTCCCGCACCAAAGGAGTCACATCCCGGCCAAAGTGGAACTGACGATTGAGATGGGTTTGCTCCCAGTGCTTGAGGGATTTGTAGAAGAGATCACGCTGCGTTTTAAAAGCAGCAAATTCATTTTGACTGGGAAAATTATCGCGGGAATCCTTGTCATGTTGATAGTAAACATTATTCTGTGCCTGACTAGGAGGAGTTGGACAAATCTCAGCTGTAGTCGATGTCTCTCTTTTATCTCTGTAGGCCTGCTGCAACTGCTGCTGCAGTTGCTCCGTTAACAGTGAGATCCTCTCGTGCTGTAGGAGTACAGCTAAAGTTTTACGATCCAATTCGAGTAGGAGTTTGGATTGCTGTTCCAAGAGTTTAACGGCAAAATAAATGCACTCCTTGTGCAGGGCGAGCACCGAGAGTGGCTCTACTTGGTTATCCATCTCCGTCTCTGTTTTCATGCCCTGCTGTATATTGAGCAACTGCAGCGCATAGCTAATCTCACTCAACACATTGGGCACCAGATTCAGATCCAACAGTTGACCATAGATGACAGCAAGCAATTCCAATCGCCTCGCTTGATTCACATGCTTCAGGCTGACCATGACATCTCTTTCCTGTTCCCACTCCTTCTCCCTCTCACTTTCTCTCTCCCTGTCCTGCTCCACTGGCGCCTCATTTTTAAGCTCCTGGCGATGCAGTCTTAGACATTTGCGTGCCTCCTGCTCCAGTGCAACACTCTGACTGCGCTCCACGAGCTCCGCGCTCTGCGACAGACGCCACAAATTGTTCTCCTGGCTAAACGAGCTGGTGTCCCCGAAGGACAGATTGCTGCTGGAGGAGACATTCTTGCTTAGCGTTGTGGGCACAACGCGGCGCATTGGCTTTTGGGATTTGCTGTTGCCACTGTGTTCCTGTGGAGTCGTCTGCTTCTTCTTCGAACGCTGCTGGCTGGAATTGGGCGTAGAGGAGTTATGTAAGAAGTCGCCCAGACAAAAACTACTTCCTCCAGCTGAAGCTGCTCCTCCTCCGTTACCTGCTCCGCCAGTATTGCTTCCTACTCCCTCACCACTTCGATGGGGTGTGGCTGCTCCTCCTCTTCCACTGCCTCCTACTCTTCCACTGCCTCCTCCTCCACTGTATCCTGCTCTTAATTTAACTCCCCCTCCTGCTCCTCCACCTTTGAATGTTCCTCCTCCTCCTCCACTTCGATTGGGTGTACTACTAAATTGCTGCTGGCCACTGGAACAACGTCCTTGTTGCTGAATTGGTATCGATATGCTGGTAACACTTGAATTACTCAGTAGACTCAATTGACTCAGCTGTGATTCATTTAAATCCTGCTCCTGCTTTAATCTGACCTGTCGCACTGGCGTTTGACATTTGCTTGTTTCCGTTTCGTTGTTGTTACTTCCATGCCTAAAATGCACTTCCGTCTGTTGACGCAGTGCAGCCAAAAAGTATATGGCAAAATCTGCCAGGTTGCCATTTCCTTTGCCTCTCCTCTGGAAGTGTGCTTTAAATGTTTGCGCCAGCTGGTCACACTCAACCGCTGGATCCAGTTCCGTGAGCAGCTGTTCCAGTTGTTGTTTCTTTGCTTCCATTTCTCTTTGCGTTTTCCAGTTTTATATTTGTTTACAAATAATCTCGATTTTTTGGTTTTTGTTCTTGTTTGTTTCTCATTACATATTTATATATCTCTGTCTCGTTTCTCTCTCTCTCTCTCTGTCTCTCACTTTGGCCCCGTTTCCTGCAACGGAAGATGAGAACAGAGAAATTTTTGCTTGTACCGCTTTTTGTCTTTGATTGATTCATTTACATTTTATTGCATTTTTAGTTTTTGTTTTATTTTGTTTTCGAGTTCTTTTAAAGTTGACTTAGTTGCTTTTTTTCTTTTTTCATTTATTTTAATTTCACACACAACAAACTTTCCGAAACCGTTTATAATTTTTTTTTTTATGAACAAAGTAATTTAAGTTTTAAATTTAATACTAATTACAAGAGATGAAATTTAAATATATATAATAATTAATTAAATAACAATAGTTGTATATTAAGCCGATCAGTAGATAGATATAAAGATTTGATTTACTTTTAACTATTTCATTCATAATTTAATAGAGTTTTCAGCAGTGGAAATGATTTCAATTGGATTTTTTTTTTCAAATGACATCATCGGCCTTGAAAGTAGAACTCCAACAACAGGATGGATATGAAGAATAATGCGACAATACACACACATATCTACATTCAAATATAAAAGTAGAACTCCTGCAACAGGGTGTTTATGGAGAATAGTCAAAAACACACATACATACATACATTCAAATATCTAAGTAGTATTATCGCAAAACACACATACATACAGGGTGGAGTAGGTATGAAGAATAGTAAACATACATACACCTACATATTAAAATAGGTAAGTACAATATTCTTACATACCCACCCTATATATAGAACAGTAAAGCACACACACTTACATATATTCACTCATATCTGCATTCAAACATAACTAAATACATATATTACTGTCAACCGAATCTTTTCACGGCATCGTCATCATAACACAGCAGGAAATTTAAAAAAAAAAAGTAGCCTAGGCGCGGGATTGTTGTGCTAGTGGTCGGTCGCGGTTTGTATTCAAAAAGCAGCCATACAAATTAACAAATGTCGCCCCAGACAGACACACACACACAAATTGAAGGCAATTTAACTGTTTATGTCGTTTTCAAACAAAAACACAATACGGAGGGCATAGCAGAGAGAGCGAGCGAGAGATAGAGAAAGTGCCAGACAACACTTGAAGCATGAAATTGTTTGGAATTCGTAAAGAGCGAGCAAACGACCGCTCACTCCCTCGCTCGCTCGCACTCTCTCACACATGAACGGACGGAACACACACACACACCTCCAAACATACATATTAATTGAAGTGTCTATCAGAAATAGCTGGATGACGTAATGCGCACATAACTTAAAACTATGAGCAATGATTGCTAAACATGAAAAATCAGAATGACATAAATCATTTATATTTATATAATATAATACAAATACATGTAGAAAACAGCAACTAGTTTATTATTGTTGCCGGTTAAATTGCGCAATGTTTACCCTAATTGAAGTCAAGGACATTTTTCGCATATGTAAAAAAAACATTTGGTGCTGCCACCCCACTTGTAAACATTCAGAATACATCTCTATTGTCAGCTCCAGCAATCTATCTATCTCGCTTGCTTTCGCCTGAAGTTGCCGGACCAGCCGATGACGTATACACATCACTCACACACACACATACATGCATACATACAAAAATGGAGCTAGAAAATAATTTCTCACATACAGAATTTTGCACTCATTACACATAAAATTAAATCATAATGAAATTCCATAATTTGCACGTTTAAACTATTAATTGGATTTTGTGTGTGTGCATATAATTCCGAGCAAGGGTGTGGCGTTGACCCGAAAATGGAGAAAAAAATTCCAATTATACACACACACAAATTCGCTCGATTTTCAAGCATAAGTTTTAGCCATGCTGTCAATAGTTTCAGATAGAAAACTTAATACAACTTACACTTTAAATATTTCTCAACCGCTTCACATAAAATCTGTTGGTTTAACTATTGATTTTTTCCTGTTTTTCTCAAGTTTTCACGCAGCGCTTCAATTTTCACACAACTGCACGGGGCACTTTACAAAATGTAGTCTATTAGAGGTGCGGCACTATCGCTTAAGGATGGCACACAGATCAGATTAACTGTATCGATATATTGCGATAGTTTAAAACATGGCGTCGTTATGCGAGTAGCAATTAATGCTGATATATTAGTGCTGCGCTACTACCGGTGAACGAGTGTACAAAAATTGGGTTAACTATATCGATACATTGTGATTGTTCAATCAAATTTTCTTCCCGATACTAGAGGTGTGGCCCTTTCGCCTACAGATAGCACAGGAATCCGGCGAAAAGTATCGATATATCGCGATAATATGACACATGTCGGCGTCGTTATGCGAATGCCAATCAATACAGCTGATGCATTATAAAAACAAAAGAGGAAAACATTTGTGGGTGTTTAGTTAAAAACTGTAGATATGGACAAAGATAAACAGATTGTGGCCAATCAAATTGGCTACTTGATACTGAAAGATGATGGCGCGGTGCTCGAATCGGGCGGCGATCTGAAGAACGACGAGCGCAGCGCCAATATAATAATGGGTCTGCTCAATCTGACCGAAAGGTGAGCAGAAAAGTTTTATTGAGTTGGGTTATCAATTTTATATTTGGGCTTGCAGCATTGATGAGAACTTCATGCCAAATAGCAGCTGTGAGAGAATTAGCATCGATTACGAGCATCACAGCTACACAATTTGCATGTCCAATCGCCATATTTACATTGTAAAGCTGTGCAAAAATCAAAATGGAGCCGCGCCAACAACGACGACCACTTCATCCTCATCCTCGACGAGTGTTTACAATGATGCCAACGAGGGCAGTAGCAGCTTGGTTGCCACAAATCCCGCTAGCAGCACAAGCAGCACGGTGATGGCTTGAAAGATGCAGGAACAGTTTAGCGTCGCCTGTTGTGGCTACTGCCAAGGAGCAACAAGGAGCAGAAGCCACGACCGTGAATACAATTGGAAAACTCCCTTTTTCTATTTAATGCTACTCTTTATTTGTCAAAGAATACATCATTTGTGAGCTACTGTTCAAATATATCGGACTTAAGCGAACCAAAATCGAACTTTAATGAACGATAATCGCAACTTTTCTGAGCGAATGAACTACTTCTTCGTAATGAACTTTTTGACATTCACAGCAAAACGCAGAGCTGAATGGCGATAAGAATAGAAATCTTGAAAGTAATGCAGCGTTTAAATATAATAATCTTGAATATACGATTTTATTTTAATCTATCTTGATTACCAGCCATTTAAAATCAGCTGTGAGCTGCTGATCGTATAATTTTGCTATTTAATTCTTCTCTTTATTTGTCAAAGAACACATCGTCTGTGAGTTCCTGTTCAAATATCCGCTTCGCCTCCTGCGTCACATCCAAAAGGGTCGCTTTGCTCTTGCAGAGAATAACATAATATTGCCGCCAATTGCAGCGTCGCTTGACGACCCAAAAATCATTGGTTGCCTTCACCTGCAGCTCCTCGGTGGCCGGCGTCGTCTGAGTGCAATTCTCCTCGATGGGATTGGCGAGATCCGCAATGATGCTCATCACATTGCGTGGAATGCTCTTCTGATTGTTCTTCCCATGCCTGAAGATATTCGTATGATGCTTCAAGCTCTGTTCATTGATAAACAGATATTTGGGTGAGGTGCTGCTGGCATCATTGGATCCACTCTCGCCCAGATTGGCTGCCGTTCGCTTGCTGACCTCGTCGGCTATGTCGCGTGCAAGTGAAATCAATTGTGGACCCATATAAGCATGCAGCTCCTCATAGAATTCCGGCTGAGGAGCAACTGTTGGCGAAGAATTAGAGTGAGAATATTTTGACTAAATGTTGAGTAAGAGCAGCACTAAGCAGACAACATATAGAATATATGACCGCATTGACTATATATACATATAAAGTAACTGCTGATGATTATATAGGTCACACAGATAGAGCTCTTCATGCTGATCAAGAATTTATATATTTTATGTATTCGGAGATGCTTCCTTCTTCCTTACTTTTTTTAAGGCTGTTACTAAAAATTTGGGCACCCTAGGTATCGTATTGTGTGAGATAGATATATATTGGCATTCCAATAGGATGGAGGTGGAACTGGCCTTTGCCGATCTTTGAAGAACACCGCCAATAGTCTACCACCCAATTTTTGTGACTGTAGCTTTAAAATTGTGAGTAATGCGATTTTATCGATTTGAATGCAGTCAGCTTTCAGTCGAATTTGAGGCCTCTAAATGTTGCCCACTCAGTGATCAGAGATTAGGATTAGGATTAGGCACAAAGTATAAATACCATCCACAAAGAGGCACAGAGTGATATTCAAGGCGCGATAGATGAGCAGGTAAAAAGGCGCAATGCAATTATCCAAATCCAGGAATACCCTCGGTGGCGTAACTTTCTCCACAAATGCACCATCCTCGCCAGGGTCGGCACCTTTTGGCACAGCTTGGATATACGCATGCAGGCTGTAGAGATCGCTGGCGTTCAGTTTGCCGCCGCAGATGATCTGTTCTTGGTTGTAGAGCATGATGCAGTCGCGGATGCCGGCGAAGGTGTCGCCGCACAGCTTACAAAAATTATGGGCACGCAGAAAGATGCGCTTCTCCAGCGCCAGATACTGGATGGAGTGCAGCATGTCCATGATATCACAGCTAGCCAGATCCCGGAAGCTAAGCAAATACTTGTCGTAGAACTGATGCAGCTCCAAGGAGAGCTTCTCCCGCTGCTGCTCCCGTTGCTGGTTCTCCTCGGCGAGATTAGCTGTGAGCCTAGCCTGCATTGGGCCATGTTGGAAGCGATACATTTGGTAGCATTGTCGGAGCACCGCACGATAAATGCGGTCGGAGACTTCCCCGCCACGATACTCGGCCACCTCGATGCGATCCTTGAGCTTCAGCTCCTTGGGCACATTCAGCACCAGGACGAGCCAAAAGCCCGGCTCCGGCTGATAAAACAGCTGCGTCGTCTTCTGCGTGTGCAGCGCCTTGCAATCATCCTCGTTGGTAAAGGTGCTGGCAACAAAAATATATATATAAATATTAAGTGAGCAAGTTGCAGTCGCGTGTAGTTGACTGCGAAATACTCTGCACACCACAATAATGAACACTGCAAAAAATCAATTTACTCTTTTACCTGTGCTAACAGAGTATAAAAAACAGACATAAGGGAAGGGGAATTTGATACTCACCCAATGAATTTAATGATGCCCTCACTCAGTCCGACATCATTGATTTTTGTATACTCGACAACTTCCGTAGGATAATAATAAAGCACCTTTTTCCGCTCCTGTGAGAAAAGTCAAAATCAATATTGTAGGCGTTTGCTATTATTCATATTATTATTCATTTGTTATTCACTTGTTATTCAGACTTACCTCGCCCTCCTTCTGACTCAGGCTGGAATTGAAGACGTAGAAACTGCGCAGCGTGATCTCGACGCGCTGTAAAACTTGCGACATTTTTGTTGCAAGTTGTTCACTTGTTGCAAGTTGTTGCAGATAAACGGGCAGCATTCAAGAGTACCATAAAATCCATCAAATCCAATTTACACTCGAATCGCTCACAACTGGTTCGATTGAAAGATGCACCTAACTGAACAAAGGAACAATAGCCCAGATGCTGGTTCGTTCAGTTCGTTCGTTTGAGTCAGTCGTTTCATTCTTTGAGTCTGAGTCTAAAATAATTTAGTTTTAAATATGTCTTTTAATTAATAAGGATAATAAGGATAAGAGAAAAACGGACAGCATTCACCACTTTAATTTCATCAATCACACTTATTAGAATCGTTTCGAACTAGTTCAATGGAACTGAACGAATGAACTATGGCGTGGTAAACTCTATACAACGTTTCGACAATATACTACACTCAGCAGGTGTTAAGACGCTGCTAGGCAGTCTGATCGAAATCAACGATTTTTTAACAGCTTATATATTTAAATGCATTATCTTTAATTGCGATTGTAGAATGTGTTGCAATATTACATATTTAAGAAATATACGATTGTTTGCTGCAATGATTTTAACTCCCGTCAACTGCAGACAGCCAAAACTTAACAGCTGTTAATTGTGGCAACTCAACATAGATCATGTCGTCACCATGAACTATGGCCCCGTTTGTGCTTCGTTTAGCTCGCTCGTTGGATTCTGTTAGGTAAGGTAATTCAGTGAACTGCTTTCTTGGAAAGAACTAAAGAACACTAGTCATATAAATAAAACGAGACCGTTGTAAATAATTGAATTGGTTAACAATCTATTTTATTGTATGTGGAATTTTAATCAAGCCAGAAGAAGCAGCAGTTAATTTAATCGGCCCAATGCTTAGAACTGTAATTTTGAATTTATTTCTTGAGGTGAAATTTTGGAGAAGATGCAAATATGGCAAAACTCTGTTTCCATTCAGTTAATTATTAAGTTTCTCGGATAAATTATTTCACGCCTTGCATTTATTAAGATTCACAACTTAAACTAAGACTGGCAGCCACCCCGCAGACGCAGAACCAAGTGGAGAGTCGACTCCTTCTGGATATTGTAGTCGGACAAGGTGCGACCATCTTCCAACTGTTTTCCGGCGAAGATGAGACGCTGCTGATCTGGAGGAATTCCCTCCTTGTCCTGAATTTTAGCCTTGACATTTTCAATAGTGTCGCTAGGTTCCACTTCCAAAGTGATGGTCTTTCCAGTCAATGTTTTAACGAAGATCTGCATTCCTCCCCTGAGACGGAGAACCAAATGAAGGGTGGACTCCTTCTGGATATTGTAGTCGGACAAAGTGCGACCATCCTCAAGCTGCTTTCCCGCAAAGATCAAACGCTGCTGGTCTGGGGGGATTCCCTCCTTGTCTTGGATCTTGGCCTTAACGTTCTCAATTGTGTCGGAAGGTTCAACCTCCAGAGTAATGGTCTTTCCAGTGAGGGTCTTCACAAAGATCTGCATTCCTCCTCGGAGACGGAGAACCAAGTGGAGAGTCGACTCTTTCTGAATATTATAGTCGGACAAGGTGCGACCATCTTCCAACTGTTTTCCGGCGAAGATGAGACGCTGCTGGTCTGGGGGGATTCCCTCCTTGTCTTGGATCTTGGCCTTAACGTTCTCAATTGTGTCGGAAGGTTCAACCTCCAGAGTGATGGTCTTCCCAGTCAATGTTTTAACGAAGATCTGCATTCCTCCCCTGAGACGGAGAACCAAGTGGAGAGTCGACTCCTTCTGAATGTTATAGTCGGACAAAGTCCGACCATCCTCCAAGCTGCTTTCCGGCAAAGATCAAACGCTGCTGGTCTGGGGGGATTCCCTCCTTGTCTTGAATCTTGGCCTTAACGTTCTCAATTGTGTCGGAAGGTTCAACCTCCAGAGTGATGGTCTTCCCAGTCAATGTTTTAACGAAGATCTGCATTCCTCCCCTGAGACGGAGAACCAAGTGGAGAGTCGACTCCTTCTGAATGTTATAGTCGGACAAGGTGCGACCATCTTCCAACTGTTTTCCGGCGAAGATGAGACGCTGTTGGTCTGGGGGGATTCCCTCCTTGTCTTGAATCTTGGCCTTAACGTTCTCAATAGTATCGGAAGGTTCAACCTCCAGAGTGATGGTCTTCCCAGTCAATGTTTTAACGAAGATCTGCATTCCTCCTCTCAGACGGAGAACCAAGTGGAGAGTCGACTCCTTCTGAATGTTATAGTCGGACAAAGTACGACCATCCTCAAGCTGCTTTCCCGCAAAGATCAAACGCTGCTGGTCTGGGGGGATTCCCTCCTTGTCTTGAATCTTGGCCTTAACGTTCTCAATTGTGTCGGAAGGTTCAACCTCCAGAGTAATGGTCTTTCCAGTCAATGTTTTAACGAAGATCTGCATTCCTCCCCTGAGACGGAGAACCAAATGAAGGGTGGACTCCTTCTGGATATTGTAGTCGGACAAAGTCCGACCATCCTCAAGCTGCTTTCCCGCAAAGATCAAACGCTGCTGGTCCGGGGGATTCCCTCCTTGTCTTGGATCTTGGCTTTAACGTTCTCAATTGTGTCGGAAGGTTCAACCTCCAGAGTAATGGTCTTTCCAGTGAGGGTCTTCACAAAGATCTGCATTCCTCCTCGGAGACGGAGAACCAAGTGGAGAGTCGACTCTTTCTGAATATTATAGTCGGACAAGGTGCGACCATCTTCCAACTGTTTTCCGGCGAAGATGAGACGCTGCTGGTCTGGGGGGATTCCCTCCTTGTCTTGGATCTTGGCCTTAACGTTCTCAATTGTGTCGGAAGGTTCAACCTCCAGAGTGATGGTCTTCCCAGTCAATGTTTTAACGAAGATCTGCATTCCTCCCCTGAGACGGAGAACCAAGTGGAGAGTCGACTCCTTCTGAATGTTATAGTCGGACAAGGTGCGACCATCTTCCAACTGTTTTCCGGCGAAGATGAGACGCTGTTGGTCTGGGGGGATTCCCTCCTTGTCTTGAATCTTGGCCTTAACGTTCTCAATTGTGTCGGAAGGTTCAACCTCCAGAGTGATGGTCTTCCCAGTCAATGTTTTAACGAAGATCTGCATTCCTCCCCTGAGACGGAGAACCAAGTGGAGAGTCGACTCCTTCTGAATGTTATAGTCGGACAAGGTGCGACCATCTTCCAACTGTTTTCCGGCGAAGATGAGACGCTGTTGGTCTGGGGGGATTCCCTCCTTGTCTTGAATCTTGGCCTTAACGTTCTCAATAGTATCGGAAGGTTCAACCTCCAGAGTGATGGTCTTTCCAGTCAATGTTTTAACGAAGATCTGCATTCCTCCTCTGAGACGGAGAACCAAGTGGAGAGTCGACTCCTTCTGAATGTTATAGTCGGACAAGGTACGACCATCCTCAAGCTGCTTTCCCGCAAAGATCAATCGCTGTTGATCTGGAGGAATTCCCTCCTTGTCCTGAATTTTAGCCTTGACATTTTCAATAGTGTCGCTGGGCTCCACTTCTAAAGTGATGGTCTTGCCAGTCAATGTCTTTACAAAGATCTGCATATTGGTATTTCTGCAAGAAAAAAATATAAGAAATTAAAATTGTAGTTTCTTTTTTTTTGACCAGAGCCGGAGAGGACAAATTTAATGACTACGTGGGGACTCTAATGAAAATGAACGAAAACTGAGTACGTTTACCCTCTAGACGGCTTTGTGTGTAGACACTCTTTACAAATACATGCCAGCGAGTGCATGTGAGTACGCATTTTTTTACTCTTTGCCTCGCATTTCCACCCTATTGAAATACGCAACAAAGAAAAAGAAACCTTTGTTCCCCTTAATGTGACCCCATTTGTACTGCGTAAATGCTAAAATTTCCCCTTCCTGTATGTATGCATAAGTGTATATATAACAGATGTGCAAACAATTTATAATTATACGAAAATGCCAACGTCATATCATATCAAATACGCAGTCGACGCAGAAGTTAATTGTAAAAATTAAAAATATTTACAAAAATTTAGAAAGTAGCAGACACGTCTACTTATGCGTCATTACGTATGTATATTTTGTATATAATATATTCACATGCATACGTATGTATTCGTTTTTTTTCTATGCCACTTCTCGAACATTTAATGACGTCACATACTTATTTCACAATAGATTGGCAAATTGTTAAAAAGCATTTAATAGAGAATTTTAAACTCAAAATTACGTATTGCCAATTAAAAATTAATAAAATGAAAAACACATACTTATAAGCAGGATAACACAATAATATTCCTTACTTTTATGCTCACTGTATTTTATTTTAATTCTTATTCTTTTCACTTGTCAAATATTTCTTAAAATTTTTTCCCCGTTGATTTGTTTTACTGCGTTCTAACGTTGCTTTGTTGGCTTTGCGATTGGTTTTGCTGAAAAGGTTTCTGTGCTAGTCTTTTTATAGACTCCGGAAACAGCAGGGGAAATGTTGGGTATTTGGCAGGGAAATTTTTAACATCTATATGATTGTCCTGTTCACACACCAATGTCAGATGCTAGAAAATTACTCTTAACGTTTGTTCGTAGTTTAGAAAGTTTAGAAAACAGCGTAGGCTATTAATTTTTATGCATATATATACTTGTTGAACTGTGAAAGCAGTTGAGAACATAAAGCTAAATGTTGTATTCAACAGTCGTTTGACGCGTAATGCAAAAAGTGCAGTATAGGGTTGTACCTTTATCTCGCTCGCACAATGAGAGCGAATAGGGTTACCACTTGGGAAATTAAAGTGATACCAGACTGTTAGATTAGCGCTTCGTTTGAATTTTACTCACCTACTTTTCACTTAAAAAACGTTTTGCTTTAAGTTCCGTTTTATTTGACTTTCTATGATATTTGCTTCTCTGCACAATTAGTAGTGTTCACTTTGGAAGTCAAATGTAAAATGAACAAATCAAAATAGGGTTTGTTAGACAGATTAACTAAACGATCTCATGGCCAACTCCATATATATTTTTTTATTTCAAATACACACTCACCACACAATGAAAATATTTGAATTTTCCAACAAATTCAAGACGAGACCTGTTTAACGTGCTGAATCGACTGGCCTAGTGAATAAAAAATATTTTCCGACAATTACAATTTCTGACATTGTTAACATGACCTGCTAAAATTCACATACAAACGGCTTTAAATTTAACAGTATAACGACTAACAGACAGTACAACAATTAACAGTTCCAATTTGAGCTAAGCAACTACTAATCAATACCATACGCCGGAATTTTTGCTAGGACTTCTTTATATTTTGTTAATCTTCAAAATTAAATGAATCAAACGTAGTTTTTGACTTCTGAAGTTAACAGTGTGTCAACTAACAGTGCCAATTCGAGCTCTACAATATATGCGGACTGTATAACAGGTAACAGTGCCAATTTGAGTTCAACAACAACTTCTAAAATAACATAAGCAGACGGTATAACAACTTACAGTGCCAAATTGAGTTCAGTAAGATACGCCAATTTTGTGGTCACGCCACTAAATAAAGCCTAAACTAGACGGAATTATTGACAGTCGCACAAAAAAAAATGGTGGAGTTGGAAGTGTTAAACGCAAAAACCACCAAGCCCTTCGGCAAGGTAAATGCAACTTCATCCTCAACAGTTAGCGAGCTGCGCGTTGTGATTCACAAAACACTCAAGCAAACTCCGCATGCCGACCGCATATCGCTGTAAGTGCAAACACACATACATAAATATTTACATATACAGGGATATAATTACATGGACAATAAAGGATAATTTATGTATAAATTTATTTAAGGCGCTTGGAGCCGCGTGGCAGGAGTTTAAAGGACACCGATTCGGTATCATCGCTCAACTTGGGCAATGGGGACAAAGTCTACATTAAGGATCTGGGACCACAAATTGGCTGGAAGACCGTTTTTCTGGCTGAATATGCAGGTCCTCTAATTGTTTATCTGCTATTCTATTTTCGGCCGGAGCTCATTTATGGCAAGGCAGCTGGGAATCCCATTACGCTGACCACGCAGTAAGTCGGTATATTATTGTTTCCCTTTATTGTGTGTGTGTGTGTATGTGTGTGTGTGTGTTTAACTTTCGCCATATATACATGTATAAATGAATATGTGTGCGACCCGCTTGACCCAAAGTTTTTTTTTTCATGCGTTTTATGCAAATGTTTCGAATTGATGATCGGTGCTTTTACCTGCTGCTTGCATAATTATTGAGACGCTTTCAACGCGCATATATACTGTCTATATAAATACTGCGAATATATCTATATATATACATGTATATATATGTATAAATGTTGCAAAAAAAAAAATATTTGATGATATTTGTTTGCCAAACTATAAATTAAAAAGTAGTGATGATAATAATATGGAAATCGTAATTTTCATAATTATAAATGCACATTTAAGAAATGCTATTATTTTTCGTGCATTTTCTTTATTTTTCATAAATTTAATATTTTTTTAACAAGTTTTAAATAAGTTATTGCTTTTTCTCTCTTATTTTTTTAAGAGTGTTTTCCCACTTCAGAAATCGTATTCCTTTCAAATTTAAATATTCATTTGAAAACATTTCTTGTGAGAGTGGTGCTATTGTTTTTTTTTTTCGAAACTTTACAAGCTATGTATAGTATTATATATAATATATATATTATAGATTGTATATTATACATTATATCGTTTTCTTTTTTTTTTGTAGTATCGCCGCTGGCTGTTATACGGTTCACTATGTGAAGCGTTTGCTGGAGACGATCTTTGTGCATCGCTTCTCGCACAACACGATGCCGATCCGCAATCTTTTCAAGAATTGCAGCTACTATTGGGGCTTTACCGCCTACGTGTCCTACCACGTCAATCATCCCCTGTACACCTCACCCTGCATGTGCACAGTTTGGGCGGCACTCGCTGCCTTTGCGGTGAGTTGAGTTTACGCATAAGGAAAACTAGGAACCTCTTAAAACTCACGTTTAATTTTTACAGCTCTGTGAATTGGGCAACTTTTCGATACACATTGCTTTGCGCAATTTGCGTCCACCGGGCACCAAAGTGCGTAGGATTCCCGTGGCCGACAGCAATCCTTTGACGAAGCTCTTCAAGTGAGTCCTTCATTCATTTATAGTGTGATTTATGATTGTAATGTATATATATTTATTTTCCTCTTTCAGTTTGGTTTCCTGCCCCAATTACACATATGAGATTGGTGCCTGGGTCTGCTTCTCGGCGATGACTTCCTGCTTGCCTGCTTATCTCTTTGCCTTCGCCGGCGCCTTCCAGATGACCGTCTGGGCTCTGGCCAAGCATCGCAATTACAAGAAGGAATTCAAGGATTATCCAAGGGCTCGTCGTGCCATCTTCCCATTTGTACTCTAAGCAGATATACAAAATGAAGTACAATTAATAACAGCTTGCAGGCTGTATTTATTCCATTCCATTTCTTAGAATTGTTAGCTATATATAAATGGGTAGTAAATGTTCGGACATTGATATTTCCCCCATATACTTATTTGGCAAGCAAATGCGTCGAGTTCGATTTGGGGTTATTTATTTTCAGACTTTGACCCTGTCGATTGCGCGGCGACACTGTAATTTATGTTTAAGATTTCTGCGCAGATAAATTATACGGCTTCTCGCTGATAAAACGCATTTTGATAAAATTGTAGTGCTTAGAGCTTGTTTTTTTTTTTTTCAATTTTATTTAAACTGATATATTTTTCATTTCAACGATCCCCATTCCTCAATTGGTGTTGCCAGTATGTTATTAACAGCTATCTGGCAGCACTCACATTCCTAATTAAGTTGGCTGCAGCTGCATTTTCTGGGTAGTTGTTTCTGATTTTATGCCGGCAAACAAAATAAGCAAAGGAATTGCGAGATGAATTTGTTTGAGGAGCTGGACACGTTGGATCCCAGCTCCAAGCTGGTGCCCTCACGCATAGAGACGCCAACGCCACACAAAATTGCTGTGCTAATGCTGCTCAAACAATACCTGAGAGTAAGTAAAGCTTGAATTGAAACCATCTAATACAGTAGACAAATTTGTAGGACAAAAAGAGCTCGATGGAGACGGGAATAACAATGCGTTCGCAGCGACGTCGCATGTTTTTTATGCTGATTTTCAATCTGGTGCAGGAGCCAGATATGACATACAATGAACTACACAATATGCTAACAAGTCGACCCTTTAAACTGGACACTTTGCTGTTGGAAGGTTTCGAGAAATCCATGTCGGAATTTTGTGGCTCGGCCGGAATTGAGGCACTCTTCGACTTTGCTGACTTGCAGAATATTAACACGTTGCTCAACGAGGAATATGGCGTCAATCAGTTCAGCATGGTGGGTGTCTATGTGCGACGCATTGGGGTCGTCCTGGAGCGCTTCACTTTTGCTGAAATGATGAGCATGTATCGAAATATTTGTGTTTATTACGAGCGAGGTATGCGCGCCTTGTCGATTGGTTCTCGCAAACTGATAGCGGGTGGAGTGTTGAGGAGATCGGTAACGCCACCACCTCTAGCTGCTGCTGCTATTTCAACTGGAGAAGGCGTAACCGAGTCAAACGAGGAGCCGCTGGGGCCGCACAATTCACTCAGTCGCTGGGCGCCGCGGCAGGCGAAACATTTCATCAACAGTCAGTCGGAGCTATTGGAACACGATGATGCCGCCGCTCTGCCGCCCAAGCAACTGCAGCGCCATGTCCAGCAAATCATCGAAGATCTGCCGCTAAATACCACCTCGTATTTCTTGGGCTACATGAATCAATTGCGCATCCGGGATTATTACAATGCTTTGTCCGCTTTGCATCGTGCCACGGATCGCTCGCCGGTGCGTCTGATGATGGGCCACGAGAAGGGCTATCAATATTTCTGCATTAATCTGGGTGTGATGCATGCCACCTTTGGGCATCGGGATGAAGCGCTGGCGGCGCTCAGGGAGAGCATTATGTTGGCGCAGGAGCATGGCGATCGGAGGAGTCTTAATCTGGCCAACACTTGGTATTGCCTGCTGCGCGATGAGTTGCCGCTGTCCTATGTCCAGCGTAGCGTGGCCGAGATCAGCGAGGGCGACTCCAATCAGCTGCAGAATTATACGTTAGCTCTGCACTTTGCCGTGAAGCTGGGCACGGTGGCCGGGTATCAGCCGCTGCGGCTGTTTGATCTGCTCCAGCACAGCGATCATCTGACCAATCGCAACAATCTAGCAAGCCATGCGGCGGAGGCGTTAGCTTTGAGGAGCGCCGTTTGGTGTGCCTATGGCAGGCATGAGTTGGCAGCGCTCTATGCTCAGCTGCTTTTGCTGGGAGGAGCAGGAGGAGGAGTAGCAGCAAGAGGAGGAGCAGTAGGAGGAAGACCAGCAGTAGTAGGAGCAGTAACTGGAGGAGGAGCAGGAAGAGGTGGTGGAGGTGTAACTGATGGAGGAGGAGGAGGAGGAGTAGTATATGGAGGAGCAGGAAGGGGAATAGCCGGAGGAGCAAGAGTACTCGAAACGGGAGGAGGAGCAGGAAGAGGAGGAGCACTAGGAGCAGCTGTAGCAGGAACAGAAGGCATAGGAGCAGGAGGATTAGGAGGAGTGGGAGAAGGATACGCGGGCACTGGCAGCGCCTTAGCCAGCTTTGCCATGTGGCTGCATCTGCAGGGCGAGATGCGTTTAGCTCGCGTGCTCCTCCATCGTGCGCGGGAACACTTGCCACGTCTACCCAGTGCCGAGTGCTGGATGATTAGCCAGTGTCATTTGACCATCCAGTCGGGCATCTATCGCTGCCGTTGGCACGATGCACTCAAGGCCTGTGATCAACTGTATCTACTCGATGCGCCGGGTTCGCTGCATCAGCGTGCGTCAATCTATGTAGCCAAGAAGGAGTTCTTCAACGCACGTCGACTCCTCGATAAGTTGGCTGCTCAACAGGATTTAGCTTTCCTGCTCCGGATGCGTGTCCAAGTGTTGCTCGCCTATTGCAGCCTGGCCGAAGGTAATTTCAATAGTGAGGCAGTTACCCTACTCTTGCGCGTCTCCGAGGATATGTCTGACTCTCAGATGGATTACGAACTGGCTTTGGTGGATATGTTGCTGGCACAGGTGCTGCTCCTCCTCGGATTACCACAGAAGGCTTATCAGGCCATCAAGCGCAGCATGGATGACATTCATATCAATGGTGGACTCTATGAACGAGCCAAGACGGATTTTGTCTTTGTGCGCTGCCTGCTCGCCATTACGGCGGACGGTGAGCACCGCAAGGCTCAGCTCCTGAAATCTGTGGACATCTTAGAGCGCTCAGCTAAATCATTTAAGCAATTGTCTGCGCATGCCAAAGTCCTCGATGTTTACGTGTTTCTAGCGCAGCGATTTAATGAGTTTGGACAGCGTGCGCTGCGTAATAAATACGCCGGGGAATTCCGGCGTTATTTTATGGATCACCCAATACCGCGGGAGTATCTCGGCGCACCTTGAATCTTAATAAATTGCATCTCTTTAAAAAGACCGCCTTGTGTCTGTGTTGGTAAATGCTTCACGCTGTTGAGTGCCGAGTTACATGGCATGAATTCAAACATCTCTCCATGCAGCGGTAGTAAATGCTTCAAGCTGAGCATAGGTTTCAATTATCTTTTTCTGATATTTGCTACCTGTTCAAACAGTACCAACACTCATTACAAGAAATCCTAGCTAGGTGTGAATTCAAATCGACCTCTTTGCAGTGTTAGTAAATACTTCGCACTTGGCATGTTTTTTTTTTTATTTGAGGTCTCATCATTTTTTAAAAACGCATGTTTTATTAATTTCTTTCTTTAAACAATAATTGTGTGTTGAAAGAGAGATTTACAATTACTCTTAATAAAGCCTAGATTGGGATGAATTAAAATTGACTGCCTAGTTGCAGTGTTGGTAAATGCTTGCAGCTTGGCATTGGTTTGCTTTTTCTGCTATTTGCTGTTTATTATTGTTAACTGGCAGCGGGGGAGGGGAACTTGGACTTATTGACTTAAACACTACTCCCATTATTATTATTATTAGTTATTAGTAATTCTTATTGTGGAGAATCTGGAACTTAACGTATTTTAACGAATCAATGGTAAACTGGGCGACGGACCAGTTGCGGCCATGGCACTGCCTGGCCCAAGCAGCACCTGCTTCTGCTGCGACTTGTGCAGCTCCTCCATCTGGGCACGTTCCGTCTCAAAGATGACGGGCGCAAACAGGATGACGGAGCTCGTGAAGAATATCCACGATGCATTGCACGCAAACTGATAGAGACTGCGACAGGTATTCACTGTGCCGCTGGCCACACTGCTCGCCGTATTGCGCACCGAGTCCGGGAACATTTCTGCCAGTCCCATCATGCGTTCGCCAAACGACTCATCTGGTTCCTAAAATTAACATTGTAAAACATGTGAGGTTAGAATGCAGCTGGTAATGGGTACACTGTTGATAAATATCTAAAACTTACATCATCGTAATTCTCACCATCTGTCTGTGGATCATCGTTTGCTGCCTGTAAGGAGGTTAAAACAATACAAAAACCAGCATATTGTAATAATCAATAAATAGATAAGCATATTGCATTGGGGGAGGGGCGGGGGACTGGTTCGTTCTGCGCCATTACGTGAGCACGATACGCCAAAGACGGCGTGCTTCAGCAAAAAAAAAAGATTTAAAAAAAACACCTACAACTGTTGTCACTGTGCGTCGCTCTGGCGTTTCGTCTTTGCTACCACCCAACGAGGACATCCCGCTATCCTTTTCAATGAACTCAATATCAGGATCAGAGTCCATCAAATCCTCGACTTTTACGTTATCGGTATCCACTTTTGCGGCTTTATTTTCAACTATTCGTTAAATATTATATATGCCGGGAAATTTAACGCGGCCTTTTTTATATTTTCAATAAGACAATTAAAATCAGTTAAGCACTGTCGTTTTATTCGTAAATGTAAAAAAATTGATTTTATGTGTGCTCGTTGCGAGTGTCTCGGTATCGGTATCGTTCGCAATTGAGCTGGCTCATGTGAACTATTCTAACCACTATCGATAAGTCTGCAGCGAGCAACTTAATACACATGAACTACTCGAACTAGTATCGATGAGTCTTCAGCAGCGGAACTCAATTCAAATGAACTACTATCGTTGAGTTGCGTTGCTGTAGACTTTTCGACAGGTGCAATCGGCGCATATCTCAATTGATAATATCAAATTTTATGTATATATTATTTTATACATTTACCTTGTTATCCATATCGCTCATGATTTTTAGGCAATTTCAACGTCACAAGTCAAGTTATTTATATTTTTTTTTGTTTTATCAAAATATACACGTTTTGCTTGGAGTACAAATTTAGAAACGTCGACAATATTTATTTTACGGAATATTACTTTACTACCTGTTTTAGCCAGTCTGAAACTGTTGCTATCTGAATCCGAAACCATAATAGACAGCCTACTATAAATATTAGACAAAAAAAAAAACAAACAATTTATTGAGCGTCGGTATTGTGTTTTTTGTGTTTATTATTATATCCATTTTATTTCATCATTACAATTAAATATTATGAAATCAATCAATTCTTAAAATAAGAAATACCAAACAAACGTATGCATTTACTTAGATAATGTCTTAATTTTGTGTATGTAAGCCATTAAGTATTCCAAATGGCCTTTGTTGTAACCCAAAAACAGCATACATACATATAGTAATTAGATCGTATATAGTAGGTATAGTATAGTTTTGCATATAAATAATTTAAGCACAATTAATTGATGACATCATCAAAATCTACGGTAGTTAAGTACATATTGGATATTTAGTGTAACAAACAATATTGAAATACGCATAGTATACATACATATATATAAATGTATATATGTATATAAATACGAAATATATATTTGGGAATCCGCTTGAATTCGCTATGGTTTTGTTAAATTTAAGCCTTCAGGCGATAGCTGTAAATATGCATTCAAAAATATTGTTCTTCCATTTTGATTTTTTTTTAGCAAGCTTGTATTTTGATTTATATATTAATTTATTATATTTTTAATTGTTTTACTGTTTTTTGAGTAAACAAACATTATTTGAAACCACTGCCAAATACGATTTATACTATATTATATAGTAAGAACTTATCGGCATCGGGACGGCGATGCAATGAACTTGAATTATGCTAAATACTTAATTAGAAAATAGATTTTTAGGGAAGCAAACTTATGGAAGATAATAATAATAATAATATTAAATAATACACTGTAAAACAAGTATTGATTCTATTGTTTTTTGTTGTTGTTTTTTTACCTCTTGCTTTTGATTTTCAAGGAAACAAGCAAATGGAAGAGAATAGTTGAGATGACTAGATAATACACTGTAAAACAAGTATTGCTTCTATTGATTAGTTTTTTTTTGCAACTTTTGCTTATAATTTTGCCTTTTTTTTGTATTAAATATACTTCTTGAAAATTCTACAAGATATTTTTTCTTTAGAGATTTTCATTTTGATAGTTTTGTATCCATTGAATAAATAGTTTTTAATATTTGCTGTTGTTGTTGATTCATATACTTTAATAGTTTAACAATTATATATACCTCGACATTTAATATACTTTTATATTCAATGGTTAACATTTATAAATATACTTTTTCGTATAATTTCCAAAGCGAAATTATAATATATATTATCATTTATCTTTTGTTGCATGCATTTTGTAAACATTTATTTTGCATTGCTTAGGCTAACAACATTTAAACAAAATGTGTACATAAAAAGCACATTAACTTATTTAAGACACAAACATATGAACTGTTTTTTTTTTTTTTTGTTTTGTTTTGTTTCCATTTTTATTATACTCGTAGTGTATTTATTTATTTATATGCAATAGTTTAATTTAAACATGCTCTCTTTTTTCACCCTAAACACAATATCACTCACTCGCTCAGACTTATCCGAATTTGCATATATGTTATATGTATGTAATTATGTAGTTATGTTTGTCTGTGTTATGATTATAGGCATATATTTTATGCATACAATTTATTGTGCTGTAGAAAAAAAACATACAAATTCTCTCATTAAAAACTAAAGTCGTACAAAAATGAATATTAAGAATTGGCGTTTTTACAAAATGTTTATTTATTAACTTATGTGTGTGTATATATATATATATGTATATAATATATATTAAATATATTATATATATATGTATATATATACATATGTTTTGTTTGTATTAGATTTTCACTTGAAAACCAACTCAAAGTGTGAGATTTGTGTGTATTGTGTTTTTTTTTGGTGTGTTTCTTACGATTCCTTTCCAAAAATGTTCTTAGCATAAATTAATAATATATATTTAATATATTTATGTTTTGTATAAAACATTCATGAATTCTGTCTGAGTATGTTAGTAAATCGCTTAATAATTATTGTTTAATTTGTTATTAGCATTTGCCATCCGGTGATAATTGCACTTAATTTCTGCACTTAGAGCAAAAGTCTCGTAAACTCTGCAATATCAAAAAAAGAAAAGCTAGGATTAGTTTTAAGTATATTGTTGTCAAGGTAAACTTTAACTTAAACTGTTTAAATACATATTTTTATTTTATTTTGTATAGCCGAGAAATATGTTGACATTTGTTGAACGCCTTCAACTTTTATGAGCAGCTGTAACAAATGATTAAAGCCTGTTTGCAGAGGCTCCTTTGGGATGCGTGTGTTAAACGTGTTGAATTGCCACGCCCACTCAACGCCAAACTATATACTATATACAATATCAGCGAAACATGTTAAGCACTATTAACGGCGACAGTGAAGACTGTGCTCGACTTGGAGTTACCCTGTACTCATAGATACTTATTTTATTTTATTTTATTTATTATATTGGTACACATTTTGAAGTGAAATAAGGTAAGCAGGCTGTAGCTACCCTTCATCCAGCTGTTAAATATACAGGGTATCGAAAAAATACTAAAAGTTCAGCCGCTTCTGGTGCGTTACATGACGGTGTAAAGTAAATAAGGTGAAATACATATATTGCAGATGCCAGCAAAGAAAATAAACAGTAAATGCGGTTGAAGTGGGAATGGAAGAGGGGTGATGGAGAGGGTAGGAAGAGAGAGAGCGAGGTGAAGGGGTGAGATAGGGTCAGGCCATGCGTTACAAGGTCAAAGTATCAACTAGTAAAGCGACGCCATATGAACCGAATGATAAACTCAAGTCTAAGTGCACACATACAAGCACAAACACATACACACACACACACACACACGCACACACACATATGTAGACAGTGCCATCTGTTTGTTTGTATTAGTTTGTGTTTAGTAATCAATTTATTGCTACGCAAGGAACACTCCGAATGTGTCCTTAGCCTATCTGCAAGTGTTTGTCTACACTCAGAAAAAAATCAACCCTAAATAAAGATCGTCCTAAAACGTAGACATTTTTTTCTGGTTTCTAGAAATAATATTTAAGTTCCTGAAATGCCAAATTGCCCATGAAACATGTGGAAAGCTTTTCTTAATTTTAGCAATAACTTGTAAGTATAAGAAAACAAATTTTTAAGTACCGTCAGGATTATTTTCTATTTTAAACAAATAAATAAAAATTATAAATAAAAATAAATAATAATAGAAAATATTTCTAATAAATATAAATGGAAAAGTATATCAATTATCTAAAATTCAGTGCGATTTTTCTCAGAGTGTATTTGCTATTAGCTAGTCGTCGCATCGGTTAACGAGATGAGGTATTTGAAAATGCAAATCTTTCACAAATCGGATTGTTTTGGATATTCAAAAAAAAAGAAGAAAAATCCCGTTGGAAAAGTGACCCATTGGCCTTGGCGCATTACAATTGTTGGACTCGGGTCCACTCGGGGTTATTCAACTTTAACTGCCGCTTGTTGAACGTGCAATTTGTATTTGTTTTTGTATTTGCCTAGCTGATTTATGAGTGCTCCTCCTGCAAATATTGGCACACTTTTATACACACTCATCTATGTAAGTGTGTGTGCGACTGTGTGTACTAGTGTGTGTGTGTGTGCGTGTGTCTGTGCGATTTATGCTGCAACTTGATTAACGCGCAGACAGCAAACGGTAAAAGTGAAAGTAAACTCATTTTGTGGTTGTTATGCCCTTGTTGAGGGCATTTGCCACAAGCCGGAGCAGGAGCCGGAGTCGTCCCCGAAATCCATTTGCTTACATTCATCAAAAAGATCGCCATACTTTTGGCGCCAATCGTTAGTCATCATATTGATCAGTGAGTAAATTTCTACAATTTATGGTTGTGTCTTTCTTAAGAGCAGCGTTTGCGTCATTCGTTGTTTCTGAATTTAAGAAAGGATTTCATCGAAGAAACACGGTTTGCAGTAGTTCTAGTTTGGTGTTGGGGATAGTTTAACAGGATTCTGAATGTCATCAAATTAACTTCCACAGCAGCTGCTACACCTCTGTGACCCCCTTCTCCTCCGACGCCTGAAGAGATTACATACCAACGACCTGCTCAACACGATAGTGTACAGCACATGATCAGAGCTTATCAGTATTTATAAAATAGACAGGATATGCAGTATGGTGTCCAAAGCATCGACCGGAGTCGAACACATTGAGAATATATATTCTTGATTATGTCTAGGATAACAATTGTATTTTTCTTGTTTCTTATGTATATTTGTGTTAGTTATTTATGAACTTACCCTCGTAATTAATGCGACCATCCTGGTCCAAGTCGGCAATAACAAGCAGCTGCTCCAGCTGCGCCTCATTCAAGGGCTCCCCAATCATTTCCATTGCGGTTTGCAGCTCATCTCGCGTTATAAAACCATTTCCATCACGATCGAATACTCTGCGAGGGGATAAATATGAAGGGGGAGGCATCTTTAAAGCGGGTGGGGATAGTTCTTACCTAAATGCAGCTATTAAGTCTTCGGTGACATCGTCTGCCTCATCGAGGGGCTTGCTGGCATTGCTGGCATTCTCGTCCTGCTGCTGGTCATCCCGCAGAGCCTGAATCCTGCCCACCCATTGCAGGAATTCGGCCTCGTTGATTAAACCGTTGCCTGAAATTAAATGTCAAGATTAAGCCATGTTTTGTTGTTGGTAAACAATTTAACAGCAAGAGCTTAGCTAAATACAACAATCAACAATTCACAGAGTACCAGAGAGGGAGCGAGATTTTGAGAGAGAGAGAGATAGAGAACTGGCGAACATATAATTGAAAGCGTCCTTTTGTTGTTGCTTGCCGACTACACACGACTGTACACGTTGCTACTCGCCAGCTACACTCAGCGAAATAACACTAAAGTACTTGTACAAGTTTTTCTTTTCAATTGAAATACTTTCTAAAAACACAAGAAAAAAATCATCAAATTTGAAAGCATTTTATTCATGTTTCACAAATATTTGCTAATATTTTAGAACATTTTTATGTTCAACTAAAAAAATGTGAAAAAGTGTACACAGATAACATCTAGAAAAACGGTCATTATTATTTTCTACACCTCCGCGTTTCTCTCTCGCCACTGCGTCCTTGCCACTTCCACTTGCCACAAAAGCATTGCCTACTTTTGTGCGTCGCAGGTGGGGCAGATGCAATCTGCTATCTCCCTTTCTCGCTGACTTTCCCTCTCGCTCTCTCTCACTCTCTCTCTGAGTGTTTTAAAGCCTCTCTCTGTTGTAATTAAGTGCCAAGATAAAAGCGAGTAAGAACCTTTAGCGTGCTTCTGTTTGCCAACTTCCGGCACTGGCAAAAATCAGCCAACCCTAAAAACCTTGACCTCAAAAATAGACAAAATGCTCCAATGGCATAGATACCCTGTAATTCACAGCTTAATCTGCGCTTTTTACTGAAAAATCAATACACTCCGCTTTGCTATTTTTCTTCCCTCAGAAATCTAAAAAATCGCATGTCTTATAAATATTTCTTATCATTTGAATTTACGTTTTATATTAAATTATATTTTCAATTTAATAAAATCCACATTAAAATAATCTCGCCTAAATGTCTTTGGCTTAGCAAAAGTAAAATTAATATGAATATTTTGATTAAGTGACTTTATTTTTGTCGTTTCAACTTTTGTGACTTTAATTTATTTATTCAAATAAGCGCAAGATTCCAATGAATTTGTTTATTTGAATTTTTCTAATGAATTTATTACGCGTTCCATGGCAACAACAGTAATGAGCTGGATGTGGATATGAATAATTAAATTTGATTGTTTCGGCTGTTTTTATTATTATATTATTTGCGGTTGTTGATACCATGACTTATGATTGCATTCAACAAAGCTCTGCGCAAATATTGAATTTCCATAAACTGTAAAATGGCCAAGTTTTTATTTTATGTATTTTGTGTTTTGCCCACGCAAAAGCATTGCCAATGCGAAGGCTTAGCCCCAAAAGTTATGGCAGAAGTACATAAAAGGGACAAGGACGCTATGCAAAGACATCCTGGCGACACAGAAAGTATAAAAATATAGGGCAGGTGTAACCGACTGCGAAATACTCTGACACCAGGGTAATAGTAGCTGATAACAGCTGCCAAGTCCTAACTGGCCATGGCATTTGTCTTAACCATTTTTGGAGGAGGTTTTTAGTACTTTTTTGTGGGCGGGTGTGGGCGTGGTTCGACGGTTTTTGTCCGCTTAGCAACATATCTTTCAAAATTCGAGACTCTTGCTTTCGATATTTGGTAACTGTAGATTAAAAAAATACATTTCAGATTTATGAATTTGTATGTCGAAGTTTGGTGACTTTATCTTGAAAAAATGTGGCTTAAATCGATTACCGATAGTTATCGATTTATAGATTTGTTAGCGATAAACCTCTAACTTTAATCGTGTCGAATAAAGTTGCGCTCATACACGGAACCAATATACTTTCTACTTTCGCTAACAGTGTATAAAAAGTCTGCAAAAATATTTGGTAATTACTACACGCCCAACCACCCACCTACCCAATCACCCACTCAACCACCCAACCAACCACACATATCTACAGTGATATTGACCTTGAATAAAGTACTAGAAATCATTACGATGTTTTTCAGATTTTTTTTTGGTTTTCTTTTTTGTGGCTCACAAGTAGGTTGAGCTTCTGTGTGTGTGTGTGTGTCTTGTGTTATTGTTGGCATTAAAAGATGTATCAAAAGTCATATAACATTTTACTATGCTCGATAGAATTTGAGTGCAGTTAGACAAAAGTGCAAAAGGCGATTTATATTGTTGCCTTATCGCTGGCGAATATTATGTCAGCATTAGCAGTGTGTGTGTGTGTGTCTATGTCATTTATAACTCTATATAGTCAGTGTATAATAGAGTCGATGATTTTCTTTTGGCTGCCTTAAGCTGCAAACCATTTTCATTTGGCTGAGTTGGAGTCGAAGCCGTGTTTTTTTTTTGCGGAATGTTGTCATTTCATTTGAAAATGTTCGCTTGTGCAGTACTCATGCAATGCAATGTCAGCAGCCAGGCAAACAAAACAAAAAAAGAAAAAAAAAAAAAAAAAAAAAAAACATTTCCAAGGATACAGAAAATGGCTCATCATTGTGGCAAAAGGACATTTGTGCGGCCAATGTCACCGTGTGGGCAGCAGAATCATTGTGTTTATTTCGACAAATATGTGTTGCTCATATCCAACTCTCTCTTTCTCTCGCTCTATCTCTATCTCTTCTCTCTCTCTCTCTCTCTCTCTATCTTCTCTCTGTCTCTCTATCATTATGTCATGTGCTTACTTCCTGGTCAGAATCATTGTGTTTATTTCGACACATTTATATTTCTCATAAATTATTACTATTCATGTCTTTCCCTCTCTCTATCTCTCTCTCTATCTATCTGTCCATCTATCTACCCCTCACCCTCTCCCTATTTTTCTTTCTCTCTATCTGTCTCTCTTTAAGAGTTGTTTCCTTAATTAATATGCAGTGTCAAATGCACTTTGTGCTCACCAAACAAAGACATCAGCCAACTAATTAAATTGAAAGTGAAGCACACGTATCTATTTCCAGCTGTAATCACTTTAGCTACACTCAAAAAATAGCACTGCAATTTCTTATTATTAATTTATATGCCAAAAAGTAGGCTCTTTCTATTTATTATTTATATATTATATATCTAAGAAATAGCTTCTTTTTATCTTAATTCAAAATTTGGCGAAAAGTTTTATGAATTCAACATTGTTGCATAGAATGCTAAAATAAGCTTTTTATTTAGATTTATTACTACTATAAACGAAAATATTTTAGAAATTTCATTTTATTTCTTAATAATTTAAATGAGAACAACATTCTAGTTTTCTGAGGTTTTTTTCTAACAGTGCTTATCAAATTGAAGCACATAAGAAACTAGGCAGAGATCGATGAACGAGCTGCGTGGCAAGAGGAGGCTCGAAGGGAGGGTCACGCGGCAAGTAGAGTGCAAATGAAGTGGTTATAAACTGCATTAAGGCCAGGAGACGGCTAAGTTCTGGCCAGAGTCTGGCAAAGAGAACTCTTTTGTTAGCCATAACAAACGGCAACTGCGGCCTGTCAATGCGCCAAGGCAAATGGCAGCAGCTTCATGCCAAAATGCAATAAATTATTGGAAAATGCACCTGCTGCTGTTGCTCCTGCTCCTGCTCCTCCTCCCTCTGCCCCTCCTCGTGCTTCTGCTGACCTCAACTTGCAACGGAAACGGATACGGATGTGTGCCCACAAAGTGCGCTGTGCGTGTGTGCGGGTGTTAGAGTGTGTGTGTGTGTGTGTGGGGGTGTGCCTCGCACACATTTTGATTGCAGCCCATTTTTAACAGCTGTGTTGCCTCCCTCTCTCTCTATATCTATATCTCTCTCTCACTCTCTCTCGCTGTTTGCTCGCTAAACATGCAATAAACATTCGAGAGCTGTCTTTGTCTTTAGCTATAAAATTGAGCAACAAACACAACAAAAAAATGAATGTCCTTCAATTTATTATTTTATATTTATTTGCTGGTTAAATGATTATTTAAGTTTATCATTATTAAAGTGACAACAACAGATTGAAAGTTGATATATATGTTAAATATATTTACATATATTTATATGTATATATTTAATTATATGCTTAATATCGCCCCCAAGCACCACTTAAATCTATTTAATGCATTTGAGTAGCATTCATTTTGTGGTCAATTTTTGGGCAATTAATTTACTGTGGATTTTGTGGCATCAAAATAAAATGAGGCCAAAAAGTCACAAGCCACAAAATGTAAGTGCAACTTAAGCCCAGTTTATGCAGCATTTGACCTCAAGGTTCAAGCTGGGCCAGAACTTAGATGGCTACGCATAAAGACTCTCATAAATAAGTTGGTAAGTAGCGATGCGAAAAGGGCAAAGGGGGCCCTTCAAATTGGGGGCATTGTTAGTGCTTTTCTCACTAGGCATTGACAACAAATAATAATAATAAATAAACAAGGGAGAGCGACTGCGAAATACTGTGATACCGACTATAATAGTAACAATAAAATATATATAATAATAACAAGTGACAGGGAACAGGTTAAGCGTAGCCAAGAAATTTATTCCTACCAATTTTTGGAGGAGGTTGCACATAATTGACTTTCCTAGCTTTTAAAGTTTAGCTCTTAAATTGCGGCACATATGGGTTTCTGAGTTTTTGAGAGCAGAAGTGGACGAACTTTAAACATTTTTTTCCCATTTCTGAAGGGTTTTACTAGCAATATATCTTTCAAATTTGATGACCATAGCCTTCAAATTGTGTGAGATATATGGACTTATCGATATAGACCATCAGGTATATCGGTTTTTGGGAATGAAGTGTTTTTTCGATCTTTAAAGCAGTTACCGATAACATACTTTGTAGCTTTAAAAACCTGCGTTTTGTAAGTCATGAATGAATTCAAAAAGAGGTCAACAGAAATCTACGCTCTGCACAAAATCAATATACCCTTTTACTTTCGCAAACAGAGTATTAAAAATAGTCCAAGTCATATCAAAGCCAGGCCAAATAGCAGCGGGAGGTTATACCAACGGTATAAGGTACAGTAGAGTACAGTACAGTAAGGCTTTGCGCGATGTCATGAAACCCAAGGAATGTAAATGAAGCCATAAAATGTACGCTTTACGTGGCATTCAACAGTTTTGTGGCAAATTGATAAAATTCTATTTGCAGCCAAAGAAAAAGAGAGAAAAAAGAAATGAAAACAGAATGTAGAGAAACAGCATAATGATAGGCAGGTCACAAAACCATTGATTTAGGCTTTAAGAGTTTTTGGATTGTATTTGATTTTGAACGAAAATTAAGTAAAAAAATGTTTTGAAAATCGTTTTTGAATTTGGACCCACCATATCCAGTTTCCCAATTTAAATGCATTATTTATCTAGAATCTCAAAATATAACTAAAAGATATTGATATTGCTTTTAAAAATCTTTTAGGCCTTAATATTTAAATATTTTTGATTGCATAACTTCCGATAAATACTTCAGTTACCAACGGATGACAATAAATATTTAAAGCTGGCAATAAATTCAGAGTTTGGCTCACATTTTGCTGACGGAGGTTTGTTGAACTGCCATAAAAAAAGGATGTCTGAACATGTGCCAGTCTGCACAGATACATATATATATATATATAGAGAGAGAGAGAGAAGCAGAGAGAGGTGAGATATATATATGTGTATATATAGAGTTTGGCCTGTGGCAACTGGCAGTGGCAGGCGTCAAGTGCCGTCAGCAACAGTTGCCACTGTTGTTAGCCAATGCGTTGTTGCACATGGATAACTGTGTTGGTTGTGCGTGCGTGTATATGTATGTGTGTGTGTCTGTATGGTTGTGGTTAGGTGGTACATCAAGTGGATTGCTGTGCGTGACTGTGATTTCAATTCGCAGCTTTTATGTCAGTAGCCAAAGACCTTCAGTTGATAAGCTTTAAATGCACTGCACGAAAGAACAACAACAACAACAAACAATTAAATGGGATAATACACATAATTTAAAGTAATTAAGAAATCTGTGCCAACAAACAAAGCAAAACAAAACAAATCAAAATAAATCATTTAAATAAATATTCGTTATTCAGCAACGAATAAATGCAGTTTAAAAGTCAGCAGCAAAGATGTAAGAGTGCTCTAGTCGAGAGTGCTCGACTACGAGATGAAACTGAAGCCAGCTATTGCTGATTCTTGACAGTTGATCAATAATATGTCTAGGTTTTATAGAGTATCTGTTTAAAGTTCATTATTTCGGAATTGTGACTTTTATTGCTATCGTTTATCAATTTAAAGTCTATAACTTCCAAGCTATGATTTTTATAGATATCTGTAATCGATATATGTATATCGATATTAGAAAAACGAACGAAATTATCGATCAAATGTAATAAGCTTGAACTTTTATTCAAAATTGGAAGGCCTTAGCTCTGCGGATATCTGAAATCGGCGTCTTCATACAGATATGGCTCAACTCTTGCTGCTGGTCGGGAATATATATACTTAATGGGCTCAGACAGGCTTCCAGCTGGCTGTTACAGACTTCTTTATGAATAAAGCCAGCGTCAAAATAATATCAAATAAATAAAATCAACAATTTGCAGCCGCCACAATGCAAAGGCCAGCAAAAACAGAGAGCCCAGCTCATTTTAGAACGACAGGCTGCATGTCTGCCTGTCTGTCCTATCTGGCTGTCTGTGTGGCTGTCTGTGTGGCTGTCTGACTAGCCTGTCCTACTGCTGTTGCTGCTGGAATTGGCTAAGTTTTTGCACAGATGCCGCTGAAGGAATTTACTTATAATAAAAATTGCATTAGCTAACGAGCAAATTGAATGAATGAGAAAACTTTACAAATTGGCTCAGTGAGGATTTTCTGTAAGCCGTACAAGTTTCTTGTGGCCATCGTCATCGATTAACCGGTGAAAAGCGTGAAAACTGTGAAAAGCGTGATTTCAGCAGCGGGTTTAAAGAGAATCTGATTAATTTCAAACTAAGCCTAGAAAAAAGTTGTCCTGGAAAGTTGACATATTTTTTATAAAATTCAGAAAAATCCCACTGAAATTTATAAATCCAAACGCTTCTTTTAAGAATGTCACAATTATAAATTTTTAAAATTTAGTTTTTGATTTGTTAACTTTATGATCATCTTTTCCAGAGTGTAGGAAGCCTAATTAACTAGTGGCGCGTGCCATAAACTGTTGAATGCCACTTAAGGCAGCAATTGTGCTCACATTTCACGGCCTCACAATGCAAAAAAAAAAGAAGATGAACTTAAGCTGAAGTGGCAAGCTTGTTCTAGCTGCTCTTGAGATTGAGTTGTGTGGAGTGGCACTCACCTGAGTGGCTTGCCTCACGTATGAGATCGTGTATGATTTCATCACGCACATCGATGCCCAGATTCTTGAGCATAAACTGCAATTCATTCGCCGTCACACGTCCATCCCGATTTCTGTCCAACAAATCGAATGCGGTGCGTAGATCTGCAATTAAATCAATAAAGTGAAAGCAATAACGAATAAAATATTCATAATATAGTATCAATAATATAAAAACAATTGTCATTTAAATATGCAGAAGGCATTTCTGATGATATTTTGTTTAATATAGACTAAAAGCAATCCACTGTTTCATGAAATAACTTTAATAAATACAAATTGTACATGAAATTGATTAGGAAAGTTACGAATTTAATTATATAAAATTAATTGGGAGAAATTACAAATATAAATGTTATGTAAAGAACTATAAATACAGAAAATAACAAAAATAAAGGATATAATAAAATGAGTGGTATTAAAATCTAAAGATTAATACAAAGAAGCCTGAAGATTGAAATACCAGCTAAAACCATGGGAAGGAATACTTTCTAAGCGGACTCAATTTGAATTTAATAGTTTTTATACTGAGCAGGCAAAATACACGATATATTCAAGAATAGGACGCACTAAGGAAATATAAGTAAGTTTAAATACAAATAATCAAAAAGAAACAAATTCACTTGACTTCAACTCAGCTGCTTAAAGTCAGAGTTTGTTCGGCAAAAAAATATTATGTAACGTCAAACAAACAAAAGTCAAACAAAAAAAAAAAAAATACTGTGAATAAAGCCGTTATGAAAATGAAGGCCATTTCCCAAGAAAGTGCGTAATTTCAACGTACAACGCAAAAGCAAAAAGGAAAACACAATAGAAAAAAAAAGGGAAAACCATTGTGGGAAAACCCAAGAATCACGAAAATCATTGGTTTGCCTTACGCACTCTGTGATATTATTATTACTATGGATAGATATATATATATATAAAGACGTATATATATATAAATAATTATATACATATGTCTGTCATCGTTGCGATTATGTTTCTGAAGATGAATCCAAAGCCAAAATCTGTTGTTAATTTGAGCGGAAATTGCTTTAGCCTCAAGCTTATCCTGTGTGTGTGTGTGTGCGTGTGTGTGTGCCTATAGTAGACGCAATTAAATTAGAGTTTGCATCCTTGAGACGGCGACCTTCCATTCGTATTCCTCTGCCAAGAGACAGAGCCCTTAGTCTCAGTCCTTAGACTGAAAATGCCTTTTGGCGCCAACTCAATGCCAAATCGATCAAACTTGCAGTTGACTTGGCTTTTATGGTATGCTTCCTCCTCGCCATAATTATGGCAACATTTTTTAGTTTTCCAATTTGGTGCAAAGTTTTGCACTTAAATTTGCATTTGGCATACAAATTACACCAAATATTCCGTGCACCAATTTGCTGCAAGTGCGTGCACTCGATTATGTGTGTGTGGCAAGAACACCTCTAAGGAGCTCCTCTCTATGTGTGTGTGGGGGTTAGTGTACGTGGATGAGTGTGTGGGTGTGAGTGTGTGTTAAGCACTTCCGTTGACAGCTTATTAATATTACACTCGCAATAAAAATGTTATTAAAGAATGAAAGTCTCGCTGGAAATCGTTTTTTCTAGAAATATTTTCTAAGTTTATAGAAAATTCAAATGTTTTATAAAAATATAAGTAACACTGCATTAAATCTTTTTTCTAAATTTCAGAAAACTTCATGCTAAGTAATATAAGTAGCTACAATAATATAAGTAAGCCTGAACTTTAGCAATCGTTTTTGCAAATTTTAGTAAGATTCATTCTTAAATGAAAAATATAATTTCTTAATAATAATTTAAGGTGTATTCAAACCGATATATTTTCCAAGTGTACACACACACACACACACACTCACACACACACACACACAGTCAGTGAAGTGGCTCGTGTTTGTATGGCTTGTAATTGCACACGTGTAAACACCTCACATATTGACAAATTGACACATTGACACCAATATTTCACACGGCAATAACAACAACAAAATGGCTTGCATCATGTTGCACAGTCTGACATGCGACATGAGCAGATATTGAGGTTAACTTTTGGCATATTTCACAGACTTTTCAGTACCGCAAAATACTTGGAAATGCATACAAAACTTTTGGTTCAAAGGCAAATTGCAATCATGGCTTACATTTGAATTTGATATTTTTTCTTTGCCATTTTGCCAGATGCAAATCAAATTAATTAAATATGTTTATTTTTATAGAAATATTTTGTATTATTAAAAAATATATTTCCAAGAAGTGTATAAGAAAAGTTGAAATGTCATTTATAAAATGAATAAGCTTTTTTTCCGTTTCTTAATTATTTTCTTTTAATAAAAAACATATTTCTAACCACCAGAGAATTGGTCATTTGAACTTTGTGCGTTAAATTTGGCCACAGTTGACCGATAAGCAATATTTAATGGCCAAATTATTCGCGTGCTGAACAGGAAATAAATTGGCCAACAAATGTTGGCTAATTAGAGACAAGCCAATTGCTTAAACGTCAACTGTCTGACAGCTGAAATCCCCTCCCTCTTTGGTTCACAACCCTTTCAGCCTTTGGCCAACTGGCCAACGTTGCTTACCAGCTACACTCTAAAAAAATCAAACTATATTTTGCTTTGAATTTTTCTAAAACTTAGAAAAAATATGCGTAATTTCCGGGGTGTTGTTTTTCTGTCTTTACCATAGAGGAATTCATATTTTAGCTTTTTTGTTACCACTATTTTTTTGGCAAGTGTATGCAAAATATTGTGGCTTTGCAATTATGAAAAGTTTTTAATTGCAAAATTAAACCGGGGACAAAGAGACAAAGACAAAGTTGAGTTCTGGGTGACCAACGAAATATGCAGCCAGGCAGAAAGTTGGCAATTTGTAAATGTCGCACCGACTAATTGCAAAGACACACACACATCAACACACACACCTACGCAAACACACACACGATTGCAACTGGGTCAAAGAGCCTTGAAATTTGAGTTAATTTCCCTCTTATCCTTTGTAAAGCACAAAAGTTGTTTTTCCAATAAACATTTGTTGTTTGTTTTACTTTGCTGTTGATTTTGTTGTTTTTTCCATTGAGCTTTGGTCTGACAATGTGTAATTGAGTTGGAAAACTTACAAATAGTTTAGTCGTAAATAACACTGCGAAATGCTGAGTGCTCTTCAAGATCTGAAAAGCACAAAGAATAATACCAAAGATGTGCCAAAATGTTGGCAGTTTTATTGTTGAATTTCAAGTTGTTTCCATTCAAGAATAATGCATGAAAATGTTTGCATTTTATTGAAAATAATCAAACAATGCTTGTCAAAATTTTCGTGCGTTTTCCAACACACTCGAGCTCAAGTGAAGCTGGCATTGAAACGGAATCGGAAATGAGAAACATGGCTGCCTTTGTCACATCCATCTTTACAAAAGCACCCAACTCAGCCACTGTCTCTGATCCAAACTGAAATTAAATAAAATCCCAAGCAAACAATATTAAACAGAATCATCAACGGATAAACAAAACTAGAAAGAACCAAAACTTTGGCAAAAATAACAGCGATAATTTATTTGCCACTTCGATAAGAAATTTGATGATAATTCCAATTAAGCTGCCTTTGGCCAGCAATAAATAGCAGAAAAAGTGTTCGTGCTGATTAGATTGGCTTACACTCATTGAAAATGTGTAAATGTGGTATACTGGTTTTGTGCCAAGGTATGTAACAGGCGAATGAGAGCAGCTACGAATCCATAAGGCATATATATTCTTGATCAGCTGCAAAAGGAGAGTCGATCTCAGTGACTATCAGAGCTGCCCCGCGCAGATCCAGTTTAATTTATGTATATAATTTTATCGATAAGTGCCTACGATTTGCAAAAGCGACAGTTTTAAAGGCAGTGACTTCTAATCGATATATAATATACATTTTAAATGCTTTGGGAAAAAAGTATTCTCATATTAAGCAAGCATTTTCTAGGTTATCTTCTAGACGAACGCACTCGATTACAGTCTGCTTACTTATTGCTTATTGTTATTGGGTTTTGTGGGTGTTTTGAGTCATTTTTCAACTCTGCCACGTGTCCAAATTCTTCAAATTCAACACATTTAAATGTTAATCTTGTGCTAGTTGTTGACTAAATTGATGTTGTAGCTTATTTAACTTATCTGCAATAGAAAATGTCCATCAACTAGAAATGAATAATTGCCACAAACTGTTTTCGCCAATTAATAGCAATTTTCATGCACTCAAATTACCGGAAGTTGAGCTTCATGTGAATCATGTGTGAAATTGTTGAATCAGTCGGCAAATTTTACTTTTTTTGAATGCCTATTTAACTTGCGATAAGTCGATTAGATATAGTCGAAAGACAGAGTGTTACTATATGACACATTTATATGTATGTAGATTATTACACTGAGCTACAAAAAATCGTCCTACATTTTGGCGCCATATTGTTATTCAGAAAGTAATATTCTAAAATTTATGTTTGTTGCTTTCTAAAAAACAGGATTTCAGGTTGTATTTTATAAAAATTCAGAAAAAATACGTTAAATTTTTTTTATTTTTTAATTTTACGAATTGGTTTCCAAATGGCTAAAAATAATTTCTAAAAACAAGAGAGCGATTTTCATTCACTAAAATTTTGTTTTCTGTGTGTACTAACATATCAAATAAGAGTAATAAAATTTGATTTCAATTTAATATAATCCAAATATTACTTGTTCTATATTTTTTTTGTGTCGACTAACTTCAGTGGACATTGAATAATTGAACAAATAGATAAGTAAGCTTTAAGTAAAAACCAATGATTTTCCATACTTAGCTCACCTCGCACTTGACTTGCGATTGCTTTGTGATCCATTTGTGAAGATTCCATGTGCACACAAAGTACTTGAACGTGTATTATATATATAAATGTATTTATATATATATATATATATATATATATATATATTATAGTAGCAGCACTTTGTGTATTTTTTTCCTCGTATTTTATGTATACAGTTTTGTATTTAAATTTGCTTGTTGTATTTTTTGTCTTTTGGATGTGTTTAACGGTGCGTATGAGTAATTTTTACCGTTTAACGTTTTTCCGCTTCACGTGCCTTTTAAAAATAGCCAAAAACT